GCGCAGTTCCTTTCCCTGGTCATTGGGTCCACATGCTTTAAGTGTTGCTGCTGGTAATCAGCGCAGGCGCAGTCAACACTACCAGGTACCTATTTATACTCCTGAGTGGAGAGAAGCAATGCAGATAAAATGCCTTGCACGCAGGCGAAATACAGTGTGGGATTGAATCCCCGACCTCGAGGTTGGGAAACTAAACCGCTTTCACCATTCTAAAACTGCTACCATCAATTAATCTTACCAATACAGCTCTCAGTTGGGATGCCTTCATACCCTTCATCACAGGTGCATCGGAACGAGCCAGCCGAGTTGGTACAAGTGGCATGAACAGCACAGTTGTGAGTAGGTGAGTCCTCGTTGCATTCATTAATGTCTGAATAATATTGTATTTCATAGGTGAAATGAAATATTTGTTAAATATGAATAATATTGTATAAACAATGCCATATATTTTGAAACCATCTGATACAAATCTAAATCTATATTTGATATCAGCTTTTGTAAAAAAAAACATAAATGTACTCAAAAAAAAATATTATCACAAATAATGTTAAATTTACTATATATTTAGTCCCAATAAGAAATTCCCTAAATATATATTTTGGACCATTGATGCTACTTTTAGTACTATATAAACAATTAGAAGGGTATTTTGTTCTTTTAAAATGTATTTTGTTTGCTAACCTGTGCATGTCACACCATCTCCTTCATACCCAGCATTGCAGTCACAAGTGAAGGAACCCTCAGTGTTGGTACATGTAGCAGCATTATGACAGTTGTCCATGTTCTCAGTACATTCATCAGTATCTGTAAACAATTTAAAATGAAGATATACATAAAAAAAATCTAGTAAATTGCACAAAATACATTAATTTGTGATGCATTAAACCTAATCCATTAAGTTCAAATCATACAAAAGCTAAATACGATTATCCTCAACATAGTATTTGTGTTTACCTGTGCATAAGTTGTTGTCTTCAGATCTTAAGAAGCCACTTGAGCATCTACATTCATAGAATGGATCTAGGTTTATGCAATCTTCATTTGCAGGACAAAGTTCGGAATTCTCAGCACATTCATTAATTTCTGTTGAAAAAATGATAACCTTTCATGAAAAAATTTGTGAAAAGCAATACTTTTGCAACAATCATATCTTGAAACAATTACATCAATGATAACAACAACAGCAGTAACAAGGTTAACAACAAACAAAAATACAGAAATTTGTAGGATACAATGTGCAATTACATAATTATTGGTTATGTTTGAGCTACAATAGTTGCCTATTCTATTTTAATTATGTAGAAATTTATGTTTCAATAATCTTGTATTTTGAAATATGGAATTTTATTAACACTTAAGTTCATTCTCAACTAGCACTGTGAAGACATACTACTGACATCGTGAAGCAGACAGATACAGTAGGGTGCTTTCGATTGCACGACGACGGTAGGAAGTAGAACGTAATGACGTCACTAAAAGTCATCTGGGCATGCGAGAATTTTAAGATCACCTCGTCGAGTAGATACTGGAATGCAATTTGGCCCAATCTACGTATGCAGAGAACGTAGGACGGTCATGCGTGAGTGATTCCGTCCTGGTGTCGCGTCGTCGCACAAATCAAAAGCTCCCTATTGACTTCTCCACAGATGACTTCACTCTGCAGCTTACCTTCACAGTTGGTGCCATCACCACGCCATCCCACATGGCAGGTACACACAAAACTGCTCTCAATGTCCTGACAGTCTGCACGTTCGTGGCAGTTGTCGAGATCCCTCGTGCATTCGTCAATGTCTGTATATAAAAATATACCATTATTTAATATATAAAAACAAAGCATTATTCTATATTGTAAGTGATGAGTGTACTTGTTGTTGGATGTGAAAAGGGAAAAAATGTTTATTGAAGTAAAGTGTTAACCTTTCTCCAATTGATTAATGGGTAATTATGTTATGTAGAAGGTACAAAAATGGAATCCAACTTACTGAGACAGTTCCTGCCATCACCCTCATAGCCACTTGGACATTCACAGATGTAGGTGCCAACATCATTGGTACAGCTCGCCAGATCATGACATTCGTCAATTTCATCTCTGCATTCATCAACATCTGCTCAATCAAGTTATAATTAATTAATTATTAATAAGAATTTTTATAAAGTTGGAACTGTTTTTTTTTATTTAGTAAGCCATCTTTGCGACTTAATCACATGACTCCCACATTATGAAGGCCAGGTAGATACTCTTTCTTGGATATTGCCAGTAAGAACAAGATATTGTATCCTTATGCACTTACAGTAATTACAATACTTAAAAACATGTCCCACTTTTTTAAAACTCATTTTCATATTTTTTACCATTATTAAATAAATGTCATTTGAATTCTTAATTTATTGTGCCAGAATAAAATATACCACATGATAAAATAATGACAAAAAATTAATTACATTGATATTTATAATATCTAATATCTTATTAATAATAAAAAAATTAAATTAAAAGTGGAGAATCTCCTTGATTTGCATTTCAGAGAGATGTTAAATTATCATTTATTAGTATATTATGTAAAAGTAAAAAACAGTAGAACTAGCATGTAATTCTAATGCAGAGTTCACCTACCACTACATCGTAAACCAGTTCCAGCGTAACCTTGGTTACAGACACACCTAAAGGCTCCAATTTCGTTGAAACATTCAGCATTTTCATCACATGGTGGATCCTCAGATGTGCATTCATTGAAATCTAAGTAAAAAAAATAATACATGAAATATTTTATCAGTCTACATCATGCCAGCAATGAACAAACATACAATTATAAAACAGAGATTTTATAGAGGCCGTTTTATAAAACAAATGGAATGGCATGCCCCACAAAATATTATTCAAATAAATATATTACTATTAAGCAATTAGTAGAGCTGCGCATAGTACACTAGTGGAAAATTATTATATGCAGGTTAGATTTAATGCTCAAAAAAATTTCCTGAGAGCCTACTGTAGTCAATTGCCATCTTTTAATGTTAGTTTTGATAATCAACTGTTGTAGCAGTCATCGGTTGCTATAGTGATATGATCATACTGCTGTGTGTGTACTACATAGCTACATAAGTACAGTATGCTCATACGTTTCTGCAGTACAACACACATCTAGCTAGCGAGATGTTCAGATACTATGAATAACTATTTTATTTTGTTTGAAGAATTTGCAATGCTATTTTGATAGATATTTGTCTAAGAAATAATTCTTAAAGCATTTGAGAGAATACAGTAGGCCCTAATCACTTTTTTGGTCAGAGCAGACAAGTAAAATCATGTGATGATTTCATATCTAGGATTGGCTACGAACAAGGCCTAGCTAGGCCAAGGTGGCCTCTTGCCTAGGCCAACATCTAATTTTGTTTCTTGAATCCACAAAATAGGTCTAGAATATTCCAATTAAATTATTTAGTTGCTTAGGGTTCATTGATTCAAGGAATTCCTTAATTTTCCACACTTAATATAATTAAATTTGAAGTTACTTTCATCGGGTTCATCAACCTTGTTTTACAAAAGTAATTTTGTATGTACAAAAGTTGAATTGGCCATTTGCACACAAACCTAAACAAAATCAATTCAAGCGTACACTATGTGAAAAACTGTGGGGGATTGGCAAATAACATGGGGAATTGTAGTGATGACGTCACAATTGAGTTATGAAGTAAAAAAAAGATTTGAATCAAATCTCTATGTAAAATTCTTTTTATTTTTAAATGAGAGTTTGTATAATGCCTACCTGAACAACTCATACCACTGCCTTGATAACCAGTGGCACATGTACATTCATATGAACCTGGTGAGTTGGCACAGGAGGCATTGTGGTGGCATTCATCAATATCCAGGGCACACTCGTCAATGTCTATCAATATCAATAAATACAAATGGTTAGTTAATGTATAATAGCAGACATTCTGGGTTGAAAATTTAGTGTTAGCTGAAAGGTAACAGATGCAAACTACCTAAACTTCATGTCTGTCAAACTTAACAGGAATACATTTTAAACACCTAAAAAAATCTGATCAAACAAACCATTGTAAGTCATGCAATGCTGCAGTTGGTCTGACAGATTTTGCTTGGCCCTATTTGACATATTATAAAAAATTATGCCCAAATTACCTGTGCATTCGATAACGCCATCGCCCTCGAAGCCTGGCTGACAAGCACAGGTGAAACTGGCCTCGATGTTAGTACACTGTCCATTTTCATGGCAGTTGTGCAGATTAAATGTGCACTCATCCGTGTCTTCACAGATTGTGCCATCGCCAGAGTATCCTTCGGTACAATTGCAATCAAACGCTCCGATTGAGTTCGTGCATGTTGCATGTTCTGCACAGTTGTCTGTTCCCAATGTACACTCATCAATATCTGGAATATTGAAATTTAAGAAATAATTATGACAAATAATCAATTAACAAACATAATATAATTTGTTGAAATATTATAATACTATTATTATATTTCATTTTATAATATATACTTGGTAGGAAATCAAAAATTTATTATGTATTAATATTATAAATTACATAATAAATTTTTGATTTCCTACCAAGTATATATTATAAATTTATTATGTATTAATATTATAAATTACAGCTTTGTTACTTTTAGTGTTGCTATCTTGTCAAATGTTTCGATCCATTATTCAGCAATTATGTTGGTAAAGAAAGTAGAAATTGGAAAATTTTGAATCTGACCTCAATTTGTTACACAATATATACATATTTCTTTTTTTAAGTTTTTATATTCACCATTGCATGCAGTTACACCATCTCCTTCAAATCCATTTTGGCATTCACAACGGAATGAAGCGACTTCATTGATACATTGGCCATTTTCATGGCAGGTGTGACTGTTTTCAATGCATTCATCAATGTCAATACAAGCACGGTGATTGGATCTCTTGAAACCAGGTCGACATTCGCAGAGGAACGAGCCAATGGTGTTGTTGCAGAAGGTACTGCTTACATCACAGTCGTGTAAGTTCAGAATGCATTCCGGAACATCTAAAAAAAGTAGGTTATGTAAAGAAATTGATTAAGCTTTTGTGAATTTGAATAATTATTCAAAACAAAGTTTGATGTTAAAGGTATTCTACATTATATTCTATATGTTTTTTTATACATTTTATCATTCTGTTGTTGGCCTGGGGTTTAGAGATGACCACTTGTTGTGTTGGGCTCTAGTCACGCCCCTGGTCAATATCTATTTATATATATCGTAACAAATTTTTAATAAATAAATAAATATTGTTCCCATTGAAATGTAAACCAAAGCCCACCAAAGCGAAAGATTCTAAGCCTAACATTTCTACCAGCTTACCAACGCAGGTGAACTCATCTTCAGCAAAGCGGAATCCAGTGCGGCAATCACACAAATGGCTTCCTGGGGTGTCTGTGCAATCGGCAAGCTCATGACATGCTGTTGCGGCTTGTTCCGTACATTCGTTGATGTTGATACAGTCACGGCCATTGCCAATAAAACCAGAGTTACATTCGCAAGTGAATGACGTAATTACGTTGGTGCAAGTAGCATATTCATGACAGTTATGTACATATATTTCATCAGTGCATTCATCGATTTCTAATTATAAGACAAAAAGATACATAAATCCTAATAGCATATTGATAGCCTAATAATTGATACAGTTTTCAAAGCAATGTGCAACCAAAGATTTAAATATAATTAATTTTACTCCTTGGTCCTGGGAAACAAATGTGTATTTATTAAAATATGATGAATTAAAAACAAATTTTGAATCTGCTTACCTTCACAAGTTTCACCATCACCTTTGTAACCTTCAATACAGTAGCAATCACGTACTCCTTCCTGGATCTCACAGATTGCGTTTTCATGACAAGTCTGCGATCTGCAGTCAAATATAGCTCCAGCCTGGCAGGTACACTCTTGTGTGCAATTAGGAGATTGGTAAACAGCTCCAACCTATTATAGCATTGAATAATGAAAAAGAGAATGAGAAATAATTCTGATGAAGCCAGGTAGGTATGCCCTACATAATAATTGAATTCAGCCTGGGCCTACACATACAGCTTAGCACGGGACCAGCCCTAGGCCAGGTAGCTAACCCTACTTTTAGCAACTAAGCCTGGCCTGGTACCTACACATACAACCTAACACTACAGGCCAGGAATGTAAGAAAATTGTAAATAATTAAGAGAACTGTATAAAATTATTATATGTGAAGCATCAGTGACGAGTGTACCCATAAACATTTGCAGACAAAAAAGTCTACAACAGACAGCAGTTTTATTAAAAGGAATATTAAATTTAATTTTCCATGAATATTTTGGTCAAACCAGTGATCAATCTTAAGGTCTAAAGTGGCAGGACCATAGGAGAAATAGAACATTATGTTCTCAAGTTAACTGTGGTACTTTCTATGTATATTTATGTTTTTTTCTAGAATGAAATTTTGAATTGTTTGAAATATATAGATCATAAACTTTAGAGCACAAAGAAATAATTCTCAAAACTTACAGGGTAGTAGATTCCGTTCATAGAACATCCACAACTTTCTGGTTGTACACAATCATCTCCATCACGATAGAGTCCCTCAGGACAGAAGCAACCCTCATGGCAACGGTTATCAACACAAGAGTTATTGGATGAAACACCACATGTTGGTGGACAGGCAATTCCACAGGACTGATACTCAAGAGGTGCTGTACAAGTCATACCTGGAGGAGGAACAAATATATATATATATACAAGTTACACACTGTATATACGTCCCACAAAGACCAGTGGCGGATTCATGGGGGAACCAGCTGGCCCGGGCCCCCCCTAAATTTTTCAAAATGATAAAAAAAATGGAGAAAAAAGGAAAATTATATACAAAATTAAGTTTGAGAGTGCCATTTTCGGTCATGCCTGGAGGTGCCTTAATCGTAAGTTCGCTAAATATAATGTATTTTATTCTTTTCAAACAACAAGTACTTATCAATTACAGATTATGTAATAAGCTATATAATCATGTCAGGATTTAAACCCATAACCATAGAATTTGAAAGTGAACACCAGACTCACAACTGTGAACCCTACATGTAATAAATGTTAGTTCCATAGGCATATTATCTTACCACAGATTCCTTCATCTCTAAAGTTCGCAACCGCTTCAATACCACCTTGTACACATGCGTCAGCATAGGCTTCCACAGTATCGCAGTATGAGGTTGCATCATCTGGCAATGTCATGCACATGTCGTACTTGCAGCTCAGGTAGTACTCTTCACTGTTAATGGTGTTGTGACATGGAGCGAAGAAGCCTGGAAGAATCATAATTTGAATTGTTAACCAAGAGTACAAGTGGGTACTTGTCAGGTACAAGTGCTAATTCACTAACAAAACGTATTTCCATATTTGAGAAATATCCCAATATTTGTGTGGCGGCAAATACTCCGGGCTCAAAACAATTGATTTTTTGTTATTTGGCCTGAAATAGTTATTTTAGATAGGTTTTGGGTTTATAATTAGTATTATATATATATATATATACACATTTTAAAAATTTATTATGGAAATCATGCCCAAGTAGAAGAATACTTTATTAGTGATTAAATGATTTAAATGAAGTTAATATTATAAGCTTTACATACCATTTGGATCGTTAATAATCTGACAAGATTCTTCGGCTTGTAGAGATATCTCTGCCTCATCACAAGGGAAGGTGCTTGGTTCTGGTTCAGGGCTGCAATCTGGGTCATCATCTTCAAGAACCCATGCATTACCCCATGCTGCTGGATCATTTACCTGAAATATGTATATTATAATCAAATAATGCAAATTCTGAATACTATTTGCATTTGTAACTAGTTGCTTTTCCCATTTCTTTGAGTTTGTGAGTGAGGAGCATCGTAGCCAAAGGTGCATGTTCAGGGGAAGGGGTGAGTGGGTGGTGGCAGTGGATCTTATAATTTATGGTTGAAAGTAAAATAGCACACTACAGGCATAGTAACAGAAAAAAAATTATCTAACATTGGCAAACAAAGTTACCTATATCAACTGACCTTATAGGAGTGTGGACATCTACACATCATACAAACAAAAGTTTTTTAGGAAAGATTCTGTGATGCCCCTCATGAACCCCTCATTTTCCAAAGCAGTCAGTCTACATTTAGAAAGTACATGCCCCCCCACTCCCTCCATTTTGAAATGCTTACCGTGGAACCATCTGGGAGGATGTACACTTCTTCGTATCGCCCGGTATAGCTTCCGCACAAACCGCACATCTTGTTTTTGTAACTTGCAGGAACTGATATCTCTGAATAATCGTTTCCATCCCATTTCACTGACATTCCAAAGTCAAATGACAGCAACTAGAAAAAACAGACCAATCAAATTCATTGTAGCCTGGTTCTCACGAGAGCCCTAGTATCCGGATCGGGAGCTAACCGTCAGCGCTAACCATTAGCACCTGTGTGAGAATGCCCGATCGGTTAGCGCTAACCGTTAGTGGTATCCGAATACTGCATTTCTGTTTGCCAGTGATTTGATCATCATATTCTTGGTATCCGTATTGGGCTTTTCTCGTATGCACGTTTGGCAGCTAATGGTTAGCAGGATCCAGATCTGTTAGCAGCCGTGTGAGAACAACTGTATTTCAAAAGGTTCTGACTCTGGATTTTGGTTCACCTGACATTAACTTTCAATTTCTCTATTTATTCAAGTTATAAATATTAACGTTACTTATAAATCTGTTTGTTATCTTACCGTGTAAATGCCCTCACGCTTGATGGTCACTCCCTCGTGGGGATACGATGGAGGAGTTACGCTCACACCATCGACTTGCACAAGGCCACCTTGTCCGAGTATATATGTCTACACAAAATTAAGACATACACATATGTGAAAAATGTCAAGATACACTGTACTGCACACACATTATATTTTGTACCATTAGATACAAATTAGATATAAAGCTAAAACAATACAAAAAAAGCTAACCTGGCCATATGCATTGATTGTCAAATCTCGGATGTAAGCTATCTGTCTATGGCGTCTAATTCCACCATGATGTTTTGTGGAGATATCAAAAGGTTGAAGTCCATCACTGTTGTCATCGGCACACTTCTTGGCCATTGTGTAGCGACATGTTCCCTGGAAATGCGACAGCTGTCCATCAAAGTTACGGAAATGAGGATCACCATACCCAAGACAGATACCAAATTCTACAATAAAATAGTTATATAGTGTCTGATTTTATCCCTCTTCTATCTATCATAAAATTTACTTTTTTGTCACACAAAAATTTTAACACAAAAAAAATGTTTACAACATGAATATATTTTCAAGATGCCAGTTGAGCCAATGTCAAAAAGTTTCCGAACACCATCTGGATTGATATTAACAAGAAAACCTGAAGAACACAATAGAAAGGACACAGAGAACATGTGATAAAGAGTGTTCTATCCAAAGATCTTGATTTTCCAGCCTTTTGATAGGCTGAAAACACATAGGACTGTTGCATTACCAATCAGATGACATCTTCGTGTTCTTTACCTTCACATGAAAAGCCATCTCCCTTGTAGCCATAGTTACACTGGCATGTGTACGACCCGATGGTGTTTCTGCAAGATGCATTCTGGTGGCAAGTGTCAATTGCCTCATTACATTCGTGAATGTCTAAAAAACAAAGCAAACTTATATTAAGTTTATTGGCTTTAACAAGTGATTACTCTACAGGCATCAAAATTATATGCAGCTACTTGCTATGTATGTTTTTGTGTATGTCAGTGATAAGAATTGCAGCCTATGTTGCCATCATCAAATTGTGCCAATTCTGACCTGAAGGTGTTAACTGTTATGTGTCACCATTTTTTACAAATTTCTGATATAGATATGACAGTTGTGATAGCAATGAATGACATTGTCTCTCATAAGGAGAGGATAATCTTCAATGGTACTAAAGGTGTTACAGAAGCCAACATTGTAAAAACATCATTTTAAAAGAATCATATCTCATCCTAAAAATTGTAAATAACTACTGTAATTGAATGAATGAGACTTTAAAAAAAATAATTGAACACTTACCAATGCACCTCATATTACAATCATAGGCTGTAGATAAAAGTGAAAAAAGTTAAATAAAATATAATGCTGTTGGAAATTTCTCAGCAGTTCTCAGAACAATATTAACACAAAACATGTTTCAAAAACATACAAGCATATTACACATATATATCATAGGTACCAGCTGTTTTCCAGAACATGCAGGCACTATTAGTACACATCACTGTTAAATGATAAAGGTAATCTACACTTGCTTATAAAAATTGGTAATTTTCATACGGTAAAACACACAATCACTGGAATCATTCTAAATTCATTGGAATCAATCTAAATTCATTGTCATTATTCTATATAAATAAATATCCATCTAAATTATATAAACTATATAGGAAGAGAATTATTCAGACATTTTCTTTGTATAAATCCATCTTTAATAGTTTTTTGCAACTAATAAATTTTTTCCAAGCACCTGAAACTAGTTATTTTGCAACTTCAAAAGGCATTACATAATGTTTATTTGCAATAACATAGCTTTATTATAAGTTTAATTTCATTTAATTCTCTTTGAAATATGTTTAACAAATTACAAGCACCAACTGCTATGCCAGTAGGTAGTACAAAGATCATGTGAATCTATTCAATATAGAATCTGGATTTCTGCTTTATATTACTAAAGATTGCATTTTAATTCTATGCTTATATCGGTACCTATGCATTTGATAATTGTCATTGTACATTCTTGCCCTTGCAATTCACATGCTACCACATACATCTGAATAAAATATTCTTACATTCTACATATATATAATTACTTGTTTCCAGTAAAAGAAAGAAAAAAAACATATTTTGTCAATATCCAGATGCTACTCTATATTACGAGTGATGTTTTGCCCTACCTGACATGTTAACGTACAGAATACACAGTACGTTCTTAAAGGTATACTGTATATTATTAACAAGCTTTGCTTTTAAGTGACAACAGTTTAAAGCCTACCATCACATGTGTCTTCATCCACAGGTCGGTAACCTTCATTACACTCGCAGGAGTAGCCTCCAACACTGTTATGACACACAGATTGTGGGGGACACCACTGCTTGTTGGGGTCATTGCACTCATCATTGTCTATAATTATAAATTAAATGTAAATGTTATATTCAAAAGAAAATCACAAAAATGATGAAATAGATAAAATAATCGTTTAAAATTGCAAAGTGATCTCACCAAGATTGAGTTAGGTTACCAAGTAATGAAGAAACTGATTTTAATGGTGAATCAAATCAAATCAAATAAAAAAAAAGACAACCTACAAATTTGACTTTCATGCATTAATAAGTTAAACATAATAAAAGATATATAGGCATCATATTGCACAAAATTCAAGTACATCCACTTACATCACCCATATCTAACCAAAACTAATCTACTGTATAATATCCCTAATCCTTATTATCGTCAACAAAGCATATATGTATGTAAGGGACTCTTCAAAAAGATAGTGTACTTGATTAACTTCACCTGTTGGCTTATATTTATCATGGATTGTCCAAAAAAGATTAGATGTGCAGTATATATTATAAGGGACGCTTCTAAAAGACAGTGTAGTTGATTAACTTCACCACTGCAGAATGTCAGCTGGCTTTAGATTTATCATAGACTTGAAAAAATAAGATCGTCCACAAAAGCTTAGATGCATACAAGGGACTTTCCTAAAAGATGGTGTACTTGATTGACTTCACCAGTTTGCTTTAAATTTATCATAGACTTGAAAAAATAGGATTAAGAACATAGAACCAAAACTGTCTTTTTACTTGGTACATGAGGTAGTACTACTTACCAAAGCATTCTCTTCCATTTCCACTGAATCCTGGTTTGCAGGAACAGCCGTATCCAGCTGTACTACCTCTATCAGAACAGGTAGCGTTGGCATGACAATCATTGAAGCCTTCATCACACTCATTGAATGCTGCAACAAAAAACAAAAATGTATTAAATCAGCTCTGTGGTAAAGACATGCAACAATAGAAGAAATTAAACAGCATTAAGGTAATTCTAAAAAATTATAGGTGGAAGTTAAGAGTGATCCTTTATATGTCATGCCACTGAAGACAATGGAAATTACACAAATCAATCGTGATGTTGGTAGTCTATGAGTGAGATACTTACCTGGATAACCGACTAATTGCCATTTTTTCCAAAACATTGTTTTGGGAACAATGGCAATTAGTCGGTTATCCAGGTAAGTATTCACGAAATAGACTGCTATACATGCTTAATTGTAGAATACAGAATGCTGCCATTTTTATTTATCACAAAATCTAACTTACGGATGTAGCTATTGGCACAGTGCAGTTTGCCGATGATGAAACTTCCTGCACTTCCCTCGTTAAATCTGATGTCAACAACAGGAAGGTCAGCCTTGTTGCGAAGAAGACCAGTATCTGCCAGGTTCCTGCCATCACCAGCATGACAGTTACACTTTCTATAACATAAGACATCATAATGTAACAAATCTAATCTGAACAAAGATTTATTTTACTCTGTCTGGACAGCTATGTAGTGTAGAAAATGATGCAGAGACAGTACAGCAATTTTATGAAAACCAGGTTTAACATATTATGAAATTAAATGCATTGTAAACTGAAATTTTCTTATAATATGCTTAATGAAAAAATCATCTAAATTTATGTATGACAAATGTTTTTATTCAAAGCAAGTATAAATTAACAGTCAAATTGCATTGTACCTGGCAGCATCAAAGTTGTCCTCCAAGCCAGCACAACCACCATTTGAGTTATGGCAAACACACTTGTCCCCGCTACCTTTGCCACCCCAGTATTCTAATGCATCTCCATTGATATCGTGCCACTCACTGATGCCGAACTAAGAATGCATGAACAAAACATTTCACTACTGAGTTTAGGCAAGTTATTTCATATTTATATTTATTTTTACCCCATAATACCTCTTGAAATGCAAGATAATAATTCATAAATATCATGTTGGAATAAAAGTTTAAAATATTCTAATTATCATTTTAATCAGTATTATTTATTGTTATCATTACAATAAAAATGTATTAATAATTATCATTATTATAAACTAAACATTACAAATATTATTATCCTTTAGAATTTTTTTTCATTGGAACCAGATCTTTGTGTGTGTGATCTCATTAATTTACTTTATGTTTCAGATACGTATATTGTTTATTATTTTAAAAATTGTACTGTACAATTAAAAGGTTATATAAGTTAATATTACCAATACAAAATTGCAAGATGAATGCTTTGGAATAACACAAAAGCAAGACTTACATTCTCTGCGACACAATCAACCCTCACTGCCTGGAAGCATTTATTTGATATGCTTAGAAGAGCTTTAATCTGTTCAGGGTTAGCTTGCGTGTAAGTGATTTGGGTTACATTATTTGTAACTGCTTGTGGATCTTCACGATCGTGGCCAATAATTGTCACACCATGGTTGTTGAACATTTCATTGATATCGCAGTACACCAAGAATGGATTCACTTCCGATGTCGGCTGGATCAGTGTCACGCCACTTCTCATTCCCTTGATTCTGGCATTCTCACAGTCAGTTGGCAAGTCTTAAAAATTAATATGTGATCATGAAAATTATGGCTTGATACTAGCAGAAGGACAGAACACCTACAAACTACATTATTTTTGCTATTCTCTTGCACATTGTAAAGATACTTAACAAAGAGGTATACAAGTCTTGATTTAAATTTATTTTATCAGAATACAGAATACAGAACTTTATTGGTCTTGAAAGTAAAAATACAATACAAGAAATTATTTCGTTGTTGGCAAACCATAAAATTTTTAAAAATAGGTATATAAAATCAATACTGTATATATTAAAATACATACAAATTAAAAAGGTATAGTTGCACGTGAGATATAAATATAAAGTAACAGCAGCCAGAATCAGTTTCTCTTGGCAATTGCATTGTACAGGTGGATGGCATTATGTATGAAGGAAAGTCTATATCTGTTGTGTTTGGTCATAGGGACACAGAGTCTGAAACCTGACCTACTGAATGTAAAGCAGGAATGCAGCTCCTGAGTTGCATCCTTCAGGATTGCTTTAAGCTTTTGAACAACACAGTCTTCATATATACTCTCAATGGATGGAAGATCAATACCAATACACTTAGCTGCGGCTTTCCTAATTCGTTCTAAGTATTTCTTATTTTTTTCACTTAAACTACCAAAAACACTTAATATACTAATTGTTAACACACTTTTAACCATGCTCTGATAAAATATTTCTAGAATCTTGTTATCAACATTGTACTGTATAAGTTTCCTTAGAAAGAAAAGTCTCTGGTTAGTTTATCATCAGTCATTAATCCTGAATATAAATATAATTTGAATTTGGTTGATAATCAATTGTATATACTGTAGAGCTATGGTAAAGCCATAGTAAAGACTCAATAACAATCTGTAAAAAAAATGTTTCAAGAAAAAAAAAAGTAGATTTAAAATTAAGTTGAATGTTAATGTTAATATGTCTAGGCCTACCAAATTCATCTGGGCCACACTTAATGCTGCCTAGTGAGATTTCACCAGTTCCTCCTTCAGGTACGTTATCAAATTGGAAGCCTGAAATTGGTAGAATGTCCCGGTTTGTGAAAAGACCAGCTTCATAATTATTTTCTAGGCTCTGACATTTACAGTTGTGTTCTGAGTTACAAGTTCCTAGGAGGCTGCAGGCGCAACCTTCTGATGCAAAAGCATCACTGCCTGCCCATGTTGGAATCTGGTTCTTATTGAAGTCTTTGGCGTAGTTCTGTAGTGGGTTGTTGTCATTGAGGAGACCAACTCCACTACAATCATAAACAACATCCTAGAAATAAAAAAAAAAATAAGTACACAAATCAGAAGTGATGTTGGTAGTCTATTTTTCTATGTAAATGTCTTTCATATTCATAGAACTTGTCATCTTTTTGATGCTTCTTCAATAGCATATAAAGTAAAAGATGAATTGGTTAGATATACTCTTCTTTCTATTACATATATCTTAATTTCTGAAATATATCTTAAAGGCACACAGCAGCATTGATCAATATCTTCATTGGTGAGCTATAGTTACTTGTAGTTTAGTACTCAAGCTCAAGAAGGTACAATTGAATCAGGTACCAAGGAACATCAAGAGTTCAGAAAACATTATTAGTTTTGAAAACCAATCCGAGGTTACAAACCCCCACCCTGTTGCGCCACATCTAATTACTAAAAAAATAATGGCCCATGGTCGAATCGCTCAAGTCAGCTAAGCCTAGCCCAACAAAGTCTAGCATCATATGACTTGTGGGCCAAGTCCATCAATCGGGTGAATTTGCATGCTGGCCGGACCACTTCCAGTTGGCCGGCCAGAATTTGACACACACCCTACTCTGGCCTATGTTCGATCCTCTTGGGTCGGCCAGCCTAGACGAATGAGGCCGCACAATCTGCTCGAGTTGGCTCTGTCTGTTGTGGACATTCTCAAATCAGTATCTTACTAGCAATCAGCACCAAATTTGAGGAGGACCAAGATACATGTAACATTGTCAATGTGTGAAATAAATCGGTTCAGTAGTTTTTGAGTTTTTATGTGCCTAGAAGGACACACACACACAGACAGACACGCTCAAACAGACGTGTGCCATTGCAGTACCTTCACCTTTCCTCTGCGGAGGCAAGGGTAACAAATATACACATGTATGTTTGTGTGTGCTTTTCAAAGTGGTACAAAAATTTAATTCAACAAAAACAATATTAATATTCTCTCTTTGGCATTATCATCATACCTGGCTACAGAAAGCAGATGTCTTGACCAGTTCATGGATTTGTTTATAACTAGCACCACCATCACCAGAGTTGTAATGAATATTTGTATTCCCACCAACTTCATTTTCTTCTGGCATATTGTTCTCAACCTGGGGACAATACAAAAGTCTATGAGAGTGCTGTATGATTGCTACTAAAATATGAGCATTTTTTGAACAGATCGAGCAAAGCTAACAAACTGTTTGCAGATGGTCTAAAATATAGCTTATACACTGTATAGTATTACATTATATGTTTCATAACCATAATACTTAATAATATCTCAGAATGATATACACACATATAGTATCAACAAAATAAACAATAAATATATTATGTAATTATATTATATAATATTAAATGTAATAATGTATACTTCAGAAAGTTAACCTTACCTCAGTGATTCCCATGTTAATCCTGAATTCACACTTGACGCTGAATGGATCAACACCTCCTGGACCATCAGGATCAATAGCATATTCATTGTTGTACAAGGCATCGTATTCCCTGCCTGCCACACGGATCTCTTCACAGTTTCTGTACAAACCTATAAAAGGTAAAAATAAAGAATATATTATAAATTTGGTCTTCTGCTGGTCATTATATTTGTGCTCACACAGAGAAAAAAAAGAAGTTAAATCCCCTCTTGTAAAAGAAGAAAACAACTTACCATAGCAGTAAAGTGGACCGATTGATACATGTGCAGACTGAGTGGATTGGATCTGGTGCACCTGGACTTTTGAGATCGGTAGATCCGTCTTGTTCCTCAAAAGACCACCATCCTTCAGAGCATCATTTGTGCTGCCATCGCAGTTACAAGTGCCATCAGTGCCACACCCAACTGGTACTAAACTGCCACCCCAGTTGGTCTGGTGTCCTCCATTAGAATCATACCAGCCATATGGTGCTTCCAAGGATAGCTGGGTGCCTTCACAGTGATAATCAAGCTCCTGTACACAATACTCGGTGTAGGTTGTCAGGGCTTTGATTTGCTCAGAGGATGCATGGTAGTACTCTGGGGTTATGGTCTCATCAGAAGCAGAAGGAACTGAGATGTTGCCTTGGCTGTGATGTTGGATGATCTAAGAAACAATATTTACAAGGAATTACGAATAGCTAATTAAAAAATATATATATTATTTTGAGGGCAATATTGTGTGTTATTATATTATAGAAAGCAGGTGGTACAGTGTATAAATGTACAGTTGAAAGCAAGAAATGATTAAAACACAAAATTAAACTCACATTGATGCCAAGTGGTGGATGCTCCATCATTTCACAATAGATAGTGAATGGCTCTACTGGGCCTTCTTGATCTGGATCAATGAGCTGGGGCCCAGATTCAATCTCTCTTCCTAGCGATCGAATCTCTTCACAGTCGCGGTAGATATCTTAGAAGGAAATAAATTCAAATCCCATTCAATTTAAAATATAATACAATTAAATAATAAATCATTTCTACATGACAATCCAAAAGACAGTGTTTATGGTGCTGATGGTGATTTCAACAAATCTGTGACAAAGAATGATGGGGCACAAAAATGAATAAAATTAATAGCAAAATTCTTTTCTTAGTGCTCATTGGGTATACACTGGCTTCACCAGTAGACTTACCGAACTGTTCATGCCTACATTTAAGCGATCCTAGAAAGTATGACTGCATCTGATCGCCACCGTTGGACTCATCGCGGCCAAGACAGACAGAAGACAAAGGTAAGTGGTCCTTGTTGATAAAGCGTCCTGCATCAACCTGCTCCTGGCCATCTGTATTGTCACAGTTACAAGCGGCGTCAATACCACCGGAACAGAAACCAGTCTCACCACAGGCACAGCTGGGGCCGTCGTTGGATCCCCCCCATCCTGAAACAAACATGATTAAAATGTTCTGTTATTGAAAAGTTTTTTTTAATATTCCTGTCACATGATTAAGTCTCCCAGAGATGGGATCAAACCCTTTGAAGCAAATCGCCATCACCATCTGGCTGAGAAGCGACAGAAGAGGAAAGCAGCCCAGCAAGATCCCCAGCCTGGCACTTTTCACTGCCCTCATTGCTCCAAAACTTACTTGTCTAAGATCGGCCTGATCATTCATTTTATCTTCAATCATAACCATCATAGTAATGAAAATTGGGATAAACATAAATAATTATTATAACAATCATAACATTAAATAATAATAATTACAATAATAATAATATGAATAATATGAATATAAATCGTACTAAAATAAAAAAATAAGTAAATTAAAAATATAAATTAATATTAGCCAGAATAATAATAATAATCATAATAATAATATGAATAATAATTGTACCAAAAGAATAAGTAAATTAAAAATATAAATTAATATTAAGCAGAATAATAATAATAATAATAATAACAATAATAATAATAATAATAATATTTAATTTTAAACCATTAAAACCACTTGTTCACAATTATTCATTAACTTGGAGCTGGTAGTGGCAGTCAAACTCTATTTAGAGTGAATTCAAACAACTGTCATATCAGTGCAGTATGATGCTGACATAATACGTCTTGCTGGAGAGAAGCAATGAAGAGAGAGCACCTTTCTCAAGGGCACAAGTCAAATAAAGATTGTGTTACCTTGCATCTTATCTCCATCACGGCTATTCCACCATGCAAATGCAGCAGTTGGATCATTGGGATTCAAAATGAATGGCGCATTCCTACAAGACATACTCACTTCTTGAGAACAGAATTCTGATTTTTCAGTCAATGCCTATGACGAAAGAAAATGTGTAAGTAATTATTAATATGCAATACTTTTTGTTAATGTATATGTATATATGAAAGGTCAAATAAATAAATTTATACTATTTAACTTTCTATACATACTATTTTACTAGTATTGTTGAAATTAGCTTTCATTTATTATATTTTAGTTGGAATGTCGTGATTTATTCTTTAAGAAAAATAAAAATTAGTAGAACAAGATTAACTCAGGAAGAAGTATGCTTACCAAGCAAATATATACAATACCTTTAACTGTGCTGTATTGGCATTCCTGTACCCAACTCTAGTGCAGTGCGAACCCTTACCAGGTTCTGAATTCTCATCAATGGTCTTGGTCTCGTTAGACTGGACAGCAACAACGGTTGTGTGGCCCTCACAGCGGACTGTGAATGGCTCCTCACCATTAATACCATCTGGATCAATCAGTTTGTCTCCCCATCTGTAGTCTGGCTTACCAACTACATGATGATGACATGTGGGCCAAATTTCTGAATTTAAAATTATCAATACAAAATAATAATTATGAACAGTGTATGCTAAATCTAGTATGCAAAATCTAGTTTATTACACATTCCACTGAAAAACAAATTATATTATATGAAAATATAGGGAATAAAATTAATATTAAATTATATCGCAGCATTTACAAACTGCTTGTGAAATAACTTACCCCAACATTTCAATCGTCCAAGAGTAACTGATCCACCTGCAGCACCAATGTGTAGCTTGTTCACTGGAAGCATGTCTGTGGGGTTGTCTCCATAGTATTTGTCCTCCAAGGTTCCTGAATCAGAACTGAAAATACAAATATAATATTTACATAGAGGAATATTCTTTGCATGTGTCAGGGGGTCACCGTCAAATGCCAGCCTGTGATTTATCCATACATGGGTGTGAAATGATATCATCATACCCATATATGGGCATGATATGACATCATCAGAACTAAAATGCAAATATATTTACATAGAGGAATATTCTTTACATGTGTCATGGGTCACCACCACACAGATAACTGGTCCTCCGTCATTATACATGACATCATACCCATATATGGGCATGATATGACATCATTATGCCCATATATGAGCAAAATCAAACATATTTGTCAATTTACCTTGCACTATTGGCATCACAATTACATTTGGCCTCGCCTCCCTCACATGATTCATCTACGGAACATAAGCAGCTATCGCCTTCTGAACCGTAGAAATATAATCCTCTTTGCTCCTGACCAGCATTATCCACATGAATCCAGTATGTTGATTGGTCACCTGTAGACCAAATTAATAGTTGTATCAAATATAAAATTATTAATTAATTATTAAAATTAATTATACATATAAACAACATATTGGCATTCAATATGTAGTCTTTTGCATATAAACTTGCATAAATGTAAAAATTGTGTATTTCAAATTTTAATACATAAAAAACAGTATACTGTATTTATGATGTACCTCCATTGTGTATGGGAGCGCTGTTGCATGTGTATTCAATATCCTGACCGCAATAAGCAGACTTGCTCTTAACTGCTTCAATCTCCTCACGTGTAGCAATGTACTCTATTTCTTTATCAGGTTGTCCATCTCCTGGGTATTCGATCTTGAAAAAATGATAATTTAAAAAAGCGATTTAAAAATGTAAAGTTTTTACAACAATAAAATATGTACTCTGCTTGTTAGCTATGTTGCTGTCTTGGTCAAAAGTGAAAAGAAAATGAGGATGTTTGTATGGATTGAACATACTTATATGAGGAGACTTAGTACATGTATTCACAAGAAAGACATGTATGTATTAGGGACTGGAAAGCACAACAACTCAACTCATCCATTCATCCACAATGTTATCGACAAGTATACTTACTGTTTCTTCTGAATCATGAGCAATAACAGTGACGGCATAGTCAGGATCTGTGTGCATCTCACAATAAACCGGGAACGGTTCCAAACCACCTAAGAATAAAATATAGTAACGAAATATAAATGACATGATATAATAATCTATATGTATATATTTAGAAGAAAGTATTACCAAAAAGTGATTTTTAGAAGGAGAATAATGTGAATGTTTAATGAGCTATCTTACCATCTGGACCGTCCGGATCTACAAGGTAAGTTCCGCTGTATGCAAATCCCTTTTCGCGGTAAGTCTGACATGATGGTTCAATACCTATGAAAATAACAATTTTGTATTTATTTAGTATCTTTTCAGAGTAAAATTACATTGTTAGTTTTCATTCAAAAACCCTTATATTATATAAGTTTTTAACTTATTAGAAATAAGTAATTTTGAATCTTTTAAATCAGTTTAATCTTATCAAACTGAATTAACTTTTTTCTTACCAAACTGTTGGGTAGCACACTTGAGCGGTCCGATGCGATATGTGGCATTACTGTTCTCATTTGCATAATCCAAGAATGTGAGGCTCTTGATTGGTAGTTTTGCCATGTCGATGATTAATCCTGTACAAAAAATAAAATACAATTATTTCTTCAAATCTAATCTGATATATATTTAATTAGAAATGGGAATAACATTGTTCACTTGAGATTACATTCAATTTCATTCCCAACAAAGACACTACTTAATATAGTTAAGAAATAAATGATTAATAACTATGACAATTGAAGATTTTATCATTCATCTGTCAAATTTGATCACTGGTAGGAAAGTAGGAAAAAAATCTGATTAAAACACGAAAAAAAAATATAAGAATATTTTTACAGACCTGTATCGTGAGTCCACTCTCCTCCTGGGATGTCACAATTGCAGCCATAAGACTGGTCATTGCATGATTTTGTCACACCACATCCACACATATTCTCCTCACTGTCTGCATTACCCCAGGAGTACACTTCCTGCCCGGAGGTCGTGCTCCAGTAACCTCGCTTCTCTTCAGTACTGAACAATCGCATATTGCGGCATTCTAATATGATCTCTTGTGAGCAGAAGGAAGAACGTGCAATCAGTTCGAGGAGGTACTGGTCAGGAGTGTTGTATTCAATGATGTGCTGACCATTACCATCTCCTGGACCAACTGGTGTGCTAGTTTCCCTGTGAAAAAAATATGTACATGAATGATACAATTCCAAATAATAGCAGAAATTGGTCATCGATTCTGTGATTGACTAGCTGTGATGTAGGCATAATTTAATCTGCATATAAACATGTCTTTTCACCGTGCACTGTGTATGTAAACAATAAACATGAATTCTTGTGAGAATGTTTCTTGAAATCATGACATATTCACCTGTTGCCCTTGATGACTGTCACAGATACTGTGTATGATGTCATGTCACAGAAGACAATGTGGGGTTCCACAGAGCCATCAAAACCATCAGCGTCAATGAAGTATGAGCCGTCTTGATCTTCACCAGTCTCATGAAGCTGAGTGCAGTCTTCTTCAATATCTAATTAGGGATTAAAGAAAAGTCAGTATTTTTTACTCAAATTTATTCCATGAGGTTAAACAACTATAAAGCAACAAAATAAGAGCAAGACAAACAAAAAACATTAGTACCATTTTTTTTTAATGATGTTGATGATGATTTAATGACATTAAAAAGATTCAGAGTATAAAAAAGCTATTGAACACTGCAAATGGTGGGCAGGTACCTTGACTCCAATAACTTACCAAATTGTCTAGGAGCGCACTTCATGGGACCAAGTCTAAGCACACCGTATTTGGAACCACCTAAGTCACCAAACGTGAAAGCTGTGATAGGAAGGACTTCTTTATCGATGATACGACCACGATCAGAGTCTGTTTCTAGTGATCCATCACAATTACAGTAGCTTTCTGGGTTACGACATGTTCCAGTCACACCACAGGCACACTGGAGGAACATCATGATAAGGTCATTAGAAAAATGGAGACAATGAAACATTCATGATTTTATTGCATTATTTCTGGCCTACTTTGCAAATTTCATGGATGGCACATCATACTGGCCTAAGGGTTAGGATCCCCATAAAAAAGAACACTGCAGATATTATTTGTACATCTCTAGATGTTCGAGGTAGAAATGATCAGTCATTTGTGACAGAAATAGAATGTTTGAAGTAATAGTAGAAGCTTACGATGCCATCAATTTAATAGAATTTTCACCTATTCTAATTTACCTGATTGTTTTCTGTTGCACCACCCCAGTTTTCATTGGCATAGCCATCAACATCCTGCCAACTTCCAAAATCATTCAGCAACATAGCTCCACCTGAGCAGACGTACCTAATAATTTAAATTATTGAATAATAATATTTAGTAATATAATGCATTTTATTTGAATATGTGTGATCATAATTACATCATTATCATCTGTTATCCATATTATCATTCATAATGTATTTACGTAATGTATTTACAAAGAATAATACAACAGACAATGAATCAGCAGAAAATATGTAATGATATTAACTGAGTTACTAATTAAGATAAAGGATTGCTATACAAGATAATACTGATTAAACAATCATTACAAAATTAATTCAATAATTAAAGATTAAGACAGAATAATACTGTCAAATTGTTAGCTAAGATTTAATGCACAAGACATTGGATTGTAGAATACAGTATACATTTTTAATTAATGTATGTGATTGCAAATGAATTAGAAATTCTTAGTACTTACTCCATAGTTTGGTAGCAGAACATAGATGCATTGGTTGCTGCTCGCAGTTGTTCAGTGGTGGCATGGTCATATACGATGACTGTGGTACCGTCTTCAGTGACAGTTTCCTCACCAGAGTCATGATTGAACACTGTGATGCCATACTCGCGTGTCATGTCACATTCCACCTATAACAAAAGACATTATAAGAATCAAAACAATATAAGACATTTGATAGTATGAGCAGCTCAATATAAGATAAAGTTTTGGTAAAAAATCAATGGGTATTGATTTATCCAGGCAATTATTAAGAAAGTGGACACTATAATATCCAAACTGTGCCTTACCAGGAATGGATCTACACCATCAAAGCCATCTGGGTCGATTGTGTACTCTCCATCTCCAACATCCCTTTCAGCAAGCTTGTATTCATTACAATTCGCCAAAATTCCTGTTAAAAAAATATTAACAAATAAAGATAATAATTCAATCAATTAGTTTATGAATGGTAAGAACAATGCAGAGAAGATGAGCATGATTGACGTTGGTGACAAAATGTAAGGGTGATCAAGATTACGGAAAGGGAAGAAGAATTTTTAAAAAATGAGGGAGAGATGGTATCATGTTTTATTCAGTGAAAAGTTCAAATAATGCTGTTAAAAATTCACTCCAGCTTACGTTCACAGCCTTGCTCCGTCAATCCATCGCCTAGGTAGCCCTCATCACACGGACATTCATAAGCTCCCTCGGTGTTAAGACATGTTGAATGTTCTGAACATTCATGAGTACCTGCCTCGCATTCATCAATGTCTGGAAGATAGGAGATATAAAAATATTTTGTCATAAGCAATTGCAGAACAATTAAACTGGGATATGATAGAGGACAATAAACACATGGATGCAGATAGATTCAGTTGCAAAAAATTGTATCAGATGGAGGAATGGATTTGGATTTTTTAAAGTAAAACCACCAAAAGGATAACCAAAAAAGACTATCTTACAGATGGGTCATTCAGGTGCTTCAAGTATTTTTCTTGTTATATATATTAGGCCGATAAAATGCATTATTTCTTACCTAGACATTCAACTTTAGGAGCTTCTCCTGCATACCCAGGGCTGCATTCACAGGTATTTTCAACAGCATTGCACAGGGCTAACTGATGATTTTCTTGGCAATGGCTGTCGACTGAGCAGTAGGTATCAGCTAGAAAAAAAGTAAGCGGCATTTAGTATGTCATCATTTTTGTAATGTGATTTACAACAACAAAATGTTATTTTTAGTACTAATAAATATTATCAATTATAGTATACTTTACTTTTTATTTCCAAGTTACAGTTCTTATATAAAATTATTTTGAGGTAATGAGTGCTAGGCATTTGTCTCTTGATACTGCATGTAGTTTGGTTATTTGATTAAATACTGTATGTATATAAAATTCCAAAACAAAAGATGAATAAAAGAATAAAGCCTAAAGGTCCTTATACTTGCAGCTCTGTGGAAATATCTATTGTTGTGAGAATATAGCAACTAATTGTAACCAAAGTAAAAGAATAATTTTGTCCTTTTTTCTTTAATTTTGTTTTATTGAGCTTACTTCTCACAAAATAATAATTACAAAAAACCAAGATGAAAACTACAAATAGAATGAGTATTAAAATGAAATTTTGAATACTTACGAACACATGAGAGTTCATCTTCTGGTGAAGTGATGTAACCATCAATACAGGTGCATTCGAATGAACCAACAGTGTTGCGGCATGTACTAAACTCTCCGCATATTTCATATAGACACTCATCAATATCTAAAAGCAGATCAGAAGTTAATTTAACAATTCACGTACAGAAAAAAATTAAAATAGTGACATTGGCAATTATTTGTATATTCAACCACATTAAATAACAAATGAACTCGCTAACAGCATAGTGTAAGTCCACATTACATTTTTTGATATATTTAGTAGTGATAAATGGCAAAAAATAGTATTGATAATTAATAATTTGAATGAAAATACACTAAATATACCAATTGTGCTTATTTCCTCAGAAACAGTACTCACCACTACAGTCTAAGACACCGTCCCCTTGGTAACCATCAGTGCAAATGCATTGGCCAAATTGGCAGTTTGCCAAATCAAGACAGTCATTGTCACTGTGACAAGGCGCGGGTACTGGTTTCATAAAATGGAAAAGTAAAATCAGGTTAAAAAATAAATACAAAATATATTCTATAGTTTTCCATTAATTGTATAACACACTATTTATGACAATTATAATGTATTATTTATTTGTATTATATTATATTGTTGACTTTAAATGCAGTGCCAATTACATGATATAGCAATGTAATGCTTTATATTTTACAAACTGTCTCATTTTTAGTGAGATGATTTGTTTTTAGTCATTGTAAACCAACCACCTACAGCTCTACTCTTTATCATAATTGCTTCTTCTAGTTGTCCTATCTCAGCAGTAAAATTTTTTTAGAGCAAATCAACTTTTCTATTTATATTTAGTTACTAGTTAGCCTGAAAGTTAGTTAAATTATTGTCACAGGTAATGAATAAAGAAATTGCATAGTATAGGCAGTAGAAAGAAAAGTTGCATTGAGGCTTTTATAAATATCATACTTAACACAATTCATATTATTTATTATTTAACATTGTATTATAATCTTTTATAATAAACATAAATCATACTTTCTAATCTATTGTACTGTATCTATATTTTTCATATTCTTATTTTCATTTCTTTTATATTTTATTATTTTAACTATGTTAATTTAAAGACCTACCAAATTCACAAAGGACACGATATGTCTCGGTACGACCACATGTATGCATATTCCAAGTATTTCCTGCATTGTGGTTCATCAAAACGCAATCTTTTGCCTCGTCATTGTCAGGCTGGCCACCCTGGAAATTAGTATATCCAACCTCTAGTCTGTCAACCCATGCTAATTCACCTTCAGTCTCCATATCAGACATACCTGTAAAATTATAAGCAACAATCAATCAATCAATATCAATTAATCAATCAACTTTGAAAAAAAAGTTATTATCACACTACAATGTTGCTCATCACCTTGCATATTGAGTAAAAAAATACCATTTGAATTTTCCTTTCATCTAAACAAGATAGCCAATACTGTAGTGTGACTATCTTTTACATATGTGCAAAGACAAGCTAAACCAGTCACTCATCGCAAATTGTGTTTCAGAGAAAATAGCAAAAACATGCTGGAATGTAAAATTTTTAAAAATCTATTTTATTTCACTAAACTAAGGTTTATGTATCTATCATGTATGTATCATCATGCTGTGCTGTTATTTTTCCCAATTACAATTTTAAAACACCTTTTAATGATTTTGTAATAGTTTCTGCATGAGAAATGCATGAAATCATAAACTTTGAAGGCTGATTTCTCATATATTGTTCTTTAAACAGCTGTATGCTTAAATGCTTGTAACTTCATAAGGAAATGTCAGATTTGAATGATTTTTTTTACCATTTTATAGCTCCTATTTTACACTTTAACCATGTATTAATAACTCAAAACTTTTTGCGACAAGTGACTAGTTTGGCTTGTCTTTGCCACATATGGTAAACTCTGATGGAAAATAGAATAATGAATTAAACTAATAAATACTCACCAATGTTCTGATACTGTCAGAACCATGACAGTCTACATGTTGAGTCATATTTAAAATGTTATAAAATTAAATATCTAAATCAAACAATAATTTTAAGAAAAGTTGCCTGACCTATCCAGTAGCTCTTAGTGTTGAAACCATATCTGTCTAGGTATGTGTTGATGAGGCCTTGGATGTACTGGTTATAGATCACAACAGGTTCACCACCAGTGTCAAGGCAGCTTATCCAGGACTCACTGAATGTTTCCTCCTCCTCCTGTGGCTTGTAGCACACATGGCCTAGCTTCATACTACCCTCTGGACAGTGTTCTGTAATCAATGTATTGACATAGTAGTAATAATTTAAAGGAAACCATTTTAAATAGCACATCATGCCAAGAAATTGTCCTATGCCCTTCACATTATTACCCCTGCCACTGGGTCAAACAAATATGAAACATAAAGTTGCAGTTAGTGATCAGCGCATTGGTGTTCGACTATCCACTCATATTGTTAGAAGGAGAATGATGATGATAACGATACTGATGCTACATGACAGTAAGTGGTGTAACTACTGGAGTGCAGAACAGGGCACACACCCAGGGTGTTGAAATAAGCCTGGACAAGAGGGCTTCTTAATTCCAAAGATTTTGCTGAAATTGTTATTTTTATCAATTAACATCTACAGCAAGTTCAGAACAAGGAACCTCCAAGCTGGGAATGGGTGCCAAAACTCCTAGTTACAGCACTGATGACAATGGTGGCAGCTTAAGACAACAATCATAATAATAATGATGGCAGTGATAACAATAACAATAATAAATATAATTGCACTAGGAAAAAACATTTCAAATAACATTTGATCTGTTTATCCTTAATAATAGATTTCCAATGCTATAGATTTCCAATGCTAAACATTTTCCATAAAATGTACCAACCTCCAGTGGACTTCTGGCAGATATATCCGGCCTGTACAGAACACGCCACTGCCTTCCAACGACCTGATTCAGAATCAAGGACAACGCATTGCTCTCCGTCTGAGAAGGCTTCTATCCAATTGCTGTAGTCATTCTCATCAAACGCTACACCATCTATCCAAATTGATGCCATATCATCTCCTTCTACGATCTCATCACCTTCCACATGGAATGTCTTCTTGCGGAACAATCCTTGAGACAGACCGATGAACAGGTCAGAGGCTGCTCCTGCTTGTACACTGCAAAGAACATTGTTTACAGCAATTTAAAATAAAAAAACATTAAATTTATGGACCATACAGACTTGATCCACATAAAAAATAGTGACATCAGTTACACAGTACTTTTCGTTAAAGATCTTGGAAGAATGTACACTTTTTCCTATGTACATGGTCATAACACGCTACATGCTAATCTTCTCAGGCATAAAAAAATGGAATCAGTAAAATATTTCAAGTCGAAGGAGATTCATTATCTAGGCATTTACAAAACAACAATTGTTCAGATTTTTCTCTCCCTAGCCCTCTCATATTATTATATACTTATATTATATGCGAAAATGACCACCTAGTTACTTACTTTTCGACAATGAATTCATTATCTTGTGCGTTGAGGATGCTGACAAGCTGTGCGCCATTTGCCTTACACTGTAAGTAAGCATCTTGAATGCTTGTTGGTGTGTCGTCCTTGTAGTAGCATTGAGCTCCATTCATTTGCCAGCCTTTTGGACAGTGTCTGTATGAGATTGCTAAAGTGAGAGAATAAAGTGAAAGTTTGTAAATACTGTGGATACTTTCTTATGTATTGTCACACCATTGTGAACAGACATTTACACTGCTGTCAGCAAATATTCATGAAATTTATGTCTATATGTTGGTAGTCACAGAGCTTGCTTGATCAATTCAAATATGAGTAAAATTCAGAACAGAATATGATTAGTTGGGCAGATATTATCAAGGACAATATAAAAAAATGGAACATTCATAATGTTAGTATTTTAAAAAGAATCATGATTAATGTTTCTATTATTAATTGTTTATGCTCTGGTAGACACATTGCACAGGAATTTAGACAAACTCCTGCTATTTTCTACCAGACTCTGTGGAGGAAAATAACATTTAAAAATTTTGAAAGAATTAATTTAACTACAGTAGCTTACGTGTGATGCACAGGTATGGCTTGGTGTCTGAGCAATCTGCATCGTGGTAGTAGTAATCAAAACTATTCAGTTTCAAAGTCACACAGTTCTCAGAATGATCGATGTCATTCGGTTGTCCACTTGCCCACTTTTTGTAGCCATTAAGGTTTCCATTTGACCACACATGGATCCCTGAAAGGAGGTAGAGTTTATAACAATGAGTGAAATTTTAAGCCTGTAAATTCCACTGTGCTTGGCAATGATTTGAAGTCATGGTTACCATAATCACCTACATTCTAACTACAGCACACTGTTGCATGGATGTTAATAATATGTAAATGAGCTTTACAAAAAAAAATTACTTTATTCGGTTTGTTTTCAGTTTTTGTCCTTATTTATTTAATTGATATTTACTTTTTATTACGTATTTCTTTTTATCTTGTGTTGGTTTACATATTTAAAGAATTTCATTTATGATGAAATAATGATGTTTGATTCCATGTATAAAAATATAATTATATAATACTCTACAGTATTTTCAATATTAGTTTTATTTATGCTTTGTACAAATAACACGTCTACCCTTTACTTACTTTCAAAATGCTTGTCATTCAATCCAATCCAGTGATCTTCATTGCCAGCCGGCAGGTTCAGAAGGTATTCATCCTGTACCTTGTTGAAGATGGTTTCATTGTGGAAGAAAGCCAAGTCACCTCCATTGATTAGACAATTAGATCTAGCATCATCAAATGTCTCAGGGTTTGGTACCTCTCTTAAGCAGAAGCCTTCACCATCTACTAAGATTAGATACTGCCCTTCCTCACATTCCATAACAGCTGAGATGTTTAAGAAAATCAATTATCATTAAAATCACTACATTACTGTAGTTAAAAAGTGGTAAATATTTATTGCTCACCTTCATTAATTCAAAATGTTCAATTATAGATGTTATAGGTTCTCCAATTTACATAATTTCAATTATTATTGTCATGTTCAAAATCAGATGTCTGTGCAAAAAATTATGTTTATATCAGCTGCTAGAAGAGAGGAACAAATCTAACGCAAACTTGACGGTACACTTGCAAGTTTACAGTTGGACAAATACATTTTAGCCACAATGCCACATCTGTCAGTACATTATTTTGGCACTGAGTATATGATACTTACGTTCAGTACAACCAGTATTTTCTTGAGGATTTATTGCTGGATTTCGACCATTACCCACAAGGCCTTCTGGACAGGAACAAAGGTATTCTCCATATTCGGGGATATGGTTGATACATGTAGAATTGTTCACACAATATTCACTGTACAGGTAGCATGGATCGTTACTGTAGTCTATAGCATCAGTCACGAATGTGGAGGATGATTCTATGCCAAAGAAAACGAAATATTTTTAAAGTTATATACTGTTGACGACAAAATAAACTAATTAACCATAATTTGGTGTAGTGAATTTCCCTCATATCAGTCCTGGTTGTGTTTTCCTATTTTATTTCTACAAAGAAACCAAAAACTAAAATTTACAACGATTCAGTGAGTAAAAGGGGATATAGAACATACCTTCGCACACATTATTGACTTTAACAAATCCTGGATAGCAATCACAGCTGTAAGTGCCAGGTTCGTTAACACAATTTGAAAATTGTGGACACTCAGCTTCATCCGTTTCACATTCATTGACGTCTTTAAATAAAAAAATATGATTTGAATAAAGCAATTAGCAATCGTATAATCTTAAAAACAAAGCAACTAAGCACAGTACCTTTCTTTATTGTCGAAGCAATTTTGTTAGAAAAAAAACTTACCTAACGTTTCAATGACATTATTTGTTAGTCTACGGTGAGATACTTATCTGTCTTGCATTGTGTATGTTTGTGTGATGGTAGATGTGTACAGTACTCAAATTTGACAAGCATTTTGAATATTTTAAAAATTTTATTGCCATTGCTGTCTCCTTATACTTTCTTAGTTGCTTGCTTGCTTGCTTTCCTATCCTGCTTTTGCAGTATTTAACAAACTCACAGAAGATCTATCTTGGTTCTTGTGTGCAAGTTTTTGCATTTGTGGCACTCACACCACATATCTATCTTGTTTTGAAGCAGATAGCCCTCCTATGGGGCAGACTTATTATGTCAGAGGGTATTACCTGTGCAAATGTCCCCTTCTCCTTCATACCCATCGTGACATTGACATTCATAACTACCGTCTGAGTTGGTACATTCAGCATTAATGTCGCATCCATGTCCTTCTAAGCACTCATTGATATCTGAAGAGAATAAGTTGATATTTAAATGTCATCCCTTATATACATCATTATTTATTTTAAAATTAAACTGTCATGTACTCTCTAGGAATGAAAAGTGTTTTTAGGCCTAATAAGCAATGGTTATGGAAATATTCTACATGCCTTCACAGCTTTCTTGGCCGTCGCCAGTGCGCCCTTCTGGGCAATGACAACCATAGACACCATCCTGTGCGCCACAGACCGCATCATCATGACATGCGATGTCCACACACTCCATGTTACCTTCTTCCATACAGGTACATTGGCGACTGCAGTCTAAGGTGACCCACACTTGATCAATCTAAATATGTCAATATAAATATTAAATTTTTCATCAATCTACAATAAATTTAAATGATGTATTGCTTAAGATAATAAGGTAATAGACAATACAGTAATAATTTATTTTTATATACCTTTGTAAAGATTTTTTTAGTTCAAGAGATTTAAACAGAACCCTGATTTGAATGGGAATTATCATTTGATTTGAATAATGTACACTAGCTACTAACAATCAATCAATCAACATTTAAAAATTAATTACTCAATCGATTGTTTAAGTCACAATCACAACAGTTACAGCTTATGGTAATTAGGTGAATCCATAGTATAAACAATAAAGAATCATGTACCTCATAGTATGTGCCAGACTCATCTTGGCAACCGCACCGATCGCGTGGAATGCAATGTGTCCCACTAAGGATGTAGTTCTCGTCACATTCGCAACCCTCTTCGCATGAGTCAGGACACTCGTCTTCAGGAATGCTTGTTACGCAAGTCTCAGGGCATGATGTCATACATGAAGAGTAATGACTATGAGCAGGACACTCCATTGCTACAAGCAACATATAAAATCAATTAGAAAATTGTTTTGGAAAGATGAATAAATATTTTTTATTCATGAATTTAGATTCAGACAAAAAAAAAATAGACAACATCAACATTTAACACCTACTACATTTATATTAAAGATAAGTGTAAATAAATTGGAGATAAAACATTAATTATCGTTCACGATCTGCTACTACATTCAAGCAATATTCAGTCATTCAAGTATGATACACTAACACAAAAATATGATTATCATAATAACAATAACAAATAGACATGAAAATGACATTACATGCAAATTATATGAAAATTATATACAAATACATATAAACAAGTAAGCAACATACTATGCACTATGTAACTGAAGAAGAAACACCCAAACCTTAGCTCACTTGTTTTATCATAGTTGACAACAAAATGAACTAACATTTGGAAATAACGTACAAAAGGAAACAAGTAGTCAGCATCAAGCCTAAATCAAGCTCAGAGCTTTTTTTTTCTCTAAAACATGCACTTTCTGTTAATTTAAGTAATATATATAAAGGAGCAAGACATCTGCTATATATATTTTCTATGTAATCTACTTGACAGGAAAGCAATATCTTTCTACGCTAAATTATTACTGCACTAATTAAATAATGATGGCAAAATACAGCCATAGAAAAATCCAAACGATGAGTGTGTACACAGGACTAGCCTGAAATGTTAATGAACACAAAATATATGGAGTGATAAAATGATGAGGGTTTTCACACACAAATCTGAAAAAAACACAAACAAATAAATATGACAAATTATAAAGACAAAGTGAATGGACTGAATGATGACATAAATGTGAATGAAATATAAACACGAAACTAAAATAGAATTATGCCATTTCTCCCATATAAACAAGAATGTGTAGTGAAACTTAATGTGTCATCACACATAGTACTCAATACCTTCCCTAAATACTTTTATAAAATTTGAAATTGCGTTAGTGGCTAGGCTTGATTTTAATCTTAATACAATTAGATAACAACTAGTTTATAATGGTATTATATGTAATTTATTTCATAGCAACTTGCACAGCAATAAATTTATTATTTTAATTCAAAGATCAAAATAATTATTTAAATGTTTATAATTTTAAAGAGCAAATAATATAATTGTTAACAATATTCTATAAAAATAATATAAAATGTTGATATATAACTTACAGCAAAATTCTTCAGTTCTGAACGTGCGTTGGAATTCCACTCCTTGCGCTGCACAATCTTCATAATACTCGGCCAAGTTGTTACAGATCATCTCGTTGCCACCAATGAGACACAGATCATACACGCAAGCATGGAAGACATCCTCTGGGTCGATGACCGAATGGCAGGGTGCGAAAATACCTAGTGGGTCAATCAGTTGGCCGCAAAGGTCATTGGAACTCAATGCTTCTTCTCTTTCTGGATCACATTCGGGTTCTGGTTCTGTATCAATGTAGCAACTGGAAAAAGAATACATTTTTTTATAACCACTTTTTCCCTCATTAATATATTAAATTAACTCTGCCGTAACTATTTCTGATCTGTGACCCACAATGATCTACATTAATATAGATTTTTTCTTCTTTTTAATAGTCAGGTTTGTACCAGGGTCTACAGTACAAGAAGCAGCAACATTTCCTCTTAGTTAAACACTTATCTCGACAAGATCAAACTACACCAAATAAGCATACCGATACAAAACAATGTTTCAAGCTATGCATATAAAATCTACCTTGGATCCACATTCCAGCTATTACCCCAAGCCTTGCTGTTTTGTGCCTGCAGTAGGTCTGGCATAAGACGGTCATTGCTAGGATCTCCATCAGCATTGCCACAGAGACCGCCAGTGTTGTTAAAATACTCATCACCAACACCAACCTGTACACGGGTGTTGCCATCATATTTAACCCAGAAGTTTAGATCCGAGGTAAGTACTATGTTCCCTCCGACGAACTCTATGAAGAGACCTTCTGAAGGGTTTGATGGCATTGTGGTCTCAACTCCATCCAACTACAAGTGAAACAGATAAATAACATATTAATGTGTGCGGTTAAACAAACCAGCAACTTTTAGTATACTTTCTAGATACACTGCCATCTAAGGTAATTAAGCCTAGTAGCTAGTTCTTTATATCCAAGTTAAATATATATAAAAGCAACTGTAGAAAAATAGCCTTTTCATTTTTACAAAATTCTTAGGAATTTTACCAATAGAGTGTGTCCTCTGTTCATCTGAATGGTGTAACCATCAACCTCAATAATCACAAACTCGGACATTGACACACGAGTTCTTCCATTCCTAAACTGGTTTTTGACTGTTACAACAAACATTGGTTCCTCATGAAGCATGTCAACCAGGAAATGGTAGGAACAGTTTCCTTGGAAGTTCTGACGCCGGTTGTCAAATGACTTGTAATGGGGATCGCCAAATCCGTTACAGATGAGATCTAAATGGATGAAATAAAGGTGTTCTACTTAGACTCTGTCCACACTATTAATTTTATGTGGTGAATATGTGTGATTTGCTTACATATGTGCATCATTATCATATCACAACCATATATGGGCATGATGATATCACATCACACCAACATAATATGTAAATTAGTAGAACCTTGTCACATAAAAGGATGGGTAGAGCATTTTATCGTCATTTATTAACTTGCTTTATTATTGTTTCACATCCATTAGCAAGAACACTTGACACTTAATAACAGAATGGAATGGTACTTTTTAAACTTAAGTCTCTTTCAATTTATGGGGCTTTTGGTGTGCACCAGCTTTGTACTTGAGAATACACAAATCAAATAATTTTACTAGCTAATTATCAAACACATAAAATAATAGGCCTATCATTCTATGTCCTTTTCATAGATCCTTTAACTGACTGGTAATCAATTTAAGGGTGTTTGTAGTTCGTAAGTGTAAGTACAATTCAATAAAAATTAAGCACAACTTACTCAATGGTCGCTGTCTTCTACGACCAAAATGGTTCAATGTCGCTAAAAAAAAATATATATATTTTTTCAGAAATCCAAGCAAAGATATGAAACAAGGTTTTGTCATTTCTTTTTTGTTAGTTAATTATTTCAATGATAAATTCATGTACAGTGAGTTAATACCACAATGGATCACTTCCTTCATTTAGCCTCTTCATACCGAGACCATCCAAACTTAATCTCTAACATTTGCACTACGGTACATGCATATAAAAGTAACTTTATTCTAATCTACTTGTAAAATAGATTTATAGATTTTGTTTCAAAAATTGTGCATACTCGAAAAATAATTGCAATAATAATTAAATGCAAATACTGTAGATTGATTTGATCATGTGATCGGTGATTTCAACGATTAGATGATTTTTTGTAGTTGCTTTTAAAAAAAATTCTCTAAGAAGTTACATACTAAAGAAAAGAACATGTTGAGACAGATAATAATTGTTGACTTATATAGCGCATATTGTAGGGACCTCTATGCGCTTACATTATTATCCCCGGATCACTGATTCAAGCACATATGGAACTCACACTCAAGCCCCATGGGGGATTCCATAATGTTGCAGCTGTATTCAGTGCAGGCTGTGCTTGAACCTACCAGGTACCCACTTATACTCCTGGGTGGAGAGAGAGACAACCGTAGATAAAGTGCCTTGCCCAAGGACACAAGCGACTTGCACAGCGAGAGTTTTGAACCCCCGACCTCAAGGTTGGGAGTCCAAGCACAACCGATGCGCCAACCACTTCTACTACAGATGTTGAAGAAAGATGTAAACAAGTCAATTTTATGATAGCTATCTCACCTGAATCTGCACTGCTCTGAAGTCCTATGTATTCTGAAATTAATAAACAACATTAGGTATTTAATCTAACTGTTTGATCTTTTAACAAAAATCTTTGTATGTACTATCAATATTTGTGAGTTAAAGTTATCTTAAAAAAGTCTGCATTGTTTATTTAATAAATCAAGATTACACAATTCTGGATGTTGGCTTATCATGTTTATTATTACAATACATCATATCAGATACTATTTATAGAATGAAAGTTTTCCTCACCAAGATCACAGAATCGGAAATGTCCTGCGCTTCTGTAACCGGTGGAAAATCCAACAAAGTTCACCTCTAGTGGAATAGGGTCAGTCCACTTCATGAAGGCTGCCTCCCCTCTGCGTCCAACAGCAATCACACCGTCTTCCCAGTTGATCCAGTAGCTGCGATATTGTGTTCTACTAACCATTCCAGCACGTTTATGTACATATGTTGCCTCATTGCTGCAGCCACGGCATCGACGAATCACTGACCTTGAATTACGCCATCCACCAATTACAATTTCATACATTTCTGGTCGATTCTGGTTCATACTGGATAGGGATATGTGAACATCGTTGGATGCTTTGGCATCAAACATGATATGGGTTCCACTAATACGATCATATTGGTAACGGTACCAGAAGCGTGTGTCAGTAGTATATTCTCCAAACTCTCTACAATCTGGGAAAAAATATCTCAAATGTTCAAGCTAATTCTTAATAGAAAACCATAGTTCCAAATGCAATAGTTGACCAAAATAAATAATGTACTGTATATTTTCGCAATATTTGTTACTTTTGATGTTCTTTCATTGATTTTGAATTATAAATACATAATAGGTTTACTTTATTTTCTTTTCCATTGTATTAACATGAAATCTTGAATTACTTTCAAAATCAAGAGTTAATGAAACTAAAAAATGTATTATTTTTTTAAAGTCACATATTTAAGTTATAGTTAAAATATTTTATTGTTAACTTTGGCAACTGTAAGCTTATGATAAAATCAAATTTTAAAAATGAAATTGAAATTTACTCGTACCTGTGTTGAAATCACGCTCGGATAACTCTGCAAAATAATTAAAGTAAACATTACAATGTAAATTGAATTTAAAATATAAAGTTGATTATATATATTGTAGGTTGAAGGATTTTTTTTAATTGCCTTACTAGACATCTTAAAATACAGAAATAAATACTGTCTGTAGTTGGATAATGCATTACTTAAGGTAGTTTACCTTGGCCACAGAATCTGAAGTTTGCGGAGCTACGGCGTCCGGATGAAAATCCCAAGTATCTTACTGGTAACGGTTCCTCATCTTCCCATTCCATGAATGAAGGTTCTCCATCCCGTCCAACTGCGATATGACCATCTCCAAAGCTGATCCAGAAGGTTCGATACTCTGAACTACTGACAATGGTTTGCGTATGTCTGGTTTTAATTTTCAGACAATTCTGCTTGCAGCGTCTGATGGCCGACTCTTTTCCACGCGAAGAACTTATAACGATTTCATACATGTCTTCTACATCATAGTTTTGGTTAGAAAGGGCAATGAACACTTCATCGTTTGCTAGCACATCAAAGTGGATAGTGCTAGCTGTCAGTGGCATGAATGGGTAACTGAATAAATACTGACGTTCCGTTTGGAAAACTGGAGATGCGCGACAGGCTGTTAGAAAAAAAGATGATATAATGGTGATTATCAAATACAGGTCAATGTATTTCATTATTTTTTAGGTACACTCAACAAACAGAAACTTGGCTTATGCCAGTTCACCTGGTTAAGTATTTAACAACTTTAATATTCCATCATCTCAATGTTGAAATTATAATCATTTAAAATTGTAAATTAATGTCTCAAATTATCTCTTGTTTTAAATTTTGGCACTTGTGTCATCACATTTAGCACATTTTGTTATGGATACGGCATCATTACCATTAGTATTAAACATTGCATATAAACTAACCTGCATTTTCCTCCTCAGCAAGAACTGAAAAAATAGAAAATAACATAATAAAGTAAACACCATAAAACATATAAATTGTTGTAAAAATTGAATTATTTAGCAACAGATAGTTTTTTGGGAAAAGCACATTCTCCTCATTTAGAAATAAATTAAATACTCTCGAGATTCAAGAAATCTTTCCATCAGATATATTAAAGGCCTACAGTACATCTGTATAGAATTCAAGCAGTTAAATATTCCATACAATATGTTAGTTATTGTAGGAAATAAATAAATAATTTGTATTTTCTATTGGGTAAATTCTTAAAAGAATGGATGTTGTATTTTTCCATTTAAATATTTGTAGCAAATCAATTTTATTTTGGCAGAGAGCAACATTTAAGATTATTTATATGAATCCAAAATATATGAACAAATTAAAATTAAAATAATAAACAAGACAAAGTAAGTCTTACCTTGACCACAGAACTTAAACTCTCCGGTGTTCCCTTGTGTTGAGAATCCAACATAATTGACTGTTAGAGGTTCCTCATCTTGCCATGTCATGAATGGTGATTCACCGACTCTACCGACAGAGATCATTCCATTGGCAAAGTTGATGTAGAATGCCCTCCATTCATCCTCATTCACTACGGGCACGCGTGATGTATATTGCACTTTATCACAACGGTCTTTGCAACGACGAATCTTACACACAGATCGTCCACGTCTAGAAACTCCAACTGAAATGTGGTACATGTTATCAACGTTGTAACTCTGGGGGGACAATGCAATGTGGACATTCCTTCTGGCACGAACCGTAAACATTACTGAAGTCTCCTGAGTTTGGCTGAATGGATAGACAAAGTTATATGTGGAGTCTGTAGTTTGTGTCGGTGACTCAGCACATAATGCTGTTTGGTTTACGTTCACGTCTGCAAAAGTGCAAAATAAGTTAAAATCAACAACAATATTAACAATATTAATAGCACCAAAAAGCATACTAAATATAGCTACTAGAAGGGAATGAGGACAATTGTTAGGGAGACGGTTCGTACGTGGCGCCCTGGGTCGGACTGTTCCATTTATTTCGAAGGGGTGTTCCGTTTGGGAACCATGGCAATTAGTCGGTTTATCCAGGTAAGTATTCACGAAATAGACATAGCTACTATTGTATTATGCTTTAAAAAAGAATAAAATAAAGAACAAGTAATAATAAATATTTAAAAAAAATTACCAATGTCACAGAACTGGAACTCTGCTTCAACATTTGCCCCAGAAGTAAATGCAACAAATCGGACTTCTAATGGTTCTGGATCTACCCACATCATCATTGGTGCCTGATCGGCCATACCAACCATTATGGTTCCATTTGTCCAGCTGATCTCAAAACTCCTGAAGGCCAGGGCACTGAGTACACCCACACGTGTTGTACGGTAATCTACCATCTGCCTACAACCAGCTGCTCTACATCGTCTTATTACAGACTTCGCGTTGTTCCATCCACCAATTACAATCTCGTATTTCTCATCGACATTGTAATTTTGTCCTGACAAAGCAATATAGGCTTCTTTGGCTGCACGAACATCGAATAAAATGCTAGAGGTGTCGTTGGCCAATTCATTAAGCGAGTAGTCATATGTGTTGTCTCCCACAGCAGGCATCTGCAGTGCTCCACTACAATCTATAAATATGAATATTGATAACCATAATATATTTGCATATAATATTGGACATACAAGTAAGCCTTAATACATTAGCATTTTATTGACTCATGTAAAAAAAAAACAGGGGAAAATGGCTTTAACTGAATATAAATTTGTATGTTGGTGGTACATTATATTTATAAACCATTACTTGTAGGTAAGCATATGAACATTAAAATTTAATGTAATAAAATAACTCTTTATCAACATTATTTGTTTATTAATATTTCCATCAACTACAAAAAACAATATAAATAGAAATAGAATAAACTTACGTGTTACAGATCCAACTTGTAATGCTATGATGTTAAAACATACAAATACATAAATTTTTAATATCAATACAAATAATAATATACTTAAAATTCATTTAAACTTACTTTTTTTCATTATCATTGTCAATGTAATTAATAAAAAATATGATAGTAGTTCATGAGACAACTGCATAAAGATATCCCACTCCAATGCTTTTAACCATTAGTGACAATATACGTGTTATAGAAAAAGCTATTAATGAGAATCAACAGAAGATAATTAAAAAATGTAGCTAAATTAGGCTTAAAAATAAAAATGAAACAAAAGTGATTAATCTAAATGTTTGAATAGTCTGGAAACTCACCCAAATCACAGATTCTGAACTCTCCAGCAACTGCCTGGTCGGTTGCAACTCCAATGTAGTTCACAGGCAATGGGTCTTCGTCTGTCCATTCCATGAATGGCTCTTCTTCTTCCTGTCGTCCTACTTGGATTTGACCATCACCAAAGTTGATCCAGAATCCACGGAATTCCTCATTATCCAGTACGTTGACTCGAGTGTTTGTGACAGCTACAAGGTCTGGACAACCAAGGCACCGTTTAATGGAAGATCCTCTTCCGCTACCACCTCCAAGTATCACCTCGTACATATGGTTTGTGTCATGTTTCATACTTGACAGGCGAATGCGGGCTGCTTTCTGTGCCTTGACAGAGAAACTCACCTGGGTTGCTCCATCCACAAAGCGTTCATATTTGTACATTGAGACACCAGACCCGTCTGTTTCTACCACTGGGAATTCCTGGCAAACTGTAAAACGTTCATGAGTTATGTTTCATTAAATTCTTTACTACATTAAAAGTGTAACCAAAAAGTGGATGAGAGGAGGGTAAAATGGAGATAGTCTATTTGGTTCTAATCAAATTATGCGAAGATATTCCTCAGACACTTAATTAATGACAATGGAAATGAATCATGTTTCTTTTAATTTAAATAATATACAATGGAATGAAAAGATATGAATCTACATGATTCAAAAACTCATATATGCAACATATTTATTTCGAATGAATATTCATGATCTTCCAAATCATGGTCAGATAAAATAATCCTACTTACTTGCTGCATCGCCAGCCTCATGTTGTTCTGAAATAAAAGTACAATATATCAAATATTTTTAAGATTGAATTACAATGTACAAGTAAAATTAATATTGAGATTGATTTATTATTTTAACTAGACAGTGCAGGGCGGATTTAGTTGGTGGGTGGGGGGGCGCCCGGGCCAGCTACGGCCCGGGCGTAAAGAAAAAAAAAGAAGAAAGAAAAAGAAAAAACTGATCACCCAAAATTACTTAAGAGGTTATTTTCGGGCATCTAAAACACCGGACCCCCTGGGCTAGCATTATCTCGATCAGCCCCACTTTCGGCCCCCACACTTTTGGACATCTCTAGATCTGCCGTGCAGTGTATTACAACAATTCTTTTGTGAGTTATCAATTGGTTTTGCTAATAAAATGCTACATTGATATTTTTAAAAATGTGCAGTAAAAATACTTACGAAGGTTACAGAAGCGGAAAGCACCCTCATTATTTGTAGTTTTCATACCAACATAATAAACATCAAATGGAGAATCATCCTGCCATGTTAAGAATGCATCGCCACCAACTCTTCCGATGGATATGGCACCATTCTCGATGTTCACCCAGAAAGTTCTCCATTGATGTTCTGAAATAAATGGCATCGACTGAACCTTGTGTGTTTTGTCACATGAACCGGGGCATCGGCGAATGACTGCTCTTCTTCCGCGAGACGATCCAATCAAGATCTCGTATACTTTATCAACTGCGTAGTTCTGTGGTGAAAATATAATCTGGACATCGCGTCCTGCCATGACGTCGAATACGATATTGGTTGATGTAATTCTTGTAAATGGGAATGTGTATTCGTTGGATTCATCAGTTCTGATGATAGCGTTTGTAGAACATTCTAATTACCAGAAAAATATGGAAATTTTTAAATAAAAGAATATCTTTGTATAAGTGTATATATATTATAGTTTTATGAAAGTTATTAAGATATCACTTAAACAGTAACTCATTGTTTCATTTATGTATGAGGGGCAAGTTCCACTTGGCATTTACTCAGCTGGTATATTTAGGTACATATTCACAAACTAGATTAAAGATAAGAAAATTTATATTATGTCCAATACAGAAATGATTTAAAAATATATTAAAACCTCTTTTTTAATTTCATCAGGTAAAATTGGATAATTATACCAATATATAATTATATTTGTTTTTATATAACAATGTTTTAAATGATTTTAGTGTGTCTTCCTTACCTGAGCTAGTGGTATGGTTTCGGATGACACCTGTAATGGAAAGGAAAATGTAATGGTAACATATAAACATGAAAGTTCATCTAAAACAAAATTATAAAAAAATTTTAAAACTACAGAAATGTTCATCTACCATTGTGTATTTGACATCTGTACCAAATATTTAATGGATTTAATTAAATAATTAAGTATATCGCAGAATCAGAACACCTTTAGATACTTTCAATTTCAATTAAATTATTTTTTACTATGATTAATTAGATAACTTATAGTACCAAAACAAGTAATGCAATATCTCACGTTGGTCACAGAATCTGAATTCTCCAGGTATATTAGCTCCAGTTGTGAAGCCAACATACTTGACCGAGACTGGTTCCTCGTCTGTCCACAACATGAAAGCTGGCTCGTCATTATAACCAACAGCAATAATGCCCTCACTGAAACTGATCCAGAATGACCTGAACTCTGTGGAATCAAGGAAACCTGAACGAACATTAGCCTTCACAACTTTCTGACAGTTATTAGTGCAACGTCGAATCACGGACCGTGTGTTACTCCAGCCACCGATCACAATTTGGTACATGATGTCAATGTCGTAATTCTGTGGTGACAGAGCGATGTAGGCATCTTTGCTTGCCTTGACATCAAACTTGATGGTAGTGACATCCCGATGCAATCTTGCATATGCGTAGTCATTCTGACCATTGCCATCACTTTCAAGTACAGGTGCAGTTGAACATTCTGCATAAATTAACAATTATTTTAATTATTCAAATACATTTTCTAAACTAAATAAAAATTATCAATTCACAACCGGGTGTGTTTGTTTTGTCATACATTACTCTTTAGTTATATTACAATAATTGTCTCATTTGTATTTTATTCAACAGATATTGTTCTCATTGAGAAATTTTCCTGGGATTGGCAATTAGTTTTTGCCAAGCATGAATGCTTTGGCAGTGGTCATCCCGCACTCTCACGCTGGATTTTGGGCAGTAATGGTTCCCCATAGATCCAGTAGTCTTTTTTGCCTGGTATTTCATTGGCGGGACTTAAATACCTCTTCACTTTCAAATTCGGGTTGTTATAAAAACCTTCCAAAACATATTTTCATGTTTTTTTTAAATTAAAAAATACAAAACTGTTAATTATTGATCAAGTGTACGCAAATGTATTAGCATTAACAACATATAATATATAATTATATTACAATTTTCAATATTAAAACAAAAAAAATTGAAATATAAATTTTTAAAAATCACAATTAAATAAAATGTAAATGAAAATTTACCTGATTGACTTCCAGATTGTAAAGCTGTAAAAGACAAAAATAGAAATTATATATTGATTTTAATTTATTTCACAGTCACATTCATATTCACATATGTGATTACAATAGAAAAATTAATGCATGCCTATAACAATCAATGAAAATGAGATGAATTTTAAATAATGAGATAATAAATTCTTAAGAGAAAATATATGTGGAATTAGATACTGTTAGAAAAATACAAGTTGTCAAATAAATTTTATATTAAAAAAAGGTGTAAACGCATAATACGTACCCATATCACAGAATCTAAATTCTGCAACAACACCTTGCGCAGAGGTGTAACCAAGGTACTTAATATCTAGTGGATCTTCATCTTGATATTCCATGAATGCTGCCTCTCCAACACGTCCCATGGAAATAACTCCTTCATCAAAGCTCAACCAGTAGCTACGGAAATACTCTTCCGTCAAATATTCATGTACATTTTGTTCCGTTCGGATTAAGTTGTCGCAGTTGCTGCATCTTCGAATGGCCGAGTATTGGTTTCTCCAGCCACCAAGAACAATCTCATACATGTCCTCACGGTTGAACTTCTGCTTGGATAGACTGAATCTTACTTCACCATTTGCCTTGATATCAAACTGCACATAGCTTGTGTCTTCTGGGAAGGCAGCTAAGTCATAGTGGAAATGGAGAGGTTCGTCTTCCTTACGGAATGTATGAGCATGTGCACACACTGTAGTAATAAAAGAGATATTATTCTTCAGTTTTGTAAAACAATTAAAAAAAAAATTGAACAGTAATACAATGTCTTCCAATGGACGTGTGAACACTTCAGAAGTTGTGAAAATGGTTCCAACACTAAGCCAACAGTCATCACAGCTTGCTATGTCAGGATTTTGAAGAGGTACTTATGTGATAATTCATGTATATATTCGAAAAATATTTGACACTCAATTTTTATTTTAACACTCAACAATGTAAGATTGTATTGTACACTTAAAAAAAAATAGATTGATTAAATACTATTAAATTTCACATTATTAAATGTTTATAATCCTTCACTTTATTAGCAGTAAATGTATGCCAAATGTATCGCAAATTAGAAAATAGCATACATAGTAACGACTACAAAAACAAAGGATATCTTGTCAAGTTGAAAATAAATCCAAGGCAAAATAAGACAGAATAGCTTGAAAAGACTGCTAGAAATTTCGCACGTGGCGCCTTGGTTCGCACGTGGCGCCTTGGGTCGGTCTGTTCCATTTTTTTTCGAAGGGGTGTTCCGTTTTGGGAACAATGGCAATTAGTCGGTTATCCAGGTAAGTATTCACGAAATAGACTGCACATGCATATTTCCATTTACATTGGAACTCATTTAATGCTGTGTTTACACTGGTCTCTTATACACATCTACACTATTTTATACTTACCCAAGCTGTCATGCTGTTCAGAGATTTCTGTGAATAAACAATTTAAACCATTAGTTCAGTTAAATCAATTCTAATTATTTGCAAAATTCAATTTCAGTTTATCATTACAACAGATGAAGCTGGCTGATACTGTCATAAAGGGTAGTGAATACATTTTATTCCAATTGGTGTTCCATATTTCATAGTTTCATTTACTTATTTGCCTAAAACAAAAGACAAACAATTGCAAAAATAGACTGATTTACCTTTTATTGGTAATAAATTACTACTTCTATTTTTGGTTATAGGTAAGTAAATTGCAAAAAAATAAGTGCTTCACAACCAACATTTACTCAATTTGCAACCAAGAAGCCACTTTTCACAAACTAAGTTCTGTCTACAACCATGATACGGTGATGTATCATTTCATACCCATATATAAGCAAACCACAGGTAATTTTCACATTCATCTAAAGCCTGGTTTCAATAGAACTGCTACACAGTCGCAACAGCGTTTTCACTGCAATCCTTGCACTGCGTATCTGTCCCCAACACAATCGGGAATGCTCCGTAATTCAACTGAACACTCAGTGGCGCCAAAGGAGTTGGCGATAGCGTGTAGCGATTTTTTCGAAACCTGGCTTAAGGCAAGCATTTCAGCAGCCAGATAACAGTTATACTCAAATTGATTTTTTACTTCTTAATAGCAATTATATTTCAGTTTGAACGTACCAAGGTTACAGAACTTGAATGTCATAGGCACATTTCTCCTGGTCTTGAATCCGACATAGTTGATCATCAAAGGCTCTGGATCCTGCCATTCTAGGAATGCATCATCATCACCATCTCTGCCAACCATTACACGACCATGTGAAAACGAGATCCAGAAGCGGCGTGGTGTGTTTGCATTGATGTAAGTTGAACGCGACAGCCTATCCGTATCCACAGCAGCACAGCCTTGACACCTATGAAGACTAGCAGACCTACCCCCTCTTTCGCCAATTAAGATCAAGTACATTGTAGGGATTTCGTAGTTTTGAGTAGACAGTGCGATGGTGGCATCACTTGCTCCAGTCAACTCAACCTCAATACGAGAGGCCTCGTCGGGAAGATGAGCAATATGGAAGTGATAGTCGTCATCTGAGCCATCTAGTTCAATCAATGCTGATTCAGCACAGCCATCTGATGCTGTGAATAAAACAAACCATTAAAAAAAACATCTGTTGATATAATTGTCCCAAATGGGCTTCCTAATGTGACTCTGATCTACCTGTGTACTTGGGAAATGAAAATAATAAGCATATTGAGATAAAATTAATCATTTTTATACTTACCAGTGTCACTGTTTGTGATTGGAACTGAAAATAAAATATTTCCAAATATTAATAAATATGTATATAAATATTACAAATACAAATATTATAATAGTTACAATATTACTATAACACTATTAATTAAAAGGAAGAAAAATAGTGAAATAAAGTGGGATTTATATATATGTTGGGAACACTATTTGTTTTTACAGCTCAATTGTATTATCTATGGTGTACTCACTAAGATCGCAGAATCTGAACTGAGCAGCAACACCAGGTCTGGAAGCGAATGCTACATATTGCACATCTATCGGCTGTTCATCGGTATAACTCATAAACGCTTCTGCTTCTCCTTCTCGTCCAACAGAAATCACTCCATTTTCAAAGCTGATCCAAAAGGTACGGAAAGCTTCACTGTCAATGTACTTTGCACGGCTCTGTTGGTCTTGTATTAAGTTGCGACAGGTACGGCAGGTACGAATAGAACATTTTTTGGCCCCACTAAAACCAAGTATGATGACATATTCCTTATCGACATGGAAGTTGAACTCGCTGAGTAGAATGTACACATCATTTGAGGCTTTGACGTCGACTTGGAAGCGGGTCATTGAGCCCGCAATTGGCGCAAAATCATAGTGGTAATCTTGACTCACGCCATCTGTGTGTAGAGTTGATGATGCTTGACAGACTGAAGGAAAAAAAAAACCAAATGCATTTTTCTAATTTATTCAAAGAGAAAAACAAAACAGTGAGTACCATAGAACTGCATCTAAAATAAGATGCATATAAGGGGCAGATAAAGAGACAATACTACCAAAGTGCTATTGCACCTGGAAAATTTTGTATTCTAGATGCCCGGAAATTGCTTCTGAGGCATTTTGGGTGATCAGTAATTTATTTTCCTTTATTCCTTTTTTTTCTTTTCAGAGGAGAGGTCTTAAATCTGCCCCTGCATATCCCAATAATACGTAAAGTAGACAAATAGTTACAATTATAAGCCAAGATTATATCTTTCGATTATATCGGTATCTTTACTCAAATATTCAAAATACAAACAAAAAGTCCGTAGCAGCCAGAGGCTAATTATTATTGTCAGACACTGTAAATCTAAAAAAAACTATTTAATCTTGTATTTAATTTCTAAAAAATTAATAACTCAATTATCTAATATGAAACAAGAACAAAACTCACCTGAGCTACCTGCAAACTCAGTTGGTGCTAAAGGGAAAAAATATAGATAATATATATATTAATTATAATTGTTCCTTAGTTATTAATTGAATTAATTATAACTGATGCTAAGTTATTATTTGAAAAGACAAAGTATCTAGGCAAGGGATACAAGCAATGTGACTGTAATCAAACTGAATCTCAGAACCACTTGAGGAAGATCAATTAAATGCTTTTGAAATGTGGATTTGAAAATGAATAATAAAGGTTAGTTTGAGAAAGTAATGAACGTTGAGGTCTTGAACAACATTGAATGAAGATAGAGAGCCATTAGCATTCATTAGAAACAGGAAGAAGAATAGGATTGGTCTCATACTTAGGGGAAACAGTTTGCTAAAAGATGTAATTGATGGATGGTTGGAAGGGAAGAGAAAAAGTGTACAAGAAGAAAGGGATTATTGGATGTTTTAGAATTGGGTGGCTATGCTGCAAAAAAAAGCAAGGCACAAGACCACACTGAATGGAGGAAACTAAAAAAACTAATTCATACAATGACCTGCTGGAATAAGCAGAAAACCACTGATGATGACAAAGAGGATGGTTGTAATATGACATCATCAAACACATTCATGGGCATATCATAATATCTCTCAAACTTCATAGTGGGTTAGGATTAATTTCTCACAACTGAAGAATTCAGCCATCTTATAGAAAGATTTATGAATGGAGCATCGTGTGTTAACATTCGAAACAGATCAGAAGTGGTTAAAAGCTACTTATACATATAAAAGAAACACATGAGTAAATGAGGGCTTAACTTCCAATAACCAAAACAAAATTGCTGGGTTTAAAGTAACAAATATTTAGATTACCTAAGTTGCAGAATCTGAATGTCGCTGGACGATTTCTTCCTGGATGAATACCAACATATTTTACTGATAGTGGCTGGTCGTCTGCCCATGTCATAAATGGTTCCTCCAAATCCCCCTGTCCAACCGACAAGGTTCCTTCCTCCCACGAAATCCAGAAATGTCGTAATCTGTCCCTGTCCAAGAAGCTTGACCTTGAAAGTTGTTTCGTTACTAGGTCCCGGCAGCCAATGCACCGTCGTATCGATGAACTTCTTCCGTCAGATACACCGAGAACAATCTCATACATTGCCTCCATGTTGTGTTTTTGGGATGAAAGAGCTATGTAGACATCACTTGATGATTGCACATCAAATGATACCCTTGTCGTGGAATCTGGTACCTTTGTGAGTTTGTACAAGTAGGTGTACTTACTGCCATCCATTTCTATAGCTGGAGCTGCCTGACATTCTGTGCTGCCGTTTGTGAATGATACCTCTGCAAAAAAAATTAATTAAAAATTAACAATCTTTAAAATATATAGATATTCATAGAGTATATACAGTAGATATTCATAGAGCAACTTCTGACAAAGGTTGCAGGGTGTACGAACATCAGCTACTAATTAGTTAAAGCTTTTTCATTAAACATTACAAATTTACAGTATATCATGTTGTTTCCTTATTCAAATGTTCTGAAATATTCTTATTGAGTCACTATGTAGCTATTATTTATTATTATTAGCTATACTAATATTTCAATATTTTGTGTGTATTGAATTGTACTGTTTTTTAATGTTAGGTATTTTTAGTGTATAGAATCATTATTACAAATTTTATGCAATTCAGCTATTTGATGAAAATTAAAATATTGAATTGAATTGAATAATTATTTATTGACAAGAATCTCTGATGTTTAAAGTTAGTATAGATTATAAAAACAAACAATATTTAAAAATAATTACCAAGGTTGCAGAATCGAATCTGTCCTTGTTCATATCGTTTACTTGTGAAACCAACATAGCTCACTGCAAGTGGTGATGTATCCAGCCAAGAAAGGAATCCTTCACTTTCCCCATCATAACCAACTTCGATGTTTCCATTTCTGAAACTTATCCAGTAGCTCCGCCACTGGTCAGAACTGAGGAAGCCGCTGCGGCTTAGACGATCTGTCTGTGCAAGTACTCGACAGCTACGGCAGCGTCGGATGTATGTCTTCCTGTTTGAATCACTGCCAAGCTCAATTTCGTACATGTCTTCCATGTTGTGATTCTGCGATGAGAGGCTGATGAACAGGCTACTGCCAACACGCACGTCAAATTGGATACGATTGGTTAGTCTCGGAAGACGGGCAAGAGTGTAAGCGTATACGTTGTCTGCGCTTAGTTCTAACTCTGCATCTGCCTGGCATACTATTTGTTGTAAACAAATAATGTACTCTAGTTATATCACATAAAATATCTAGATACATTATGCAGTGATAAATCCATATGAAAATTAACTTAAATTTTTAAATTATAATCAGCTGCATACAGCTTAGTAATAAATTATTAATAAAGTAGTATAGTAGTCGTATTAGTCAGTGTATACAAATGAAAAAATGATTAGGTTGTACTATTTTCACTAATGATGAATTTTATTTACAAGTAGGCCTACTACTATTACTACAGCCATTCATTCTTCAGACTGCTAATTGTTATAATGATCATATTGTCATGTACATGCACTAGGAATTAAGTTGGTATATAAAAACTCACCATCACTATTTATAACTTCAATATGACCTGTAAAGAAAAAAGTAAATTTTTGAATAATGTTGCTTATTGTAAATATCCAGAATAAAATACTTTTTGTATTATTTTCTCTCATCTCTAGACTCTGGTACTGTCTACCAAACAGAGCTTTTCATCTTAATCTCATTCATATTCCATCTCTCTAACTTGAACCCTTGAAAAACAACCCAATACTTTTACTGTACTTTTAAATGGCCTATGATAATATTTATCCTAAAGCATGTCCTGTTCAAGGTCCACCAAATATACGTTTGCTTTAACATATAAGTAGCACTATGCTTATAAAACCAGCAAATGAATTATGACAGAAACATGCACTTTACAAGAAATTCTGATAATGGTGTTGATAGGAGTGGGAGTATTGCTGGTGTGAATTACACCAGGGGTAAACCCACTAAGTCAGAAGACCAGGAGGCAATCTCCTACTTGTACTGTGTTCTTTAACATGCAAATGGGTCACATTTCACACAGGAACAACAGCGGCTTAAAAGTCTCTTTCAAAAGACGGTTAACCTTGCAGCTGAAACACAAGGAGAGCATTGGGAGGAATTGAACTGGGAACCAAAATATCTCCACAGTTAAGCTACCACCAGTTTAGCTGACTGACCTAAGTTTTTTTTTAAACAACTATGAAGCATTACCTAAATCACAGACTCTAACAGTGGCCTGGAAGTTCCTCAATACTTTTACTCCAACGTATTTAACATCTAGTGGATTTTCATCCTGCCACTCCAAGAAGGGTTCATCTTCTCCACCACGTCCAACTTTAATGTGACCGTTATCAAATTCTACCCAGAAGTTACGGAACTCATCTGTATTTATGAAGCTGGTTCTTTGCATCGAAGCAGTAGCCATGTTGTTACAATCTTTGCAACGACGGATAAAGGTTGCACGACCATTGCCATTTCCGAGTAGAATCTCGTACATGTCCTCGACTTCGTAGCCTCGGCTTGACAGGCTGATATAGACATTGCGCCGACCTTGAACGTCAAACACAATACGGTGCATAGTGCGAGGTATCCGCTGAAGATTGAACTTATACAGGAGGTCAGTTCCGGGTAGTGATATTTCAGTGCCAGATGCACATACTATAAAAATCAAATAAAAATAATTCATTGGTTATAGATTAAACAACTTCAATACATTTATTGTGTCTGTATGTGTTTAACAGCTGTAAAGATTGAAAAATATTACTATTGCAAAATTATCTTACCTTGACTTCCACGAGGTGGTACTTCGCCTGAAAATATAGAACAAACAAGTTTACTTTCAATATTTTTACTAAATATATCTCCATGCATTGTTATGATCATTAAATAACTCGATAAGCTTTAATGTTTTAATGCTAATTTCTTTTCAAACAACATCAAGCATTTATCATTTTTAATGCAACAAAAGGTAACTTACCTTCAATCAACGAATCTGGATTAGGCTCTGTGCGTTTAAAAATAACGACTGATTAGTTTTAATCTTAAGAGATTAAATTACACTCACCAATATGGATAATTTAAAATCAAATAATATCCGAGTCACCATTTGAAATTCATTAATCCCTTGCTTATTTGAAGTCAGGATACCAATCCAGAACATGCACCGAATACCATAGAATATGCTACTTGAAAATAGCTACACCACTCACAGAAGGGATACAACAGTTATTCAGAAATCTACCACAATAATTACACACAGACAACAACCTGACAGATAAATATGAGCTGGAAAAAAAACTCACCAATACCAGGATTATTATACTTTTCAAAGTAATATTGATTGAAACATAAAATTACACATTGAGTGCAAGAATAACTGCAACACCATGATTTACAATTATATGTTTACTTGTTAGATATATTTAGCACATAACACAATATTTTTGTTGTGCTTGCATACACAATGTGCAACTTCCTCTCCTCCATGTGGATTTTACATTGCTGTTCCGCTGATTCAGCTATGCCCAAGCTTAATTCAAACTCATTCACAACATACTATGTACCCACTCATACTCTTGGGTGGAAAAGAATTAATGTAAAGTGTTTTGTCCAAGAACACAAGCAATGCGACCAACGTTTAACTCAAACCCACAACCTTTCTATAGGCCCAAAGCCCAATGACATACTGCTGTACCACATTACAAAGATGATACCCACAATACATTGCATTTTAGAATAAATTATTAAATGCAAAAATCCCACAGGACACATTATTGTACAACATAGCCCACAATATATGATTTTAGTCTCAACAAAGGACTAAAATTTAATGGGGCATGCACCATAGAAGGAAACATTTTCTTCATTGTAGTAACATCAAGATGTACGAGTTTGAAACCAACAACAAAGAGGACATGCACTGTAGAAAAAAAAACACCCATTTGCTTCATTTTCTACTTGCCCACGTCACAGAATCTGATGGCACCATCGCCTGAGAACTTGAAACCAACAAACTCAATTTGTAGAGGGTCTTCATCTTCGAACCTCAAGAATGCACCTTCCCCGTCACGTCCTATTGCAATGGTACCTTCCGCAAAATCGATCCAATAGCCACGGAAATGATCACCACTTACATATACTGACCGCGACAGCCTGCTTTCATCAAGGGCACGGCAATTGGCACAGCGTCGTACCTGAGCAGACCGTGGGCTGAGGTAGATCTCATACAAATCATCTACTTCATAGGTTTGACTTGAGAAGCTGACGTAGGCATTGGCAGATGTCCGAATATCAAAATGTATGCGCGTAATGTTCGCCGGAATTCTCTGAAGATGGTATGCGTAAGTTTGAGATGAAGGTACTTCGAATAAGTGATTTAATCGACAGACTGAAAAAAAGAAGAGTACAGTATCCAGAAAATATTATCTATAAACAGAAATATATTTACCATAAAAACTATGCATGCTGTGATTTATAATCAGGCTAACATTAAATAGCTGCAAATTGTAGTAGTGATGTTACATCTATTCTCTTTGGTTAGTTTTGAATTGCACATTTTCAAGCAGTTACAAAAGCAACTAGCTTTTCCAACTTTTATTACTAGCATTTAGAATACATCATTTTAATATACATTGAGCACTAAGTAGCATGCACACAGCAGCAGAAATAATTGGAGCTAATTAAACACGTTTTTGATTTTAAGAAATTTTCACAAGACATATAACTTATATAATTTTATACTAAATAATGAACTGTACACAGTGTAGCTTATATATTTGTCTATTTTCTGTTGAAGGGTGTTTAAAATTTAGAAAATGGTTGGCATTGATGGCAATAGTTTGTTTATGACAAAAAAAAACTCTAACTAAGGCTCACCTTCACTGGTATGAGATTCCAATTCAGCTGGAATATAATAAGACAACAGATGATTAGAAATAATTAAAGTAAATGTACAGACATTTTTTATAATATGTGTAAGTGTACATTATTTTTTTATTTCACTGGATGAAAAAAAAGCACTAGAAAGGCAAGTACAGAACAGGTGAACATGTACGTCTACAAAAAAAAATGTGAGTGAGCCAATGATTGTCTTCCACTATATGACTGAAAAAAATTGTGATACGCATTTTTTGCACTAAGGTTGCTGCCATTTTGTTATTACAACTAAAAACAACTCTACTCCCTAAGCCTTTATTTACAAAATCTTTAAAAATTAACTCACGGAAATTGCAGAATTTGAAAGAAGCAGTGATGGATCTTGCTGATCTTACACCAATGTATTTTACAGGCAGTGGATTTTCATCCTGCCATTCCATGAAAGCCTGCCGATCTCCTCCTCTGCCAACAGACACAGACCCATTCCGGAACCTTATCCAGTAATTCCTCATCCTGATAGGTTCAATGTATTTGGAGAGGCGAACATTGATGCGAATTTCCTCTCGACAGCCTCGACAGCGACGAATAGATGCATCACGTGGGCCTAGTCTAATCTCATACATATTATCCATATCATAAAACTGGGAGGACAGTCCGATGTAAGCTTCACGAGAGCTTTGAACGTCAAATGACACCATATGTACACCACGGGGTATTGCGTTCAGTTCATACTTGTATGCATCTGTACTACCATCAAGTTGAACTGGTGCTGACTGCTGGCAAGCTATGAAAATGCGAATTATAAATTAATTAAAATGGTAAATTCTGATAAACCATTCATATTTATTTGTATTTTAATTTAATACATAATGCAAAAAAATTAAATAAAGGGTACTAAAAGGCCACTTTTGGTTGAAAACTTAATAGTGAAGGTGTTGTCTATACTGCTGGTAAAAATAAATAATAATGGTATAAACTAAGCCTTGCAGTAAAGATTATTGAGTGAAGTTTGATTTAAGTCTTTTTGTTAAAGCCCCACACCAATTACCTACAAAGGGTTTAGATAAATATAAATTAAACTAAAAAAATGGTCACTTACTTGTGCTGCCCTCTTCACTCATTATTGCTGAAATACAAAAACATAACTTTATTAAAATGTGGAAAGTATCAACGGATATCTTTAATGAAAATTCAATGCTTATTATTTAAATTCAAGGGTAATATAAAGGTGAAAATAGTTTATGTCTAAATCAAATTGTTCTATTTTTGTTGTTGGGGTGTTCTTAAAGGAAAAATGGCAAATTTGTCGGCTTATCTAGGTAAGTATTCACTAAACAGACTGTGAAAATAAATAAAAAATACACCAATCAGACTATCTCACCTAGATCACAGATTCTGAGTTCACCTTCAACTCCATTAGCCATACTGTAACCAAGATAACGTACAAGAAGTGGTACATCATCAGTCCACTCTACTAATGCCACCTCTGAGCCTGTGTAACCAACTTGTATTCTGCCACCTGTGAAATCTATCCAATAGCTACGGAAATTCTCTGGGTCTAAGATAGTTGTGCGTCTCAATCGGAACTCAGCAGTGTTGCGGCAGTTGGAACATCTACGAATGCCTATTCGACGGTTACCATTGGTGCCCAGTAAGATCATATACCCTTCATCCATGTTGTAAGGATGTGCTGACAAAACAATATAAGTATCCCGATTTGCTTTCACATCTACTGTGAGGCGCGTGATGTCACGTGGAATGGCTTGGTAGCCGAAGTGATATGTGTTATCATTTCTTTCGACTGCTTTCACAGGGAATGCTTGGCAAGCTGCAGATGAAATAAGAAAAGAAATACAAAAATATACTTTGAATTTGTACTGACATGAATTCCACTGGCCAGGATTAAAAAACACATGTGAACCCTAACAAGTGGAGGCCAGGTGAATATTTCATAAAATATATTATACTGAAAACTTTAGCCAAATGATATACAGTTAAACTTTCCTAAGTTGACTTAAACTAAGTTGACCTAACTCAAATATTTCTAAGTCAATATTATTTTACAGTGAGTCATACAAAATTGTTGTGTTTTCAATTAATTAACCATCTGTAAGTCGATTTTTATCTAAGTCGAACAATTTTTCAATGCCATTTTGGAACTGTATGATTATTTAAAGGCATTTAAAATTCTTAATTAAGGAAGGATTTACAATAAAAAAATATATGCTTACATGTACTTCCAATCGTTTCTTCTTGTGCTGTTAGAAAAAAAGGTTTAGAAATAAAACATTTCATTTCAGAGTTTGAAAAAAATTATTTCTTTATTTATAATTAATTCATATAAAGTGTTAATTTATTTATTATTCAATTCATATGATCTTATATATTTTTTTCAAAATGTGCCTATAGTTGATATTAATTATTTTAATCTATAATAATGATGACTGGTCTTACATAATCCACAGAATTTGAATGAGACAGCATTATTTCTTGCAGTTCTGACACCAATGTATTTAACAGCGAGTGGTGTTGGATCAGTCCACTCTATGATTGGTTCCTCATCATTCTCCCGACCAAGTTGAACGTTCCCATCTGCAAAGCTTATCCAAAAATGTCGGTGTTCATCAGAATTCACTAAAGTCGATCTTCTTTGTGTCATCTGAACCTTGTTTGGCCCACCTTTGTATCGACGTATAGACGCTCCACGGGCTGACCAACCGCCTATCACTAACTCATACATATCCTCCATTTCGTACGGTTGAACTGATAGTGCAATGTATATATCAGCTCTTGACTGGATATCCACTTCCAAGCGAGTGACATCTTCCTCCAATTGTGTAAATGCAAAGTGGTAGGTTTGATCAGTCCCATCCAATTCAAATGGACTCGTTTCCTGGCAACCTTTTGAGTAACATTTGACAAAGGCAATAATTATTTGTTTATTTGCCCTAAATGTTTTCTTTATTAAAATCCATTTGTTTTTGGAAAAATCGAAATATTTAGGTGGTAATATTTATTATTTGAATATGTATTTATTCATATTTCAATTGTTTATCATATTGGAATTTTTTATGATGTGTTTTTAGGTTTTGGGATTCTTCTTAATATTTTTTATCTTAAGCTAGATTTAGGTATATAATTAAGTCATTTAAATTCTTATAAAGTTCACAACTATTATTAAAAAGTGTCACAGACCACCAAAACTCTAATGAAAATTCTAGGATGACTAATTTTTTTTTAATTGTTGTCATTTTGTTTTAAATTTTTATTTTTATATATTAATAATGATTGTTCATGGAAAGATAAAAGTAGGTATCATTGAAAAGAATTCATTCTTTGACTATTCCAAGTCCTGTTAACCATCTACTGTACCATGCACAACAACTCTAAATTAATTTGAGCGTATAACAGGATTTTGGTGAAAGCTACTGTACCATGTACGTAACATGTGAGTAGGGTATACCTGACATTATAAAAATTAAATTATTTTATGGTTTCACTTATTCTACAATGGACATGTTTGCTTACCTGTACTGCCTCTAGTAGCTTTGCTAGCTGCAATGATAATAAAAAGAAAAATTACTTAATTAAGTATACCAATATTGACCACCTTTTATAAAGTTTAATCTGATGTTTATGCTAAAATCAGATTTAATGCAAGCCTAAAGTAGATTTAAATCATTACCATTATCAGGAACAGCTGTTCTGGGCTTTACTGGTCAAAGACTACCCAAATATTTCCATTTCCTATAATCATACTATCAATGACACTTTTAAATCAGGAATAATTGAAAGATATTCTTACCAAAGTTACAGAATCTGAAGATTCCAGGAACTCTGTTTACACGTACTCCAACATACCGCACTGTTAACGGCTCAGAATCCAGCCAAGAAACGAATGGTTCAGTGTCTCCATCCCGACCAATCGACACGGTCCCATTTGCAAAGTCAATCCAGAAGTTCCTGAAAGATTCAGCATCCAGAAGCGGTGCCCTGCGGTACTGTTGTGTTGCTTGATCTGCGCAGGATGCACAACGTCTGATTGATGAAAACATGCCATTGCGTAGGCCTAATGTTATCTCATACATATCATCCGTACTGTATGGATATGGTGATAATGATATAAATACATCTCGCTGAGCCTGTACCAGGAATTGTATTCGCCTGCTACTGGGTGGAACCTCCTGGAGCTGGTAGGTGTAATCACTTTCAGAGCCTTCTAGCTCAATAGTGGAACCCTCACAAGCTAGATCAAAATTGTCAAAACCAATGCAATTGACAGTTTGCAACAAAACGTTCATCATATTCATAGATTATGCATGCGTGTACCCGATAGACAGAAAATACCATTGTACCACTTCTGTAAATTTCATTGAAATTTGATGTCCAAGTAACATCAATTAAACCATTAAAAGAACCATACAACAACAGAAAAGTAACCATAAATTCATTTAGAACAACATACAGAGAAGAATTACCACATAGAAGATACCTGAACAAAATCCCAAAGATGAACACATGATATATTCACCTAGAGTCCTGATTATACAGAAATATGAATGCACAGTACCTGAGATAGATGCCTGTACAAATACCAAGACATTTAGAACCTGACAAAAATATCATTGTATGATCCAGAATTGAGTAAACCACATCTGTATTCCAACATAAATACTGGGCACATGCACATAGACAGTTTACCAAGAATAAGGGCTGTTATAAGTTCCCACATCAATGACAAAAACAATCAACCTCAGATGTATATCAAGATGGTTATTAACATGAAATGCCAATAGTCTAATACCACTTTAACCAAACATGTTAACACTTTAAACTTACTTGTCACATCGTTAATCTCTGCCTCACCTGTTTGATAAACACAAAACTAATTATGACAATGACAGTACTCAGTGTTTGACTGCAACATTATAGATATGCATGTAATTTTTTCTACTTTCTTGATAACTGAACTACAAATAATGTTTTTAATTGCTTACCTTATTATCCAGTAATGTCATCTAGGTACAGTATGTATCTGCAAAATTGCTTGATACCTCCAACTTACGAAAATTTATACCAATCAATTTAACAATGGTGTTTTTTTTAAGCACCATTATTGAGTCTGGCTTAACACTGGTCAAATTTCTGTTATTGTTTTATTCTTACCATATTTTTGTTGCTATAAAATGGTTTAATGTATGTAGCCACATAGTTTGTGGCCTTGATACAACACTGAGTTTCCTTTTTGGAATATATTATATTGAATAATATTTGCACTGAATGTATACTTGCCAAGCCCACAGAAAACAAATGTGCCTTCAACTCCTTTGGTTGCTAATCCGATGAAGTTAACTTCCAAAGGTTGATCATCCTCATAACGCAAGAATGGTATATCTTCTCCGAGTTTACCAACCTCAATGATGCCATCTGCAAAGCTTATCCAGAAATCAAGAGGTTCATCCTCATTCAGCCACCCTGAGTTGTCACGTGTGCTGAATACATCTCGACAGTTTTTACATCGTTTGATTGAAGCCGTTCTGTCATTTCTACTGCCAATTGTTATCTCATACATATCATCAACTTCGTAGTTGTGTGATGATAAGACAAGGAGGACATCCCTTTGTGCACGAACAGAGAAAGCGACACGTGTTTGCAATTCACGAATACGATTAAATGGGAAGATATAAGAGTAGTCTCCGCTAGTCAGATGGCTGAAGCATACTAAAAACAATAAAAATATATTAGCGTTTGATTAGTAATTAGTAACATACAAAAAATACAAATACACATTTTCAAAATTGTTTTCTATTTTTGTGAAAAGTGTCAGCCTGGCTAACATGAAACACCCTGAGAAGAAGTGCTTCTTACCAGAGGGTTCTTCTTCCTCTTCAGTGGTGGAATCATCAAGGAAGATAGTGGAAGATTCTTCAGTAAATGATTCCTCTTCACCCTCACTACCTTCTGTAACCTCAGATGATATTCCTGTGAATCCTGATGCTGGGGTAGTGGGCTCAAAAATAGTGATTATTGGTGGTTGTGTCACAACTGGGACTGGAATAATTGGCAGAGTTTCTGCAAAAAAATGTAAGAATTTAAATAATAGTCTTTCACAGTGCTGATATAATTGGTCTCAATGCTTGTTTACCTATGACGAAATGACATCGATAATGTTTTACAAGTACACATCAATTTTAATTTCTCTATATTCCATTGTAGTTTTTCTGTGATTATATTTTATTCCGTTGTCATTGTTCTTTGACTAATTTTGATGTTTAGTAGGAGTCTGATTTGCTGAGTCATCAAACTTTGGCTTCCTTATAAGTCCCAGGACCATTTTTGGAGCGAAATAAATAAAATAAATCATAAAATTAAATCTAATCAGTTAGTTGACAATACACTTCGACACGGTTAGCGTATATATTTGGTCTACAAGATATCAATATTGCTTCCTTTATAGACAAAGGAGCCCAGGCTGTTTAATTGAAACAACAGGCAATTCGAAAAGTATAGATTTAAATAAAATAAGATTTATTGATGTGCTACAAAGCTTATTTACAACTTACGTTCACATGTGCTTCCTGGTGCGAGTGCCTGTCCTCTAGGACAATGACATCCATGTAGACCGTTCTCAGTACTACAAAAAGCTTCTTCACTGCATTCCATTGAGCTACAGGTGACATTGTTTCTAGACTCGCACTCACATTTTTCAGTACAATCTTCAGAAATCCAACGTGCTCCAATCTTGAAAAAAAAAAAAATTGTTTATTTGGTCAGCTAGCTAGTAGCTGTGTTATTATGAAGGAACATTTTATTTTTATTTTACTTTGACTTAATAATAATAAAATATAATTTATGGCAACCAAATTAAATATTCATTTCTCTGCTTACATCATGGTAAAGTCCATTGTAGAAACAGCCACATTCTCCAACAGGAACACAATGTGTGCCACTCAGCACGTATCCCTCATTACATTCACAGCCCTCAGAACATGGGTCTGGGCATGCATCTTCTGGGGTGATATACACACAGTTGTCTGGGCAAGATGTTAAACATGATGTATAGTTGCTGTTTTCAGGGCAAACGACAGCTGTGAACCAAATTATAAAATACGTAAATAATATCTTAATAGATATAATTATAATTCACAATCATACTTTCATCACTAATTATTCATTTTTATTTAATTCTTACATTAATTTACTAGATTTGGCAAAATTTATTGCTAGAATGAATGTTAGAAAACCGGAACTAGGTTAGCTGTTCCTTTAAGTTAACCTAAATTTAGACATGCTCTATGGTCAAAACCACAATTGTACAACTCAAACCCTGGACTCTGGTACTAGAAGCCAGGCATCCTTACCACATCTCTATCTGAAAAAACAAAGGTTGAAACTTACGACAAAAGCTTTCAGTTCTGAAGGTTGGAATGACAATTCCTTCTTCTCGACATCTTTCGTAATATGCCTGAAGATTGTTACATAGTGTGTCATCTCCACCGATGAAACACATGTCAAAAACACAGCCATCAAAGAACACTGTCGGATCAATTGAAGCATGGCAACTCGAGAAGGGTCCCTCTGGGTCTGTTATCTTGCCACAACTATCGGTGATTCCCAACATGGCTACCTTCACATCTGGACATTCAGCATTTTCATGATGTTGAGGTTGGCATCTGAAAAAATGATGATCAATTTTATATAAATGGAGAATTTTCAGAAAAATCAAATTCAATCCTTGGTGTAGTTGTTGTCAGTGTGTGCTATCCATGGATAATGAATGCAGCTAGAAGATGGATATGTTTTGATAATTTGTAACTGTTATTATTACTATCATTTACTTCAGCACTACCATTATTGGCTAAGACTTACTGAGGATCCACATTCCAGCTATTTCCCCATTCATTTTCATCTGACGTTACTGTACCATCTGGGAGTGTAAGATCATTTCTACGGTTGCCATCATAATTACCACAGAGGCCTTCCACATTGTTCCGGTATTGATCATCAACGCCAGCCTCTACCCTGTAGTTCCCATCCCAAGTTAGCCAGAATCCAGTGTCACTGGTAATAAGGAGACTCCTGCCGATGAATTCAATGTACAAGCCTGGTACTGGGTTGGCAGGTAGGATGACAGTTGCGCCGTTGATCTGCAATACAAAATAAACATTTTATATAATGGGTGGATTGGCAAATACAGAGAAATACTGTAATTGATTTTACTTTGGATTAAACAAATCAGCTTTTGTGTTGTTTCCAGAGTCAGATTGTTCTTTTTTATTCGAAGGGATGTTCCCCTTCATTAAATCAAACAAAATACTTTAAATTGAAATACTTACCATGGTGTTAAATCGATGGTTCAACCTTATCACCACCCCTGACACTTCGACAAGTACATATTCAGCCAAAGTAACGGTTGGCCTACGCCTAAACTGGTTCTTGATGGAAATAGTGAACTGAGGTGGCGTATTGAGAGCATCACGTAAGAACACATATGTACAATTCCCTTGGAAATTTTTCTTCTTGCCATCAAAAGTAACATAATGAGGATCACCCCATCCAATGCATTTTGGTCCTGGAAACAAGTTTCATCAATATCTAAGTAATGTATACTGGTGTAATAAACTAATTTAATTATTCAAAGTATTAATGGTAATTGTAATTCGAAAAATCATGTTGAAATTTAAACCACTTAATTATCCATCAAGTGATCATATGAAACATAGCATGCATAGCATGGTGTATATTTTTAGGGGTCTTAACGCAAGTATTCTTAAAACAAACTTTAGTCAAACTTCGAACAGGTATTTCATTTAGTCTTAGTTACAACTTCAACTTCAATTTGTATTCACAAACAACGTAGTCAAAGTTCTAACTAGAAAAACGACTATCAAACTAACCAATGAAAATAGCTAATTTTAATAGTAGACAAAATTTTACAGATCCGGTAACACGGATGAATTTTAAGTCGGTGATTTAGCCTGATGCTGACTAAAAAAAATCGGCCTGCGGAGTTATCTTTTTAGTCGAGGATCGCGTCATTTATTTGTAGTGCTAGTCAAACTTTGTTGTAAGAATACTAAATTACCTAATTTTAAGTTTTAGCTCGAACTATGACTAAAGTTTATTTTAAGAATACAAGGATAAGTCTTCAGCATGTCACAAGATTCTTCCGCACATTGGCTCCCACAAGCATGTAAAACTCCCCCACAAACTAAGCCAACTCCTAATGATGTTCGCATGCTTTTACTACAATTGTCTCCCAGAAGTCAGCTAGCCACAGGAATTATAACAATAATAAAATTGTTTGTGTTAAAAAAAGCTCATTAAAAATCAAATCTTTAGGAAGTGGTTTTTCCCTACTTGGGACCCTTCAATTTTAAAGAAATGTTTCTTGGTTGAATGCCTGATAAATACTTCAACACATCAAGTCCATTTCAGACACTTAAACTAAACATGAGCAAGATTAAATAAAAATTGGCAACACAAACCTCTTCTAGGTCTTGTACGTCCGTGAGATGGAATAGTATTGTAAACTGTTGTTGAAATAAATAATAGTAAAATTAAATTTTCATACATCATAACATAGCACTTTTATTATTTGTTTTTATTTACTTATTATATTTTTTTAGCATCTAACTGCAAGCACGGGACTTGCCAATTACAGGATGGGATAATACTTTATAAACAAAGTCCATTAGGATGCTTAGGGATTAGATTAAGTTTGTTTTCTTTTGCAGTATACTTTTGAAAACTATAAATCATCACACAATATATAGCTTTGAATAATTTTCTGCTATTTCCACATACCTGTTTCATCAGCATCTCCTGCAAATAGAAATAATGTAACATGTAATTATATAAAAAATACAGAAAAATATATAAAAAAGTATATAAATATGTATATAAATACATATAAATTAGTATATGCAGAGTTGTATGGAAATAAAAATAATATGTCAGCAGATGACATCAGTCTGGAACATTTTCAGTAGTGGTGGTTGATAAAAACAATTATTTTTTTATCAGGAAGGGTGGTAATTTTTGTTTGTCTTTCTAGCTGTTGGCCAAAAGAGTTGTGCTATTTGTTATTATAATGACATATTAAACCTACCTTCACAGCCAAGAACCTCAAATCTTAAGCTGATGTGGTTGTTCCATCTGGTTGGATGGATACGGATGTAACGAGCTTGGACAGGGGTTGAAAACATGTTAGGCATTTGCGTGTCTGGATCTGAGTTTCCTGTAAACTCCTGTATATACACAAACATTTGAGAAATTCAATTCAATACAGTATGAGAGAAAAACAAGAATAATTGCAAAAATTATAGAAGTGTAGAGGAACTCACCATTGCTTCACCATTGGCTCCTCGTATTGGTTCAAAACTGGTTCCCTCAACACTATAGAGGACCTCATAGTTTGTCACCCACTGGTCATACCCTCCATTGCGACCTTGTGTGATCACTCCAGTTACCTTTTTCAAAGCACCGATGTCAGCTTGGATCCATTGGTTTTGGTCGTTTGATTGTGCAGCCCAAGCACCAATACCACCACTTCCTGGTGTGATGTTGAGTCTACCACGTGTAGCTCCATGTTGTGCATTCCACTCACTGGAGGATGTAAGAGCAATCGTGCCATCTTCAACTCCAAGGGGATCTGCAGTGCAGACCTCTTCAATATCTTCTAGTGGGGTTATACAAAACACTTAGCTTAGTCATAAAACTTATATTGAAAACATAAATTATAAAAATAAACAGTTAAGATTAAACCTAGTTTTAATGAAATCAGGAAGTTGGTTGGTGTTATGTGTTCTTATACAGCAAATTGAGGTGAATGCTATCAATATTTATATTGCGCCTAATGTTAATAACCTCTAGGTGCTTAACAACAACAAAATAAACCATAAAAATAAAAGATTTATCAATTCATTTAGTAAGTATTCACAGGTAAGACATGGGAATTGACTGTTTTGAAAATGCACTAAAGATTTAACACTAGTTGATTAATTCAGTGTATTTTTATATTTAACACATGACACAAATGATAATCTATCAACGGCATGTCACTTTTTTAATATACCTCATGTTTAAGTAATAAATATTTGTTGACATTATCAGAGAAGATGCTAAAGTGTCTACATGTTCTAACACCCCACCACCAATACAGCTCAAGTTAAAAGCCTCAAGATACAATGTGCCATGGTATTTTCATGACTAAGTCCTATCTACTGCACATGCTACTTTCAAATTGATATGCTTATGGGTTTATCCACTAAATAGTCCCATACCCGAGCAGCCAAGAACCTCAAATCGTAAGCTGATGTGGTTGTTCCATCTGGTTGGATGTATACGGATGTAACGAGCCTGGACTGGGGCAAGGAACTCATTGGTCACTTGGGTGTCTGGATCTGAGTTTCCAGTAAAATCCTGTTCATAACAAACATTGAGAATTCAATAGCTTAATATGATATGGAAATAATCATGTTGTTAACATTTAATTAAAACGAATTTGATAAAAAAAAAAGGCAAATTTGAAATGATAAATAGAGCGTGAAATTCAAATGATTTGTTCTTCAAAAAGCAACACTTTATTACAAGATTTCTTTGGTTTTTCTCACCTCAAAATACCACTCATAAATTGTCATAAGTCTTCGTGCTCATGAATATAAGTATTAATCTTATATTTTAAAAACCTAAGAGAAACTAAAGTAATTAGAAATAAAAAGAGCAACTTTAAATTAATTATCAACCTTGGAAATATATATGATTACTGAAGTTTTTCGAAAAAAATTAGAGTAATGAAAAAAACACATACCACAACTTCGCCACTGGTTCTAGTTACAGGTTCGAAAGTGCTTCCGTCAACACTATAGAGGACCTCATAGTTTGTCACCCACTGGTCATAGCCTCCATTGCGACCTTGTGTGATCACTCCAGTTACCATTTTCAAAGCACCGATGTCAGCTTGGATCCATTGGTTTTGGTTGTTTGATTGTGCAGCCCAAGCACCAATACCACCATTTCCTGGTGTGATGTTGAGTCTACCACGCGAGGGGCCATGCTGTGCATTCCATTCAGTGGAGGATGTAAGAGAAAGTGTGCCATCTTCAACTCCAAGAGGAACTGCAGTGCAGATCTCTTCAGCTGTTCCTGATGATTAATATAAAAAACAGGATATTTAAGTTATCATATGTGAAAATATTTCTAAGGCATGGTCTGCAAACACAAACTTTACATATGTCAGCTCATTCAGGGAGTATTTATAAAGTTTCCTATCATCCCTTTTCCTCGGGTGTAAGTCAACTTTTGTTATTAGCCCACCTCTTACTTTATGTCCTACTTACATAACAGTATTTCCTGAGTAATGAGTAGCTCAGCAGACATTTCACAAATTAAAAAAAAAAAAAATCAAAGGCTGGCTTTAAATTTTGACATGCAGCATTAAAAATTTGCAGTTTGATCGGCCATTCCCATGAAGTTTTTATTAACAGAAGATTACCAGCATATAAGCCAACTGCCATCCCTCTCCCAACCCAAATGCAGCCTACTTTTGTTTTTAATGAGGGTGAGCTTTTATATTTAAGGAACTGCAGTATTATATAGTTTCACAAACATGAAAAATATACCAACATACACTTCACTAACCTGTCATTGAATCATATATTGCTTAATAATGACACTTACCTTCAGTTGTAAGTTCTTCCACTTCTGTGACAAAAAGAAGTAAAAAATAATAAGTTTGTCTGCATTCATGACTAAACTAAGACATATTTTCTATTTCTATCTATAATATTGATTCTTGAAAGGTTAATGATTGTTTAGCAACTCACCTGAACATCCAAGAAGTTCCATGCGCATGCTAATGTGTCTATTCCATCTAACAGGGTGAACACGAACATATCTTGCTCTCAAAGCAGTAGGAAAGAGATTGGTAACTTGGGTATCTTGGTCAGTATTTCCACCAAACTCCTATTTAATATTAATTTAATTTAAATATTACATTTTTTCAAAGGTGATGTTCAGAAAACACAAATATCTAGGAAAATGTTTTAATTATTATAGGAAACAATTTAAGGGTAAATGTGTTCTAGAATAATAATAATTATGATAACAAAAATACAAACAGTAATGATCTCATTGGCATTTTATCTGCATCACAGATTATTGACAACATTTCTCATTTGTTTAATTTCACACTTCACTGGTTGAAAGAGAAGTATATCTACTTGTACTCAATTTTAACAGTAACAAGTAGTCTATAACCTGCCCACTGAGTAAAAAGTAGAATTTAAAATACAATAAAGAAAAAAAATAGATGGGCTTACTATAGCATGTCCATCACTTCCGAGTACTGCTTCCCAATTGTTTCCATCCATACCATACAATACTTCGTATCCAGTCACCCACTGGTCATAATTACCATTTCGTCCCTGAGTAATAATGCCAGTAACTAATTTAACTTCTCCCATATCTACTTGCAACCATTGCTCCTGGTTGTTTGTCTGTGCGGCCCAAGACCCAATATCACCGCCCCTTGGTGTCAAGTTGAGCCTAGCAAGGCGTGGTGCATGTCGAGAATTGTATTCACTTGATGCAGTGATGGCCGAGTCAGGAATGACAGAAGTCTCCATACCAACAGCTCCCCTGCAGTTCTCTGCTTGACAAAGTGGAAGTTTTAATAATTCATATTGCAGTATGCACTAGGAAACATTTATGTCAATGTGTTTGCAAAGTTCACTTTGCAAACACTTTTTACACTAATAAACAATTAAAGGATCTCCTGATTTTACTGGTCTCAGAGGTTTATTACATAATGCACACCATTTACAAACAATGTGAAGAGATGGAGGATCATATTTATTTTTCAAAATTAAGTTTTAGTTAAAGGAAATTTGGCACTAGTCAGTTTATCCAGGTAAATAAATGATTTTCATGAGGAAAATCCAGGCATTTTCAAGATGTGAACCCAGAAACATGAAATTACCTACTTCACTCCCACACCGCCCACAAAAAAAAATAACTTACCATGGGTTTCTTCAACAGGAGCTGCAAGTTAAATAATTTGAATTAATATTTCTTTTTAAGGTAGTGAAAAGTAGTTTCGAAAAATTTTTTTTAATCAAATATCATATTATGCTTGATACTTTATGGTTTTTGAGAGTACTTTTCTTTCTCAAAAAAGCTTACAATCATTTGAATTATGTCCTTTCGAATCGTTTGTTCCAACTATTTATTGACTCCTCATTGTTAAATTTGTTGACTTTAAATTATAATACAACTTATGTGATCACAACTGGGCCCTACAGAAATTTTAAAGTGGTTACAAGTTCATTTGGATTGGTCCTAGTCTCCCCATAAATTACTATCTAAGTTTTACTTACTACTTATTATAATGTGATAGATAAAAACCAAACAATAACCCTAGAGTCATTTACCTGCACATCCTAAAACGTCAAATCTCATACTGATGTGTCCATTCCATGTGATGGGATGAATACGAACATATTGTGTTGTCAGTGGCTCAATGAATAAAGCTGTGACAGCTGTGTCCTTGTCGCTATTCCCAACAAAAGACTGTAGGAAAATATAAGTATATATTACTTAATTTCCGTTGAGCAACTCGTAATTCATGAATTTTAGGAAGGAAATATAACAATTATTATTTGTGTTTGAAAACAGAAAAAAATAATTTAAAAATTCAATTAAGCAATTAAATTGCTCATTTAGACTTCCAATGAGACACAATATGAAACAGACAACAGAAATTTGAGGCTTGTTATGTAATCTTGATGCATTATGTACACCTGGGTTCAAACATTCCATTATTTTTTGTGGGTAAGTCCCATTAAAAATCTGGGTTATATCAGTTAATATCAGTTCATTAAGGTTGTAAAAATAGACTTTAATTAATTTCCACTCCTTTTTAAAATCCATTTTCAAAGTTTCACAAATGAAAAACACAGAGAAGCAACAATCAATAACATTCTAAAACAAGCATTACAAGGCATACCATACAAACATACCTTTGGTTGTCCATCTCTTCCAAGGATTGACTCCCAGTTGCTGCCATCCATGCTGTACAAGACTTCATAAGAAGTCACCCATTGGTCATAATTGCCATTTCGTCCTTGAGTTATCACACCAGTCACTTCTTTCACTTCGCCAAGGTTTACCTGGATCCATTGGTTCTGGTCATTTGACCTTGCTGCCCATGCTCCAATTCCATCACTGTCAGGCGTCAAGTTAAGTCGACCACGACGTGCACCATGGGCATTATTGTATTCAGTGGATGATTGGATTCGACTGGCGGGAATGCGAAGTGATTGCATGCCCAGTTGATCTCTGCAACGCTCTGCAAATTGTAAGACAAACAATTTTATTATTTTATATTCAGAAACGTTTTATATATAATTATTATTTTAACAAAATGCACAATATTAAGTGTCCCCTATTAAGGGGACACTTTTCCGTGAAACGGGGGCAATATATCTTTCAACATTTCAGCCAACCCCTATTAAGGGGACATCCCTATTAAGCGGATGGGGACACTTTCTGAGTGTACCAAATGGTCAGAATTTTCTCCCCTTAATCCAGTGAATATCAGTATAGACCTACTGTATGTGTTACTTTGTAAACCAATCTTGTCAATTTTGACCCTTAACTATGAAGATTTCCTTTTCTTTGTTTTTTTTTTGTGTATTTTTAAATAGAATTCTAATCCATATCAAAACATATACTCTATTCATGCTACATCCATCTAATAGAAAGCTCTAATGTAACATGATTGTTGTTATTTGTAAATAAACCAGTAATTATTTACTTTTTCAGGACATTTCACATACCCATTACTTACACACATATTAACCACATTATATTATTTGAAACCATATGAAATTATTTAATCATTTAATAGAAAGGTCAATATTAAAAAAAGGATTATTTGGTCATTAACAGTGCATACAGTAATGAAACAATATTTGGAACATAAAACTATTGTTGTTTAAATTCCATTTCTGCTGATTTCATATTATAAATGAATTGTATTTGCATTGCAAATTATTGTTATAAATTAGTTCTTATTCTATGTCAATAAAAATACAATTATAAAGAATGTACTGTAGATTTACTGAGTATTGTGGAAATAATTTTCTTGAATTAAACATAAAGAAGACAAAAGAAATGCACATTGATTTCAGGAAGAACAACAACTGTTCCGAATAAAGTAAACATTAATGGTCAAGAAGTGGAGATTGTAGATTCTTATAATTATCTTGGGGTGGTGTTTGACAATAAAATTTGTTGAGGGATTATACTGATTTTGTAGTTAAGAAATTAAATAGTAGACTCTACTGTCTTAGAAAACTAGGTGCTTTTGGGGTTAAGCAGGACATATGTTGGATGTTCTACGTATCGGTGATGTTTTCTGTTTGGGGGTATTGTATGTTAAGGTAGGCTGGGAATATTAGTAAAGGGGATAAAGAGAGAATAGAAAGGGTGCTGGGTAGGGTGGGGAAAGTTATTGGTTCGCCTGTGCAGTCACTGGACTCATACTACCACGAACGGCTTGCCATTGTTTTAAAAAATATCCTAGAGGATAACAGCCATCCGCTCCACGTGTATATGATAGGCTCCTGCATAGGCAGAAGTGGTAGAATGGGGACAGTGGGTGCGCACACGGACCATTACAAGTACTCCTTTTACCAAGCTGGGATAAGGGAGTTTAATTTAAAGTATTCAAGAAGATAATTAATTAATTAATTATATAGCAAGTGAGCAATGTAATTTCCAAATTATTGGACAATAAAAATAATTCTGTATCTGTTTCTGTATCTATATCATTGTTATATGAAAACATGCCAAAAACCCCTATTAAGGGGACAATTTTATGTTTTTGATTAGTCTCCCCTGAATAGGGGTACCACTATTCAGGGGACACCCCAATTAATAAGACACTTGTTGGTCCCGAAGGTGTTCCCTTAATAGGGGTTCTACTGTATACCAACAACCATCAAAACAATATGTTACTGTACACTCAGCAGTATCTTAACATTTGCATCTATACATATAAATAACTACACATTCAACGGAATACACAAGTTCCTTAAAAAAATGCCATGTATTGATTCAATCAGTATGAAATAGATTTTATTACTCACCATCAGCAATTTCATCTGTAATACAAACAGAAGCAATATTAATTTAAAGCCATTAAAGACAGAATCTAATAGTTATAATGTATGTTACAAAAGATTGCACCTGTGTTCAGGTTTTACCTATGGCATAATTCTTTTCATGTCCATAAATAAAATTACAATATTTTGTACTAAATTTTTAGTAAGAAAGTAAATAAGTAGATAAAAGTTTTTTTAAAATATTATACAGATTTGATTATTAAATGGCTTTGTTGCGCCACTATGCCCTTATATTTGCAACCAGTGGTAGCACTAGTTAAGCTGTTCAAGAGGGTTAAGTTCAACCTCACTAGACAAGCATAGACCAACTGCTTTTGGTGCAACTTGAGGTCATCAAATTCAAGCAAAGAAATTGTAATTGCAGTTCCTAATACTGCGGTAATAAAGCACAATTTTCACTATTTCGAAAAGTAAAATCTCTGCCCCTTGACCCAGCCAGTGGTTTTACTACAGAATCGCGATTGCAGGCTTTACAAAAGGTCTGTACCTATCAAACTTGTTGGACACCTTTTCACCAATTATTGGGTGGCACCCATGAATTTTGTATACAGTTTGTTGTACATACCTGGGCAACCAAGAATCTCAAATCTTAGGCTGATGTGATTGTTCCAACTGGTTGGATGGATACGTACGTATCGCGCATGGATTACAGCTGGGAAAAGATTGGTCACTTCTGTGTCTGGATTTGAGTTTCCATTGAATTCCTGCATATCACAAACATTAGAAATATACATTAATTGGAAACATGGAAACTGAGATATGGCTGAAGAGGAATAATAATTAAAAGAGAACGAGAATGGACTCACTGCAATATCACCACTGGCTCCCATTACTGATTCGAAATTGTTTCCATCAATGCTGTAGAGGACTTCATAAGATGTCACCCATTGGTCATGGCCTCCATTACGGCCTTGCGTGACTACTCCAGTAATTTCTTTCAATGCACCAATGTCAGCTTGAATCCATTGGTTTTGGTTGTTGGACTGTGCGGCCCAAGCACCAATACCATCACTGCCTGGTGTGGTATTTAGTCGACCACGTGATGCACCATGCTGTGCATTCCATTCACTGGAGGATGTAAGAGTAAGTGAGCGGTCTTCAACACCAAGGCGATCTGTGCAGAATTCTTCAACTGTATCGGTTCCTGATAGGTAATATATTTAAGAAAAGCATAGTTTGAGGTTGTTCATTGGATTATTGCACAAATCATTAGTGAAGTCAGTCTATGAATAAGGAAATAAATAAGCAGACAACTTCTGCTGAGAGGTTTTCAGTCTTATACGCTTTTCACACTGCCAAGGTCAGAATAAACATGTGTTAATCCCGCAGTGATACAGGATACATTTCCATTTACATCAAACAAGAGGGTCTGGATTGATCCCGAGTTGCACCCATTTTACACTGGCAATGAACGCGGTTCCAAATACGCCATAATTTTTGTTTTTATGGCGACCATCGCATCACTCGAGTTGCTCGAGTCGTGATGAAGCCAAAAATATTGTCCATATTGAAGCAATGTATCTTTTTAAAATTTTTTTTTTAAATATGTCAATTAATTAAGCAAATTTTGTTGTATATATCTATAAATCTTTATAGAAGTGCAGGATGTTTAATTTGAAAAGTGTCTTGGCCTAGCCCGTTGCTAGCAAAGGTTAGGCCTAACTGACCACAGCTATGGAAGGTGGCAGGTAAGGCCTATAATCCGACATCACATTCAGTGTTGTTTACACTGGCGACTCCAGTGTGTATTCGGTTTGTCCAATGCTGAATGCGTCCCCCATCAAACCCAGAATATTTGGCAACTCGAATTATATTTTTTGCCATTTACACTAACTACAACTGCAGAAATTCTAGTCCGAGTATTGGAAAATCCTTGGTTGTGTCCAGAGTTGTGCTTGCAGTGTAAAAAGAATATTATATGTCACCCAAATCAGCAGTGATGTTGTTGGGCTATGAGTGAGATGCTTACCTGGATGAACCGACACAAGTCAGATTCCTAATTGAACTTACCCGCAAAAACTAATGGAGTCGTCTAACCCTAATCACAAGATCGACAAATGGAACAAACAAGTGAGGATCCACCTTAGGGCTAGGCCACCCACAAAAAAAACATGAAGACTTCTGGGAAGACATAAGCTCTACAAAAGGCTTCAACGTACACACCACAACGAAAGCATGTGGCTTATTGTTCTCTATCACAAGGTAAGAATTTACACTACACTCGCTGACGGCGAGGGAAATTTGAGGCTTGTTGCATAACGTTGATGAGTTATATACGTCTGGTTTAGAAGATTCCACTATTTTTCGTGGGTAAGTTCCATTAGGAATCAGGCTTATATCGGTTCATCCAGGTAAGTATTCACGAAATAAACGTGTATATTAAATATCACAAGAGGTAATTTCTGGTTCTTGAGTCAGTACAGCGAAAGGAAAATAGGAAGCTCTCATGCAGAAGGGCACTGCTATAAATCAGGACTTTTCTGATATTTTCAGATGTTGCATTTAGAAAACAGGCAATTAATTCATACAGATAATAAAGTAAAATTTATTACAATAATGTAACTACATATTTGTCCATTCAAAATTAAAACAGTGTAGAGATAATTACATTACCTGGACACCCAAGGATCTCAAATCTCATACTAATGTGTCCGTTCCAACTCAGTGGGTGGATTCGAATAAATCGTGCTTGTATCTCAACCGGGAACAGATTAGTAACTGCCGTATCTTTATCTGAATTACCAATAAACTCCTGAGACAATAAAAAAAAGTATTATGGTCAAAAAATATTCCAGCAAATACTGATGGGGTCTTATTACTTGTTACAATGAAGTGAATATGAGAAGAGAAAGGATATGCATTAGGGATGAAATCTAAATCTGATGACACTAGAGAAAGAAACTTGCGTTTCTAGTACAGAACCCAAAAGCGCTGTTTATGAAAAAGATAATTTGTATATTGATGACTTATTTCCTTTAACTCCTCATAGAGCATAGGTCCTTTGAAATAGCATGCATTTGCACTATGCTTTGAACTCTGTATATTGATAGATCTATTTAAAAACATATAATCAACTTCAATATCAGTATTTACCATTGGCACGCCTGCACTGAACATAATTGTCTCCCAGTTGGTGCCATCCATACCATACAAAACCTCATAAGATTTTACCCATTGGTCATAATTTCCGTTACGTCCCTGGGTCACCACACCTGTTACTCGTCTCACTTCACTCAGGTCAGCTTGGATCCATTGGTCAAGATTATTGCTGCTGGCTGCCCATGATCCAATGCCGTCGCTGTCTGGTGCGATGTTCAGTCGAGCACGTCGTGCACCATGTTGGGCATTGTATTCGCTGGAAGCCTGGATCTTGCTTGATGGGATAGCTCTGGATTCTATACCCAATCCATTAGTGATACAAGATTCTGAAGAAAAAAATGGGATAACATTTGAGAAAAACACTTGATGGAAAATCTAAGGACTATTTTATAATAATATTTCATTTATTTGGTCCAAAGAACAATAAAACAGACAAAAACATAATGACAGAGAGAGGAACAAATAACTCAACTGGCAGACAGGATTGCCAAAAAGTGAACTAAATTACGGTTAAGTAAATCACCTAATGATATTAAGTATCACTTTAGGATGCGGAAATTCAAACTAAAATTTTTTGCTTTCGCCGGAGAAATCGGACCCCTCGTTGGGGGCATCAGCCCCCTCCCCGTAATATATATTATTACTTCGCCGTGCAAACCTTCTAACAATATTTAATTACTGTATTACTATCACTACAACTGCACTATCAATCATAATATTTTAATTTTTTTTTAATTACTATACCTGCATGTGTAACTTGAGGTTCTTCTTCACCTAGAAAGAGAATTCATTAAAATACAATTAGACATTAAAACATACATACAATATTTCTATGCCTGTTTAATTGAGACGAAAGATCACTTGTAATAATTAAACAATACATTATTCCAAATAGAGCTCTTACCTGGGCATGCAAGGACTTCAAATCGCATACTAATGTGACCATTCCATCTTAGAGGATGGATTCTGATGTACTGTGCATTTACTGCTGCAGGGAAGAGGTTTGTTACCTGTGTATCCTTGTCAGAATTACCAACAAATTCCTTTGAAAAAAAAAAACAGTAAAGATTATTTAAAATCTGGATCACATCGGTGGTGTTTGTCTGTCCACCAAGATGGTACCCTTCCCTTTACCCCCTTTTAATTTTACAATGTATTTAGCATATATAATCGTATTGATACTGCAATAAATTACTATTCCTTTCCTTAGTGTAATATATTTAATACATAGAACATTCTAGAATAACATTTGTGACCAAACAAACAGTGTAAACCACAATGGTAATTATAGAAACACAAGATACCATGCGGAATCCAGGAATATTATTTGGAAGCTTCTAAGTATTTAGGTACAATGGAAGCAAGAAGCCTACTGGTTAATTATGATGTAAGGTGACAAATGAGGAACTTAGGCAATATAGAATGCTCTTGAATGCTCTGGAGTTGTACAGCTAGGGTATATAAGCTGATAGTTTTATATTTCTGGATTTCTTTTTGAAACACATGTTAATGTGAATGTTATTGTGTTGTTTTTCAGACCGGATTCTTTTTGAAATTTATACAGAATAAAAGTTTATTTGAGAGTTGTGTTACAACATTGTGAACTGTGATTATATTTTATATGTCAAAGAGGGATTCCTAGTCATTTCTTTACCGCTCGGAAATACATCAAGTAGGAATTTATGACGATACTGTACATGCAGAAAAGGCAAAACAAAATCTACATTTACCCTTGCTTGTCCATCTGCTCCAAGAATTGAATTCCAGTTGGTGCCATCCATTCCATAAAGCACTTCATAAGCAGTCACCCATTGGTCATAGTTACCATTTCTTCCTTGAGTTATCACACCAGTAACTTCTGTCACCTCTCCCAGGTTGACTTGGATCCATTGGTTATGGTCATTTGCCCTTGCTGCCCACGCTCCGATGCCATCACCATCAGGAGCCAAGTTGAGTCGTCCACGACGTGCGCCATGTTGAGCATTGTATTCGCTGGAAGCTGATATTGCTGCTGATGGTATTTCAAGTGACTCGAGTCCAGCAGGTTCTCGGCAATGCTCTGTATAAGAAAAACGATACAAATCATGTAAAATAAATTGTTATCTTCTGTAGTTTAACATCCATTATTGTCATGTTCTGCTTATTTATTATCATTATATACATTATAACAATATTAATTATAATTATGATAAACACACAATACAGTTAGATATACATTTTACATACCAGAACTGATTTCAGCAGGAGCTGGAAAAAAAACACAAGATATTGAATTTAAACCCTGATTGTGTTTTTTATAATTATTTTATAATATATATATTAAACATTATCTATTTGCTTATTTATTCTGTTTTTATATTAATATATGCATTTATGTGGTCCTTTAAGTGGTTCAATAACAAACTAATTATGTTTAAAATTATTAATTTAATGTACATGTGAAATATATTATAGTAAAAACTAATAGAAAAGACCTAAGAAATGTATGCATGAAAAATTGATGTTATGATACCAACTTAAATTAAGATGAGCCATCAGATATAAACATGGAATAAACCGTAACATGTAATTATAAGACACTTACAGTTTATTTAGGTTTATAAAAATTACAAATTAGACGACAAAGGACTAATTAAATTCTCAGCACCGGCGCAGAAGCTAGGCAACAGACATGTTTAAACGTATCACAAACAAAAAGAGATACTCAATTGACTTCTTTAATAAACTACTTAAAAACTCAAGCAAAGCAAAAATATAATCCAAGCTTCTGAATATCTTCGCTAAGAAAGCTCTTCTAGCAACTCTTTTGACAACAAAGAAATGAGAACAATGCTTGGGTGTCGGTGCAGTCACATGATAGGATGATCGGTTGGTTCTATTTTTGTTGTAGGGGTATTCTTGAAGAAAAATGGCAGTTAGTCGGTTTATCCTATATAAATTTTCCTGCCATTTCAATATATGATAGCTTTTATTGAAGTATTATTTGAATAAAAACAAGAACAATGGAGTTATTTACCTGCACAACCTAGAACCTCAAATCTCATGCTAATGTGACCATTCCATGTGAGGGGATGAATACGAACATATTGTGTTGTCAGAGATTCAGAGAATAAAGCTGTGACTTCAGTGTTCTTGTCAGTATTGCCAACAAATGCCTGTAGGAAAATCGAAATGATATTTTAATGACAAAATTAGATGTTTTTTAGACAATTGTTATAATAAAAACATTTCATTAAAAAAGGTATTCCATTTTTAATCTTATATAACAGCAAGTGTGTTGCCAATAATTACAAATAAAACAAATAACAACTACAACAAAGAACGAATTTGAAATTATTAAAAATTCTTCTAAATATGAAAAATATATTTGAAACAAAAGTAAATGACTTTTTAGAATGAACAAGTATACTCCTGCTTATTTAGTTCAAAATTATAGATGCAAGACTATTAAATTGTGGACTAAAATGTGAAAATTTCTTAATACAACATATTGCTAAGAGTTGGTTCATCAACATTAAATTATTTCATTTTTTTAAAACAACCCTTCATATAATTATAAATTAATGCACAACTCTACAACAAACCTTTGGTTGACCTTCATTTCCAAGAATGGATTCCCAGTTGTTGCCATCCATGCTGTACAAGACTTCATAAGAAGTCACCCATTGGTCATAGTTACCATTTCTTCCTTGAGTTATCACACCAGTAACTTCCTTCACCTGTCCAAGGTTTACTTGGATCCATTGGTTCTGGTCATTTGATCTTGCAGCCCACGATCCAATGCCATCACTGTCAGGAGCTATGTTCAGACGAGCACGGCGTGCACCATGTTGATTGTTGTACTCACTGGAAGCTTGAATACTGTCTGCTGGGATGATAATGGACTCCATACCCATTGGATCTCTGCACCTCTCTGTAGCATAATTGAAAATACAAAACTAACACATATCCAAATATACTAGAAACCTAAAAACCTATTATCTATTCCACTGAAAGCATAACATTTAAATGCATTTTTTTTGCACAAATCACACTACTTTAAGTATTATTGTAGTGAAAAGTCAATAATATACAATAGATTAATAGATTGTTTAAATTATAATAAACACAACAACGCTGACAAGAATAACTGAATGCATTTTGATGATGATAATGGTGATGATGGCGATGATCAGATGATGATAAATGGTGAAGATGATGATGATAAAGATGGTGATTATCATGATGACATACGATGATGATGAAGATGATGATAATATTAATGATGATGATATACTTAAAAAATACAGTACTGATCTTATTTTTTTAATAATAACTATAAATATGCAAATCAATTACGGTTGCACTTACCATCTGGAATTTCTTCTGTAAATGAAAAAGAAAAAACCCAAATAGGCCAATTAATTGTTGGTCATGGTACATACAAATTATTCAAATATTCTAAATAAGTTATACATTATGATATATGACAAAATTAAATTTTTAAAGGAATGACAATACATCAAAGCAATAAACTGACATTACATTGTTAGTATATTATGTAATAATTATGAGGCTTGCTATTCAAAAACTGGCATACTGTTGCTAATTGTTAAGTACTGTATACTTTAGTACAGAGAAGAAATAATACTTTTACTCATAACTTTGACAACAGTAAGTCGATTGCAATAAATGACCCATCATTTTAAAGCCTACAATGTGGAGAATACGAACAAATTAAAAACTTGATGTTTAATATGGAATCTTTTTTTGGATATCAAAGAGATATATATAAGATGTTATCATTACAATTATAAATGATGGAATATGTAATATAATAATTCAATAGAAATTATGTACCTGGACATCCAACTATCTCTATCCTCATACTGATGTGGTTGTTCCAGCTGATTGGTTCAATACGTATATATTGAGCATGTACAGGGGCAGCAAACAGATTAGTAACTGCTGTATCTGGGTCAGCGTTTCCTACAAACTCCTATATTTTTAAAAAACATAAAACATTTAATACATATTATACCTTAAAAAATCAGAAAGTAAAGAAAATTTTTTTATTTCCTGCTGAAATATAAACAGCTTGACTTTTCAGTTCCGTAACTGAATGTGAACCTTATAGACACACTTGCTAATAAAAAAATTGTATAGCATACGTAACCATGATATGAACAAGCTGCAAAGTAAATTAAATAATTAGTAATTAGAAAAGTTTCATATACTTACTGCTGCATGGCCACTGGTTCCCATAACTGGTTCAAAGTTACTGCCATCAATACTGTAAGATACTTTATATGATGTCACCCATTGGTCATAGCCTCCGTTGCGACCTTGTGTGATTACTCCAGTTACTTCTTTCAAAGCACCAATATCAGCTTGAATCCATTGGTTTTGGTTGTTGGATTGTGCAGCCCAAGCACCAATACCACCATTTCCTGGTGTGATATTGAGTCTACCACGTGTAGCTCCATGTTGTGCATTATACTCACTGGATGCTATTAACTGGATATCTTCAGTCTCCACTCCCAAAGCATCTTCACAGAATTCCTCAACGGGTTCAGATCCTGAGATATCAAACAGATGTAGGTTTATTGAGATTTTGTTGACATTTAATCAAGGTAAAAATGTAAGGGAAATAGATATATAATATAATAAAAAATGTGGTTGAATTCTATACCTGGACATCCTAGGACCTCAAATCTCATGCTGATGTGTTCATTCCAGGTGAGAGGATGTATTCGAATAAACCGGGCCTGAACTTCAACAGGTAACAAATTGGTGACAGCAGTGTCTTTATCTGAATTACCAACAAATTCCTGAAAGAAAAAAATTACAATCGTATTAGATTCAGAAACACAAGGGTGTCGTGGTAGGCTCAAAATTTAACTAGATGATCCATTCATCTCATGCCTCAAAAATTTGCACTCTATGGCAAAAATAAAAATCGCTCCTGTCAGGGTAATATCACTAATGAAAATGCTCAAAATGTTGTTGAATACACCATTTTCGCCAAATTTGAAATGAAAATTTCTGATAACCTGGCAAGCACCACTAGAGGACTTCCAGAGGCCTAGCATTTCACTCTACATAGTTACCATCATGGAATAATTAAACAATAAATCTAAATTACTAAAAAGCACAAATATTTTAAAACGAAAAAAAAAAGAAGGAAATATTTATATTAAAAACAATTTTAAGTCTTAAAAAGCTTTTTCAATGTTCACATATACAGTAATTAGCATGGTCGTATGTGTTGTCTACTGCTGCTATAGCACTTGCGGCATGATCCGCTGGACATATAGTGACAAAGAGATAGTAATATATTGTGAATAATGCTTTATTTATTCAATGACTAGAATAATAGCATAGGATTTTCTTACGAATACTGTAAATCATACTTACCATTGGCACACCTGTACTGAACATAATTGTCTCCCAGTTGGTGCCATCCATACCGTACAAGACCTCGTAAGATTTCACCCATTGGTTAAAGTCTCCATTACGTCCCTGGGTTACCACACCGGTTACTCTTCTCACTTCACTCAGGTCAGCTTGGATCCATTGGTCACGATCATTGCTCCTGGCTGCCCATGATCCAATGCCGTCACTGTCTGGTACGATGTTCAGTCGAGCACGTCGTGCACCATGTTGGGCATTGTGTTCGCTGGAAGCCTGGATCTTGCTTGATGGGATAGCTCTGGATTCCATACCTAAACCATTCTCGATGCATGACGCTGAAGAGAAATTAACATATAATTACAAATTACAATTAAATTTCGTAGTGTTTGGTATGCAAGACCAATGGATTTGATATCAGAAATATAAACCAACAATACATCATAGCTCATTCATAGTATATTCTATTTCTACATACATGTTGTTACTATACTTTTCTTCTCACTATTATCAATGTAATTGTGTGTTTCCTTTGGCTTTCTCTTGATAATTTTTGTTCCAGCAAATGTAGTAAACCTATTTCATTGTTTTTACTATTATTTTATAGTTACTGTAAAGCTGCTATGTATTTCATTAAGTCTAAAAATATGAAATTTTGATTTCATAATTAATATCAGAGTGTGTAATATTATCAATTCACTTGATGTTTAGATGTTTTTACAATTTCATTTTCAGCTTTGGTGCACCAAAATGTCTAAAGGTAAAAATTATTGATTCAAACACATATTCAAACAAATTCTATCCAAATCTCTACAGGTTGTGGGTAAATTATTTACCTCCATGTGTAACTTGAGGTTCTTGATCTTCGCCTAGAATTGAAGAAAAAATGTATTTATTAAATTGTTATATACCCTGACAATAGAAGATTAGAATTAATGGTATTTGTCTATAAAGAACTGAATAAATAAATAAATAATAAATAAATAATACTATGCTTTTACACTCCATTATTTCATCATTGTGATAGATTATTAATCTTGATAATTGGCTACATAATACTCATTGTTTCAATAACATGACTTCTTCTATTATTGTTATCTCAACTATTTTTACTACCAATTACAGTATATTTTTAAAACATGTGTAGCTCTTACTTGGACATGAAAGGACTTCAAATCGCATACTAATGTGACCATTCCATCTTAAAGGATGGACTCGGATGTATTGTGCATTTACTGCTGCAGGAAAGAGGTTTGTTACTTGTGTATCCTTGTCAGAATTACCAACAAATTCCTGAAATAGAATAACAGTCATGATGATTATTCAAAAATTTGAATGACTTATGCATCATATCTTGTAAAAATGAAAGGATAGATAATTTCCTGGCTATAGTTTCACTAAACTTGTACAGTACCAGTAATAAATTGACTGTATAAAGGAAGACATTAAGTTCAGCTTAACAAAATCTATATTTACCCTTGCTTGTCCATCTGCTCCAAGAATTGAATTCCAATTGGTGCCATCCATTCCATAAAGCACCTCATAAGCAGTCACCCATTGGTCATAGTCACCATTTCTTCCTTGAGTTATCACACCAGTAACTTCTGTCACCTCTCCCAGGTTGACTTGGATCCATTGGTTACGGTCATTTGATCTTGCTGCCCACGCTCCGATGCCATCACCATCAGGAGCCAAGTTGAGTCGACCACGACGTGCACCATGTTGAGCATTGTATTCGCTGGAAGCTGATATTGCTGCTGACGGTATTTCAAGTGACTCGAGTCCAGCAGGTTCACGACATAGCCCTGCTTAACATTAGAAATCAAACAAATAAAATGCAACGTTCATAGTCGAGTAAAACTTACCAGGGTTAACTGATATTAAGCTTTGTCCAGATTATCAAATTTTATTTAACAAAAGCTCTTGCATGCAAATATATAATCATGATGTGCCTATATAATATGGTCATGACGTGGTGTCATCATGACCATATAAGGCATGTCACAAGTTTTTTTCTTAATAAGATTTGATAATCTGTACAGGGCTTGATGCTAATGAGGATGATACCGGTGAAATCATATTTCACCTTTATACGGTTCACTAAGACAGACTATTGAATTATATTTGAGGCTAGTATTGCAAAAAAACTTATATATACAATACAATATAAACAATATATATTGGTTCATCCACATACTGTTCAACAAAATCCCAATTATTGAGTTACAAAATTTTGTTGGTTTATCCTATTAATCGTAATCAGAAAACTTTTAGTAACAAACAATTGATATTACATACCAGATGTATCGTCTGTCACTGAAAGATTGAAAAAAATACACCATTTATTTAAAAGTCCTACAATTCATTATATTACACATAAAGATATTATTTAATATGTAAATGTTTTTCTTTTTATATTTTGTTTATTATGAAAATATAAATGTTTGTATAACAATAATTATATTATATATAAGTATTGTTCATTGCATTAATTTCCAAAATGATTTTTGAAATATTGATTTTTAGTATGTTATTTACCTGCACAACCTAGAACCTCAAATCTCATACTAATGTGTCCATTCCATGCAAGGGGATGAATGCGAACATATTGTGTTGTCAGAGATTCGAAAAATAAAGCTGTGACTTCAGTGTTTTTGTCACTATTTCCAACAAAAGCCTGCAAAAAAACAATAAATATAATATTAATATATTCACTAGTTTATATAAATGCTAGGCTAAATTGATCAAAAATTAAAACTACACAGTGGGTATAAAAATGCAGAAAAATAATATATTTTTCAACAAACCTTTGGTTGTCCATCACTTCCAAAAACAGGCTCCCAGTTGTTGCCATCCATGCTGTACAGGACTTCATAAGAAGTCACCCATTGGTCATAGTTACCATTTCTTCCTTGAGTTATCACACCAGTAACTTCCTTCACCTGTCCAAGGTTTACTTGGATCCATTGGTTCTGGTCATTTGATCTTGCTGCCCATGATCCAATACCGCCACTGTCTGGTACGATGTTCAAACGAGCACGACGTGCACCATGTTGATCGTTGTACTCGCTGGAAGCTTGAATACTGCTTGCTGGAATGTTAAGAGACTCCATACCCATTGGATCTCTGCATCTCTCTGTATCATAGAATGTATTTATCACAATTAATAATGTATCAGTATATAAATGTGATTGGTTTGAATTTTAATACACTTCATTCATTCCATCAATCCATATGAAATAAACTATATACAGCATTATTATATAAATAAAATGTGTTGATTTTCAACATATTTCATATTTAGTTGTTGACCATAAAGACATTAAATTACTTCATAATTATTAAATTCCTGTTTAGAGGGTAATGTTTTGGCAAAATGTTTTTTTTTTTTTGTTGAAGATATGTTAACTTCACCAAATATGTATACAGTATTAAATAAAAGAATGTTAATAAACTTACGATCTTCCAGCTCCTCTGAAAACAAAAATCAAAAGAATTGTTTAAAATAAAATGTACAATCTTACTGAAGAAATATAATTTAAATTCATCACAAATAATGTAACTATCAATCTTTTCTAAAAAAAAAATACAATTTCCTAAACATCTCTTGCAAACATTTGTACCCCAATAGCAACCTTTCTAAAAGAAATTTACATTATCTCAAAATTCCTTGCTTATTCTGTTTAATTAAGACTTAATTATATTTTTAATTAATTTCTATTGCACTAAACAAAAAATATACCCTTTCTCTCAGCCTTGTAATGTAAAAGACTTTGAAAACATATTCTAGAGGAAAGCATAAGTATGAGGTACCTGGACATCCAACTATCTCTATCCTCATACTGATGTGGTTGTTCCAGCTGATTGGTTCAATACGTACATACTGAGCATGTATAGGGGCAGCAAACAGATTTTTAACAGCTGTATCTGGGTCAGAGTTTCCACCAAACTCCTAAAATTATAACAGCAAAGCATAGAATAATGACATATTTTTGACATTACATATTAATGTTATTTCGTACATAGATGAGAACCTATCTATAAAGTGGTAGCTCTACTTTATTCTTTATATGCCAGTTCAAGTGTAATCACTCCAAGCTACTAATTTTCTAAAAATCTGTGAAGTAACCTCACTGATATTGTGCAAGACTAGACTTCTAATACTAGGTATCTGAGGATGTTTCATATACTTACAGCTGCATTTCCACTGGTTCCCATAACTGATTCAAAGTTACTGCCATCAATACTGTAAGATACTTTATATGATGTCACCCATTGGTCATAGCCTCCGTTGCGACCTTGTGTGATTACTCCAGTTACTTCTTTCAAAGCACCAATATCAGCTTGAATCCATTGGTTTTGGTTGTTGGATTGTGCAGCCCAAGCACCAATACCACCATTTCCTGGTGTGATATTGAGTCTACCACGTGCAGCTCCATGTTGTGCATTATACTCACTGGATGCTGTTAACTGGATATCTTCAGTCTCCACTCCCAAAGCATCTTCACAGAATTCCTCAACGGGTTCAGATCCTGAGATATCAAACAGATGTAGGGTTATTGAGATTTTGTTGACATTTTATCAAGTTAAAAATGTAAGGGAAGTAGATATATAATATAATAAAACATGTGGTTGAATTCCATACCTGGACAACCTAGGACCTCAAATCTCATGCTGATGTGTCCATTCCAGGTGAGAGGATGTATTCGAATAAACCGGGCCTGAACCTCTACAGGAAACAAATTGGTGACAGCAGTGTCTTTATCTGAATTACCAACAAATTCCTGAAATAAAATGGATCATAAAATTAAATTAGAAAGTGATATACCTTGCTTTTAGAATAAATTCTTAAAAAGCCCTTCTTTATAATAATCATTATTATATTAAATATATTATTAAAGATTCAGGAAGTTTATACAATGGGAATTATTGGGCTTGGGCAAACAAGATAAGATGTTTCTGCTATTTCAGTAGTCTGATTGTCTATTTGTTAACATGAATTCTGCTTCTCCCTATTTGGAACAGGATTTAAATGAATACCTGAATACATCAGTCACTGAAAAATTTTATTGTTTCTCACATATATTTTGTTGTAATTTTAAACGTTTATTTGTAACATATTCTTGCCAAAGAAATTGAACAAATCAGCAGTGATGTACATATCTTTTTATACTGCCCTTATAAACATAACTAAATTAGGTTCATCATCATCATCATCATCATCTTCCGTTACTGTGCATAATCTCGGTCGAGTATATTCACACAATGTGCTGTACAGCACTCATATATGTCGCGGTGAAAAGGGAAAAAAAAGGAAATAAAAAAATAAGTAAATAAATAAATATAAATAAAAATAAATAAATATATAAATAAAGGTTATCAAGATGCATATTGTTTTAGATAACTGCACATGCACAAGACAATCTGTGCAGCCCTCAGTCAAGTTTGATAAGCCCCAACCCTGGTAAAATAAGTAAATTATTTGTGATCAGATTCATAAATCAGAACTGGACTATTCCTCAGGACCAGTCCCGTAGCATTGAGAAGGGGGGGGGTGTTAAGGGGTTAACGTCGAACCGCCCAAAAACTGGAGAAGGTCTACACTTAAAAATGAAAAATTGATATTTGTAGATAACAATGTATCAGAGATCATACAAGCCAAAGGGTCCACTTTCCACTGAAACGAACCTCCCACATATTAAGTCATGCTACGGGCCTGCTCAGGGCATGATGCTACAGTTAAACATGATAAACTCTTACCATTGGTATGCCTGAAGTAAACATAATTGTCTCCCAGTTGGTGCCATCCATACCATACAAAACCTCATAAGATTTTACCCATTGGTCATAATTTCCATTACGTCCCTGGGTCACCACACCTGTTACTCGTTTCACTTCACTCAGGTCAGCTTGGATCCACTGATCACGATTATTGCCTCTGGCTGCCCATGATCCAATGCCGTCACTGTCTGGTACAATGTTCAGTCGAGCACGTCGTGCACCATGTTGGGCATTGAATTCACTGGAAGCCTGTATGTTGTCGGATGGGATAGATCGAGACTCCATGCCCAAGCCATTATTAACACAAGACTCTAAAAATTATAATAAAGTTAGAGATATCAATTATTTTGAAATGATTTTTATTGTATAATCAAATAAAAATTCAACTCAGAAATCCTATGTGAAATGTCTATTTTTTTTTAAAAATCTATTATTTACAAGATAATATCAAAATCAATATAAAACTAGAATGAATAAAAAAAAAGGTGTAGTATACATACCTGGATGTGTAACTTCGGGTTCTTGATCGTCCACTAAAAATTTATAAATTTGAAAACAAGTAATTGTATTATATATATTATTAAAACAAATTACACTTATGTGTTCACTTTTGAGTAGCTTTTATTTAGTCTATTTGCATAATGACTTATTAGATGCATCATTATTAGTAAGCCTTATTACATACCAAAATAGTGTATTTTGATATCACAATTATATTACATGCAATACTTGTTATATATAATTATATTTGTAATCAGTTTGAATCAGGGGTAGCAACAGGGCCCCTATCTGAAAAAGCTTCCCCCCACCTCGTCGCCCCCTCCCCCGGTCGGGGAGAACAACCATAATTTGTCAGGGAGAAAAAAAATTAAAATTAATTTAAATAGGCTTTTGAAACCCCGAAATTGTCTAAATTTTCAGGGGCTTAGCCCCCCTGCACCACTTTTGAAACATTTTAAGTGCCGCTCGACCACGCCCACTTTGCTCAGCTTTCTCCTCATCAGGGACATTGTCCCCACTCCCCCCCCATCAGGGACCTCAGCCCCCTCCCCCATCGATCGGGCAAATCCTGGTGCCACCCCTGGTTTGAATACAAATTCAGCTCCTCTTACCTGGGCATGCAAGGACTTCAAATCGCATACTAATGTGACCATTCCATCTTAGAGGATGGATTCTGATGTACTGTGCATTTACTGCTGCAGGGAACAGGTTTGTTACTTGTGTATCCTTGTCAGAATTACCAACAAATTCCTGAAATAAAGTTGACAATTAAAGGATGAATATTGTGTAAATCAGGTTCATTTAGAAAAAAAAACCATAATGATATAAAGCCCGGGTATTCAAGCTTTTTAAGCTGGGGGACAGTTCTAATCTCAGATCAGCAGTGGGCCGACATAAACTGTGTACTTCCATTTTTTCTTCTATGTCAGCCTAACCCATTTTCTTTTATAGCGGTGGATCAGAAATATAAGGGGGCCAGGGAAGAACTTTCACAGATGAGGTAAAGTACCACCTCAGCCACACCATGGTTGGTTTGGTGATTATGGATATGCTCAGAAATGGCACGATTAGACTTCAATTTGAATATAATTTTCTTTTCTTCTCAATTTTATTTTAGAATTTTGAAAACAAAAACCTTGCACTCCAGGTTCTCCTACCTTGTCACTAGAAATTTTCTACCACAAAAATATCCACTCACCAGTGGTTGGGGTATTGAGGTGAGCAAATTTTAACATAGATACCTCTAGATTGAAGCACAAAACACTATTGTGATATTGTAGCCTTTATTTCCCAAATAACAGTTGGGTGGATTCAAGCCTTAAAACCAATGGTTTTCATTTGCTAACAATGTTACTCGAACAGATCCACAATTTATAACCTACCCTTGCTTGTCCATCTGCTCCAAGAATTGAATTCCAGTTGGTGCCATCCATTCCATAAAGCACTTCATAAGCAGTCACCCATTGGTCATAGTTACCATTTCTTCCTTGAGTTATCACACCAGTAACTTCTGTCACCTCTCCCAGGTTGACTTGGATCCATTGGTTACGGTCATTTGCCCTTGCAGCCCACGCTCCGATGCCATCACCATCAGGAGCTAAGTTGAGTCGACCGCGACGTGCGCCATGTTGAGCATTGTATTCGCTGGAAGCTGTTATAGCAGCTGATGGGACTGCAAATGACTCCAACCCAGATGGTGCTCGGCAATCAGCTGTACAGGGACAAAAAATACACATATTGTTTAACTTAAAAATAGGGAGACTAAAAGGAAGCACCATTTACTAGAACAATCCTCCAATTTTAAACTATTTACTAAGAACAATCCGCACAAATACTGTTCCAAGAAGTTGCTCAACAATCACTATTATAAAGATCATTTCATACATACATAAAAATGTTGCTAATAATTAGATTGTACATACCAGTAGTGTCTTCAACAGGAACTAAAAAAAAAAAAAAAAAAGAAAAATACTATTTAAAATATATGCTTTACTTAAACACATTAATACAAGATGTGGAATTTCAGCAAAGTACAGTAATCATAATTATGCATTATTTCACACCCAAAAAAAAAGCCATATTAGTGAGGAAAAAATGAGAAATTATTAAATATTCTGAAAGTGTTCTTTATAAATATTTTGTTCTTAATAATAATGCAAGTCTTATATAGCACATAATACAATAAAGGTGTCTCTATGCAATTTACACGAACAAAATGAAAGAAAACCAAAGACGTGGTATACTGTATATAATTTGATTTTAAAGCATCCGCATCCTACAAGGTACCTAATTATACTCTTGCCCTAGGACACAAGCAAGGTGATTAGCCAATAGTTTTAACTTAAAATACTGTACCATCATGGTACTTAAGCCTGGTTTCAATAAAATTGCTACACTGCGACTACAGTGTTTTCAGTGCAATCGTTGTACTGTGTAGCAGCCCATGAGGCAATGGGGAAGGCTCCCTGATTCGAACGACCAATCAGCATCACCGAAAGATGTCGGCAATATAGCATGTAGTGATAGTATAGAAAATCAAGCTTTAATTACAATTCATTACCATTAACTAAAATATTCTTTAAAATAGTTTACCTGCACAACCTAGAACCTCAAATCTCATACTGATGTGTCCATTCCATGCTAGTGGATGAATACGAACATATTGAGTTGTCAGTGGCTCAATGAATAGAGATGTGGCTGGAGTGTTCTTGTCACTGTTGCCAACAAATGCCTGAAATGACAACATGAATATTTGACTAAAATTTGGTTAAAAATTAAATTAATTTGGTTAAAATGAATTAATATTTATAATAAAAATCTACCATCTATCATAACTTTCAATGATGATTTAATTCAGGTAATGAAACAATCTACAGTGTACTATCTATTAGTGTTCCTCTATTAAAACACAGGTTCCTATAAAAGCCTGCTAAATACTATCAAAATACTTGCAAATGTCATATCAATGGTGACAAGAGAATGAGGACAAGCATGTTGGTACAGACATGGTCATATGGTACCCTCTGACAGACGGTTCTTTTTACTTTGTGGAGAGTTTATTTAAAGAAACAAGGGCAATAAACTGGTTTATTGAGGAATATACATTCACAAAATAGGCTACAAAGCTGAAATTTAAAAAATAATAAATTTTGCAACAAACCTTTGGTTGTCCATCACTCCCAAGAATGGATTCCCAGTTGCTGCCATCCATGCTGTACAAGACTTCATAAGAAGTTACCCATTGGTCATAGTTGCCATTTCTTCCTTGAGTTATCACACCAGTCACTTCCTTCACCTCTCCAAGGTTTACCTGGATCCACTGGTCCCGGTCATTTGTTCTTGCTGCCCATGATCCGATGCCATCACTGTCAGGAGCTATGTTTAGGCGAGCACGGCGTGCACCATGTTGATCGTTGTACTCACTGGAAGCTTCAATATTGTTTGATGGAATATCAATGGACTCCATACCCATTGGGTCTCTGCATCTTTCTGCAAATTTATTGAAAATAATATACATTAACATTTGTTAGTGTTGATGTTAGTCTTTAAGTTACTATCTGCCAATTTTATAATTTTTGCGAAACATAATGGAAGGATTATACTATCCTGATAATCACATACAAAAATATATCAACGTTAGTTAATAATTTGCTGGAGACTGTATCCAATCTATAATATCTGTAGATACATCATATATTTCTTGATTTGAAATCTACTGAAATACTTGTGCATGCTTTAATTCCATCAAGGCTTGCTTTTTAGTTTTTGGCATCTCAGAAGAACTCGTCCAGAACATCCAGAACACTGCTGCTTGGACATGCACTGTGGGGCTGAAATATGACCATGCTACTCCCCTACTTCATGAACTTCACTGGTTGCTGATTAAACAACAAATTGTTTTTAAATTGTTAGTTCTCACTACAAAGCGTTCTAGTCCTACTTAGATGCCTGCTTACTATTATACTCCATCTCGCTGTCTCTGATCATCTTTTCTAAATCTCCTGTTTTCTAATATTCTACCAAGACCTATGGTCAATGCCCATTCTCATTTGCTTCTGGTTTTCTTTGGAACGAGTTCCAATTACTATAACTACTTCTATCGCAACTTAAGACCTTTTTGTTTTCTGAGGGTATTACACTTGCATAGTGTGCCATTGATCTCCTTTGGAATTGGCGCCTTATAAATTTGGGATATTATTATTATTATTATTATTTTTTTTTTTTTATATGCATTACAAACAAAAATGTCATACAATCTTTTATAATTTGAAATGTGATGAATAAGCACTTAAATATTTTATATATAAGCATCCGATATTAATATCTAGCCTTCACAATAATGAGTTTTTTAAATTGTTAGTTCTCACCTACAAAGCGTTCTAGTCCTACTTGGATGCCTGCTTACTATTATACTCCATCTCGCTGTCTCTGATCATCTTTTCTAAATCTCCTGTTTCCTAATATTCTACCAAGACCTATGGTCAATGCCCATTCTCATTTGCTTCTGGTTTTCTTTGGAACGAGCTTCCAATTACTATAACTACTTAAATCGCAACTTAAGACCTTTTTGTTTTCTGAGGGTATTACACTTGCATAGTGTGCCATTGATCTCCTTTGGAATTGGCGCCTTATAAATTTGGGATATTATTTTTTTTTTTTTTTAAATTTTTTTATATGCATTACAAACAAAAATGTCATACAATCATTTATAATTTGAAATGTGATGAATAAGCACTTAAATATATTATATATAAGCATCCGATATTAATATCTAGCCTTCACAATAATGAGTACAATCTTGCAGTAACAGTATTTAGTTTATGTTCTATTTCTTATCAAAGCCCTTAGTTTTTGTACTATATAAGTAATAAAAAATAATATTCGATTAAAACAACAATATAGTGTCGTGAAAAAATTTGCAATAACTTACCATCTTCAATTTCCTCTGAAAAAATAACAAAACAGTATGATAATCAATGTTCATAAAAAAAAAAAAGTAATTAATAAAAATGTTGTAATTGTATGGAAAATAATTTCAGTATATACACCTGATAAAATAATGAAACTGGTAGAGCATATTTCAATTAGAAAACCAACATTTTACCTAATTTTAGTGAATGAAGAAAATGCCAACAAAAACCATACATTCTTCGGAATTTTAGGTTGGGAATATTAATGCTGTTTTTTCACCACTTAGTACATTTATAACATGTTTGACTAGCATTGTTTGTATTGACTTTTCTATTCTGATTCATCATACCGTACTCGCGCGAATAAGCGCCCGGGAGCTTAAAATATTTTTGGCTCTTTTTGAGGGGCGCTTATTCAAACGGGGCCTTTATTCAAACGGGGCGCTTATGAAAACAGAGTGGAAAATTGAGGGGGCACTTATGGAAATAGATGAAAATTGAAAGAGTGCTTATGGGAAATTGGAATTCAAGAACTTTTTTTTAAATCGAAGATAAGAGAACGGTTTTGGTGAAGAAAAGATAATCGTCGAGAGAGCATGGCTCATGACAAGAATGTTGGGGTACACAACAGCAGATGAAATTAGTGGTGGTGTTGGTGGTGGTGGTAAGTGTGTTGGCTATCTGCCAAATCAGATTAGCAGGATCATTGCAGGGTTTCTTGCTTAGATACAAGAGTGATGGAAGTCAGTTAATTTTTGTTGACTGAAAATGGCCGTACAGTATTTTAATTTTTAGTTTAATTCTAGTAGTTCTAAATCAAAAAATGGTAGCAATGAAACAAGAATGGGATTCTAAATATACATCAAAACTGAAAATCATGTTAAACTTAATGGAGACTGAGAGCCCGACTGATGGATAGCTGAACTGACCGACTGACAATGCTTAGATGCGAACAGTTGATGCAGAAAATTAATGATGTACTGTACTGTATGATTGAATTTTTTTAGGAATTGAGGGGCGTTTATTCAAACGGGATGCTTAAGACAATTTTCACGTTAGGAGGGGCACCTATTCAAGAGGGGCGCGCTTATTCAAACGGGGCACTTATTCTTGATTTTAAATTTTGAAACTGTTGGCAAATTATTTGGTTTGATTATTATTTATATTGATGTTTGATATGGAATCTTTTTTGGATATCAAAGAGATATATATAAGATATTGTCATTACAATTATAAATGCTGGAATATGTAACATAATAATTCAATAGAAATTATGTACCTGGACATCCAACTATCTCTATCCTCATACTGATGTGGTTGTTCCAGCTAATTGGTTCAATACGTACATATTGAGCATGTACGGGGGCAGCAAACAGATTGGTAACTGCTGTATCTGGGTCACTGTTTCCTACAAACTCCTACAAAATGATAATACATCTTATCAAGTTTCTCCGAATGCAATATGCCATTGATATTGAAAGTAATAGCTTTTAGTTTTTGGAGATTGAAAAGTCCAATTTTAACTAGATTTGAACTCGTCACTGAGGACGAGTTAGGTGATCCGCCGCACTTTGACCCACGAGGAAGTGTGCGCGTGGCAGATTGAACAATAATTAATTGCTGAAAATGGCAAAATACGCTAATTTAGTTTGTTAAAAAAGAATTTTGAGCATTTGAAAAGATTTACTCATGCGTACGCGCACGTCATGACGCACGTGCGCATCTTAATGTCACTGTTGTCTTTTCATATGAGAGATATATGTATCAACTTTCATTGACAAACGCCTGTTGGTGAAGGAGTAATGATCATTTATAGTATTTATCATATAAAAATTCGGTTTTTTTACTTCAGGCAATATTGTGACGTCACAATGTCCGATCAGCTATTATAATATATCAAATCATATCTACAACTCATGTGCTTTTAGAATATGTAATAAAAATTGGGGGTCACCTTTCATTCTAAGGAGCTATATTTGATTATAAATAGGCATAATTATTAGCATATGTAATATTTGACGCACGCGTACGCCAGTGGCTGTCTCTTATACACATCTAGATGTGTATAAGAGACAAGTATAAGCCCATTTAATATTATTCAGAAATGACGAATGGTTAAGATGATATGACGTCATCAACGTTTTGAGAAAAGAAATATAATTTTTTTCTTGTTTTTAAATTCAGATGGCAATATGATGACGTAACAATGTCCGATAAGCTATTATGATATATAAAATTACACATCTCAATAATGAGTACAATCTTGCAGTAAAGTATTTAGTTTGTTATGTTCTATTTCTTATCAAAGCCCTTAGTTTTTGTACTATATAAGTAATAAAAAATAATATTCGATTAAAACAACAATATAGTGTCGTGAAAAAATTTGCAATAACTTACCATCTTCAATTTCCTCTGAAAAAATAACAAAACAGTATGATAATCAATGTTCATAAAAAAAAAAAAGTAATTAATAAGTGGTAAATTAAAAAAAAAAATTGAAATGCTCAAAATGGCCTGAAACGTGCTCTAATTTAATCTAAATGTGATTTCAAGCATTTTCAAAGTTTGACACACGCGTACGTGCGCGTTATTACGCGCACGCGTAAAATTTCGGTAAATTACATTTAACATTGACTTGAAGTTAATGCTCACTTAATACGATTTCGAAATGGTAATTGGTTAGGCTGATATGATCGATAATGTAAAAACACAAAATTGCGCGTAGATGACGTCACGCATAACTGCGCACTTTGAAAACCTTATTGTGACTATTCCAGGCCAAGCTAAATGTTTGTTGAAGNNNTTTGTTGAAGCGTGCATGTATGAATCTCGTGCCAATTTTTAGATATCGTGCTAACAAGAAATGGGAAAAAAAAAAGAAGATCTCTGACAATAACAAGAGGTGATCCGCTAGTGTAGCGGATCACCAATTATCTCACAAACAATTTAGGCTTCTCTTTTGAAAAAGAAAAAAGCTCATGCTAGATTTTTAAAATTTTGGGTAAATCGGGCTTGGGCATTGAAAATTCATTTTATTTTTAATTATAAGAAATTAATGCAAATCTGACCCACAGAATTTCATTTCCTACAGAAAATATCTATTCTGAGTTTCACTTACAGCTGCCTGGCCACCAGCTCCCATGATTGGTTGAAAGTTACTGCCATCAATACTGTAAGATACTTTATATGATGTCACCCATTGATCATAGCCTCCGTTGCGACCTTGTGTGATTACTCCAGTTACTTCTTTCAAAGCACCAATATCAGCTTGAATCCATTGGTTTTGGTTGTTGGATTGTGCAGCCCAAGCACCAATACCACCACTTCCTGGTGTGATGTTGAGTCTACCACGTGTAGCTCCATGTTGTGCATTATACTCACTGGATGCTATTAACTGGATATCACGACTCTCAATTCCCAAAGCTCCAGTGCAGAACTGTTCTGCTGGTTCAGTATCTAGAAAAATTAATGGTTACATTATAAATATCTGACTAAATAAATACCAGTCATTAATTAATGAAAGTCATTAAAATATCCTGCATACTATGCTTGCCATTTATTCCACTGAATAGGCCTGGCATTTCAAATTTCACACCAACTGCTTTGACTTTAACTTAAAAAAAAAATTACTGATGATCGTAAAATTATAAGTTAAAAAGGAACTGGTAATATGTTCCAATTCAAAAATTATGACAAAATAAGAAAATTATTTCCTTGACTGCCTCTATTTGATTTTAATTTTATGCCATTTGCAACTACATCCTGTAAGAGATTTTTAAGACAACACCCTTCTTCTTGTAACTCGAAATGGTGCACCCAACTTATGCTTCCTTTCCTTGTTACTATACCTGGGCATCCAAGGATCTCAAATCTCATACTGATGTGCCCATTCCATCGCAGAGGATGGATTCGAATAAAACGTGCTTGTATCTCAACTGGGAATAGATTGCTAACAGGAGTATCCTTGTCATTATTACCAACAAATTCCTGAAAAAGGGGAAAAAATGTTCATAGTCAATCATATTCTTGAGGTTCAAATTGTACAAAGAAGGATTAGCCACAATTTTTACAATTATATTGTTATATGAACCCTAGCGTGTCGCGAAAAATGTCTACATAAACTTTGGAAAATCCCTTTTCAGAATATCTCATCATCCAATGAGGTTTGAAAGTATAATACATACTCCAAGTATTGAAATACACGCCATCGTGTTGGGATTCAATATTTCGACATTAATTATGTCATCATTCCTGATGATGACATAATTAATGTCGAAATATTGAATCCCAACACGATGGCGTGTATTTTAATACTTGGAGTATGTATTATACTTTCTTATCTGAGATTAATCAGTGGACCTTTCGGCCAATGAGGTTTCTATTTGAAAAAATGACATAATTTGTGTTCACAACAAACAGTTGAGAAGAAGCGAAGTTTTGAATCGCATGACTTTGCACCACAATGCGCTGAATGTCTTAGAAAGGGAAAACTATTATTTACATGTCTAGGCTAATGCATACTTTGTACAAAACATTTACTTAGGCTGGCCTCGTACTCGTACATAAGTAATAACATACCCTGCAAAAGGTCTAGTCTTAGATGTTTATGACAGCGCGGCGCTTTTGGGCTTCAGTACCACTTTTTGCACCACACTCGCAACGAAGTAGACTACTTACTTTTTCATTAATAAACTCCTAGTTTTGCACCGAAAATGGTATATAAAACTGATGGAAATTTGGGAATCAGGCCATATAAAAAACATCAGTTATTATCACCCTATCATATATAATTATAGGCTTTTATTTACACAAAATTTAGAAAAGAGACATGCTGATAATATTTTCTTTTTTAGTAAAAACCAATAAAGGTCAAATACAAGTTGAATAGGTCAAAGGTCAATATATTAATGTCAAAGGTCAGATAATTGATGTCACTCAATAAAATAATTATACAATTTAGTAAAGTATGCAAATTCAAAATCATTTATATAATATTATTAAATCAAAGAAAATTGCAAATTTTAGATGAAATGTTAAAAATGATAGGTCAAAGGTCACAATTTAAAAGTCAAAGGTCAAAATATTTTGTATCACTGGAACGCTTATTTAATATGAATCAAAATAAAAACAACTTGTAATGGAACATTTTCAACAATAAAAAAATTATTACAGTTTATTTGTAGTAGAGTCTAATTTCTTTCATATACAGCAAACTCTCTAGGGAGTAATTGACTACAATACATTACAACTATAGGTGCTAATGGGTTAAATAACTATTTAATTATTATTATTATTATTATTATTATTATTATTATTATTATTATTATTATTATTATTATTATTATTAATGATATAATTACTATTGAATGAAAATTAAATTTTACAAATAGATAAAGTAAAGAGCTTACAATCGGTTGTCCGCTGTTACTAGTAACCGTCTCCCAATTATTACCATCCATACCATATAGGACCTCAAACGATGTCACCCATTGGTCGTAGTTACCATTGCGTCCCTGGGTTACCACACCAGTCACACGTTTCGCTATAAACAAGTCAGCTTGGATCCATTGATCACGATTATTGCTCCTGGCTGCCCATGATCCAATGCCATCACTGTCTGGTATGATGTTCAGTCGAGCACGGCGTGCACCATGTTGAGCATTGTACTCGCTCGAAGCACGGATGTTTCCTGATGGGATAGCTCTTGACTGCATACCCAAAGCATGTGTTGTACAATCTTTACACAATAATGGGAAACAAATAAAATATAAATAATTGTATTTTCCTTTTTAAGACAAAAAAATAAGATTTATAGATTTATAGGGCAGTAATAAAAATAACTAATTAACAGATGGATGATTAATTAACTAATAGTAAATTTTCAATATGGATTGTAGATTCACATTCCATAGCTATTTGCCTATTAATTACTACCAAAACGCACAACACTTTCTACACTATTTTGAAAATTAATTACAAGAGCTTGACTTAATTTCTTTTTAAAGTTTTTTTTATAATGCATTTATATTATCAATACAACTGACAAACACCACTTCTAATTTGATTAATTTCAAATGAATAAAAAGATTAAAAAGGGAAAAAACAAGATTTTCTAAATGCTAACCAAATTACTTTGATAGAAGACAATAACTTACCTTCAGGAATTTCTACCTCCACTTCCTCACCTGAAATATTGAATAACATTATTTTGTTGTTGTTAATATCTTTTAGCAAATCATTTATTAAGTCATCTTATGAATTTTATCTGTTCAAAATTCAAACAAATGCACAAATATGGGCACATAACACAAATTTGTCACACAAAATTTGGTAGTGTAGACATAGGTTAACAGTTGCTTTGAACTGAAACAGGCAACCAGGTTTTCTGTCAAATAGCATCCATTTTCACTTTGTTAAATAATTATGATATAACAAGTCATACCTCTACAGCCTAAGATTTCAAAGCGCAGACTAATGTGACCAAACCATGCAGTAGGGTGAATGCGAACATACTGTGCTTCAACCGACGTTGGGAACATGTTGGTAACAGCAGTCTCCTGGTCAGTATTTCCAGTAAAAACCTTCAGGAAAAACAAACATTAATTTTGAAGATTTAATTCCTTAAAAAACACTCTGTTATCAACTATTTGATCAGTAACCAATTGATATTTAAAATTATACATGTTATTCACACAAATTTAAAATACATTTTGGCATATACCAAGCAATCATCATTAATTAAAGGCTAACTGTATATAAATTGAGGTATGCAGAATTCCTTCAAAGGATTTATTGCAGAGGTAAAGTGAGTAGTTACCAGCATGTTCTGCATTGGGTACAATAGTCTCTTTCCATAGTGCAATCAACTATCATTAAGAAATAAATATATTTTGCTTTTTCTAATAATAGTACATAGTTTAGAATTATTAAAAACACAAAATATGTATTTGTGTCTGTAATTGTACAATTAATTTACTGATTACATATAATGTATGCATAAATCATAATACCATTCAAAAAAATGTAAAAAATCATTACGAATATGTAACTGACCAATGTATGACCGCCTTCCTCAACTGTCTGCCAATCACCTCCATCGTTACTGTACAACACTTCAAATGCAGTCACCCATTGGTCAAGGCCACTTCTTCCTTGTGTGATTACACCAGTGACAGTCTTGACAGCACCAAGGTTGGCTTGGATCCATTGGTCCAGGTTGTTAGTTTGCGCAGACCAGGAACCAATGCCGCCACTGTCTGGACGAATGTTTAGCCTTCCACGTTGCGGGCCGTGTTGAGCATTCCACTCACTCGACGCTTGAATATTATCATTTGAGATGGCGTTTGATGCCACTCCCATGTAATCAGTGCAGTTGGCTGCTTAAAAGAAAAAAAAATGACATGACAACTTGCATGTATTTTATCCATCAGCCATTAGGTCATAAAGTGGATAAAAGGATAAAATATTAGGGAGCTTTCGACTGCACGACGACGGTAGGACGTAGAACGCAATGATGTCACTAAAGTCACTTGCTAAGTTCACCTCGCCGAGTGGATTCTGCAACGCAATTTGGCAAAATCTACGTATGCTGAGAACGTAGGACGCCAGATAGGATGGCCACACATGAACGATTCCCTTCTAGCGTCGTGTCTCGCACAAATCGAAAGACTCCTATTGTAAGCTAAGCCACGCACTTACTGTGCCCAACGGTCATCGGTCGACACGATTCTATGAAGAACGCAACGCGATGTTGCATGCACAACTGATCGTTTTTAATGACGATCCGTTCAATTGACAATCAGCAGATGGCATTGTGAGTTGCTACGTTTTTTTAATGCTGTGTTCACATCGTGTACGGAACACAGTTGTTCGGGTTAAGTATGTATGCGATTGATTGGTTGGAACCAACCAAGCTTGTTGCTGATTGGTCCAAAAAAAAAAACGTACAATTTCAAGATACTGGCTCTCAGATCCATCGGTCCAGATTGAAAATCGTACGAATTTTATATGAACGGTCCTATTCTTTACCATTGAACCCATTTTTCTCCGGAATCCGGGCTTGATGTGAACGTAGCTTTAGACTAAAACTAATGTTGAAGGTTATATTTGAATATGTCATCTAAAAAGCTATTTTTCAAAACACCTTCTAAACTAAACTAAAGACACACTTTTATTTAACCATTATCTTACATAAGAAAACATGAAGGACTTTCAGAAATGACTTGATTTTCTATATGACTTCATAACTTTTTTTTGTTTTAAATTAGGATACACTTTTAATTATATTCCATATTTTTATGGTCTTAATATATATATTCAAATCGTAACAAACATATAAATTCAAATTTTTGTAAATTAACATTAACATGAATTTACTTTAATTACTTCCACATTGTGTACTCAATTACACTTACCGCCTGGTGGTATAGGGATCGGTTCTCGACAGCCAAGAAGTTCAAATCGGAGACTGATATGCCCATGCCACTGAGTTGGGTTAATACGGATGTACCTGGCCTGGATTGGCTCAGCGAAGTAATTGTACTGTCCGGCAAACTGATTATGATTGCCTTCAAATTCCTGCAATTAATGTTTGATGTATAGTTAATATTATTTATAAACAGGGGTGGTGCGTGGGGAATTTTTCCCCCCAGAAAAAACTTGTATTGCCTCCCCAGTTCCACCCCCCACCCAGAAAAGAAGTAAAACCACAATTCATCGGGACGAAAAAAAAATTATATGTATTTTCTACATATTAGCAGACTATCTATATATGATATCGATTAAACAAGCCTCTGAAACCCCTAAATTGTCATATTTTTGGGGGGCTCTGGCTCCGGTTTACTTTTAAAGCATTTTATTGACACCAGACCACGCCCACATTGCTGTCATCAGGGACCTTGTCCCACCAAAATCATACCTTGCCCCTCACTTTGCCCCCCCTCCCAAATTTTAGACGCTGGCACTGTCACTGTTAATAAATGTTATATTAACAAAATATATGTTACATAGTTTTACATCAGAATGCCAATGGAACAACCTTGATTTATAAATATCATTGTTGCCAGGGCATAACATTATACCTAATGATATTTACCTGTGGGTTTCCATCTTCATCACTAACAGTTAGGAATGTTTCCCCATTCTGACTGTACTGTACATTGTAAGCAGTGACCCACTGTTCATGATCAGATCTCCCTTGCGTTGTTATTCCGGTAACCATGACAATATCGCGGGTTCCAAAGTCCACTTGGATCCATTGATTGGCATCGTTTACCTGTGCGCTCCATGAGCCAACATTGCTTGATGTTCTACTGGAGTGATACCGGGCCCCAAGAGCACCGTGAATCGCATCCCATTGACTGGAGACGGAAAGGCTGCCATCTGGAATGGATCCATCTCGCATACCAAGCGGACTAGAGCATTCTGGTTCAGTTACATTCATCTCTTCTATTAATTAAATATATATATTCAATGTAACACATTCCATTCAATATGTAATACTGTCAAAATTTAATATGATGTAGTATATTTAAATTATGAATAATAATAAATAAATAATTAGTGTTAATAACAATAAAAACAATACTCATAATAATAGTAGTAATAATATTAATAATGACAATAGTTATAGTAACAACAATATCAATAAAAATAATACAAATGACAACAATAATAATCAGTTCAGTACAGTGTCATCTGCAAGAGTAGTAATAATAGACAAAATATTTATCAGTTGATATTGATGATAAAGTTTATAAGTGCCTAAGAATTAATAACTAGAGATTATACATATATCAGTTTGTGTATTAAAGTCTTGGAATAAGCTGAGAGAATCTATATGCAAATAATGAAATTTTGATAGATCACAGATTTTGACAATTACCGTTACAACCAAGAAGTTCAAACCGCATGCTTATGTGTCCATTCCATGCTGTAGGATGAACACGCAAGAACTGTGCACTGATTGGTGTTGGAAACAAATTGGTCACAGGCGTGTCACGATCGGTATTGCCAACAAACTCCTGGAATAAATAATCAGTTTAAAAAAATAGTGACCAATCAAGTGTAAATGCTGTTGACTCTATACAAAGAGTGCTATATAAATGCTAAAAAATTATTATTATTATCATTATCATTATCATTATTATTATTAATTAAAAAGCTGAAGCTTTGTCAAATGACTCTATGGGATAGCTAGAACCTCCCAAATCTTTGTATTTGTTTGCAAAAAATTTACAAAACCCAATGTCACATCATTCCATGTTAAGAATTCAAGGCCTTGAGGAGTTTGCCTGTGTTCTCCATTTGACTTGGGCTACTACTTTATCATTAAGGCTAAGTTCATCCCATGTAGTATGGACAGGTGCAAGAATCACTCCAGTCTTGCATCATGCACGGTTTGAGTATTAGTCTAAATGTAGCCTATATTATAACAGTTCTACAAACATTCATAATTAGAAGTGGCATTATGAAAAGCAGACTACACATCTGCTTTGAAATTACCAGCATACGTACCTCAACTTGGTTTCCATTTCCAACTAATTCTAACCAGGCCAGGCTGTCTTGACTATACTGCACTTGAAAGGTGATAACCCACTGGTCAACATCACTCCTGCCCTGGGTGATTATTCCCGTCAATGTCTGTGATGAACCCAAATCGGCCTGGATCCACTGTGAATGATCATTCCTCTGGGCAGACCAAGCACCTGTTTCTGACCCTTCTCGACCTATGTTAAGCCTTGCACGTCGTGCACCATGGTTCTGGTCGTATTCCGTTGAAGCAGTCAAACTCTGTGTTGATATTTGTCCAGATTCCATTCCCATGGGCTCCATACATTCACCTAATATAAATATTTGCATATATAACTCAAGAATCAGAAGGGTTTATTCTGTTATATCTCTGTTTTACACATTTATTTATATATTTTACTTTTCAAATTTTAATTATGTTATTTTCATACTCCTATAACAATTTCAATTAATTATATATTATTATATATTAAATGTCAATTAGGCTTTTGACTTACCTCCTTCACTATCTTCATCAGGAACTACCACAAAAACAAAGAGAGAAGTCATTATTGATTATTCATTTTTGTAGTTTTATGCACACAAAAAAATCAAGATCGAGATTTAAGTGGCAATACTGTAGTTGGTAAATGTTCATTAAATAAACAAATTACCTTCCAACTAAAACTGAGAGACTCATTTTGTCCTTGCCTTATGTTATGTATACTATTAGATGAACAAACTTATACATACTTATACTAAAGAGAGACATATGATATCTTAAAGAGTACCTGCACAACCAAGAACCTCCAATCTCATACTGATGTGGCCATACCAGACAGAGGGTTTAACCCTGATAGCAATTGCCCGCACTGGTACCGGTATGTGGTTTGTCACATGGCCATTTTGGTCCATGTTTGCTGGGAAGTACTGAAAACCAATGTAAAAGTCTTGTAAATAAAAACATTTTAAAGTTGATGAAAGTGAGTTTACAAAACAATACATACTTGAAAATTGTCTCCCGTAAAACCTGGAATTGAAGCCCTGGGCTTCTTCTCCCTGGGATTTTTCTTGGCTCCTTTGCAAAGTAAAGACAGGGGCTTCTTTTCAAAATGAATGCTGTAAATTTTGTGAATTTGTACTATAAAACAATAAATAAGGCCACTGTAACATCAACCTGTATCATGGAGTGTATTTAACTGGCATTAAATCACCTAAACTACTGTAAAATCAAGCTTGTTTTTAATTTAGTTTTTTTTTTTGGAAATTAATGTACAGTGTATGTACTGTACTGCACTATCTCGAAAAGAACCTATGCTATCTTTTCCAGATGAGCTTTATTTCAAGGCTAATTTTGCAAACTAAAGAGTTTGCAAACTAAAGAGGGACTTCAATTCGAGATGGGCTCAACTGAGCTTCAATTCAAGGTTTTAAAGTATCAGTATATTGTCTAATTAGAAACCAGAAAGGACTCCACTGGAAATACATACATAATATCATTTATATAGCACTATTTCATGAAGATCAGTGTGCTCTAAGTGTGGACTACAGTAGCTCATACAGTGTCTTTCTTCTCCCCTAAGGGTCCCTTCGTGTCTGATCTGGCCATTAAATCGTTACCTGCTACACTCGTCTATCCACAACAGGGGCTGTATGGACCAGTACACCGGGGTAACCCTCTACTCATCTAAAAGATGTACAGGGTCTTTAGAGTGCACATGAGCCAATTGTGTACACTGGTCATACGGTTTATAGTCCTTATCCGAAAAGAATTGTTCCACCTCCAGAACCACAGGCGAGCCAATATGGCTGTAGGTTGTGGCGCCACTGCCGTAACAACTCAGCTGATAAGTCTTTCAAATTCTGGAGGTTGTCTCTGGTGCATCAATCAATATAGGGTAAGATTTAGACAAGATATGATATCCTTGTATTTTCCATAGCATGTTAATGGAAGGCACACTTACTTTGATTTCATTATTGCTGTCCAAGACATGCTCCCACGTTTCTCCATCTTCTGTAAAGTCAACAGAGTAAGCCTCAACCCATTGATCTATACCATTGCGCCCCTGAGTGATAAGTCCGGTAACCATTGCTGGTTCACCAAGGTTAACTTGTAACCACTGGTCATGGTCGTTATTCTGAGCAGACCAGCTACCTCCATTTGTATCATCAGCAACAGCATTCAAGCGTGCATTGTCTGCTTGTAAGCTGTCATCAAATTCGCTGGATGCTTGAAGGCTGGCAGATATCAGAGTGCCGTCTTGCAAGCCCATTGGTTCAAGACAAATTTCTGGTTCAATAGTGTTTGTACGGCTTGCGCGTACCTCTGCAATAAGCCAAAAAAAGGTACTGTAAGTATGTGTAACTACCATACTTTTTAATGCTTTGCTTTATCTGTTATTATTTCTGTCATCTATTCTCAACTGTTCAAAATAGAACATGTCCAAAATGTGTAAATGACATTTCTAGGTGTTCTCAGAGAACAGTAACAAGAAATAATACTGATAATATTAGATAAGCTGTCCAACTGGGAACATTAGAAATGTGTAATGACATAAACACTCGTGTAACACTTCAGGCCTACTGCAGAAACAATACTCTTACATAACACTCTTAAAACTTATTTGAGACCTGAAAATTTGGGTGTCGTCTCAGGGTTCAGCCTACAAATAGAGGGTTAGTTTAGTTTTAAAAGACTGAAGATTTTTTTTGGTGTTCTGAAAAAATGGTCTTGAATTAAAGGGCTCTGGAAATCTTTTTTTCTTTAAAAGCTATATCTTGAGAGAGGTACATTGTGGAACCATTTTTGTGAACATACCGTCACATCCGAGAACCTCTACTCGCATGCTAATATGTCCACTCCAAGATGTTGCTCGGATCTGGACTGAACGAGCTTCAACCGGTTCTGGGAAGTAGTTAGTCACTGGTGTATTACGATCACTATTTCCAACAAAATCCTGCAATCAGAAAAAAAAAAATACTTACATTAGCTCTAAAAACCTTCAGTTTTAACTAAAATCTATTTTAAAAATCTTTATTATTATTTAATATAGTGAAACCAAGGAAAGTATCAACTATTAGCAGCCTTATCTTTGTACAAACCAATAAAAAGAGCTCAGGGCAAACACTGTACTTACCATTGGCTGTTCATTTTCATTCAAAACACTGAAGTAATGGACACCATCAAGGGTGTAGGACACTTGGTACGAAGTCACCCATTGGTCAAGATCTTGTCTACCTTGAGAGACAACACCAGTTACCATGAACTCGTGTGGTAGGTTCACTTGAATCCATTGACCGGGGTTATTGAACTTTGCAGACCACGAGCCACGCAGAGCTCCACTCTGGAGACTGTTGAGACGTGCACGGGAGGCTCCATGGTTTGGATCCCATTCAGTTGATGCCTGAAGTTGGAAGTCATGAATCAAGCCACTCTCGACTCCAATTCCGCGATGACAAATATCTTGTGAGAAAAATTACAATGGTAACCATGAGGCGTGTTAGAAAGTACTTCATGTTTCAGTATTTGTACAATGTATACATTTTTAATGATATAATTATGAAGTTTCTGGGATGGATGAAATATATGTAAGAAGTACCTTCTAATAATGTTTATCTTTGAGTTCATCATCTTTTGATACATTCAATTAAATAGTAAAGTAAATTTTTAAATGTGATTTTAATATTTGTTACTTTTTTATGTACAGTAGTGCAAATATTAAACCAAGAATTAACTATTTAGTATTTAAAGTTGAAATCAAATCTTAGTTTGGCTTACCCTCACATTCGAGACCATCACCTTCAAAGCCTGGCAAACAGAAACACCCATGAACACCTTCGTTGGTTGTGCATTCGGCTGATGAGCTACAGGTTAGATTGAAACACGCAATAATTCCAAGACCTTGACATGAGCATTCTTGCGTACAGTCATTTGATATCCAACTGTCACCAACCTACAAGTGAAATTAAGTAACAAGAAATATTGAATAAAGCCGACATGACGACTTGAAGTAAACTAGAAAAAAAAGACTCATTTCTACCTTATGGAATTATCAATAATAAATTGTGTCAAATACCCTGTAATTAAAGAAATCGTCAGTTGTGCACCCGCACTCATCCACAGAGACGCATTCTATTCCATTCAGAACAAAGCCTTCATCACATTCGCATGCTTCTACGCAAATATCTCCGCAATCTTCTTCAGGGATGGTGAAGGAACATGTGTCTGGGCATGCTGAAGCACATGGAGAGTAATGGCTGTGTGCCCCACATTCAATTGCTGAAAGAAGAAATTACAATATAAACCAAGAATTTTATATTATAAAATCATAGCAGTTTTGTGATTCCAAGCAGATCATTTCACTTGTTTTACCTCCTTCCTACTACTGTAAGTACAAATGACAACAAAACACAAATGACTGGGTTCTCCACTGTATGCAATTCTCTAATTTATGCAAGAACTACCATAATAGATTGTTCCACTATCTGACCTTGTTTGTTATTTAAATAAATCAATAATTTAATTGTTTACCAAGATAAACTTTTGTTGTTCCCAAAGTCAATGTTAGTAAATACAGTACAAGTAAAGAAGTCAAATAGCAATATTTAGAGTTTAGACTGTGATTTTATTTTAAAAGAGTTTAAGGCCCAATAAAAAAAAATATTAGTTTATTACCCTTGTGCACATGTCTTCTATGGTAATGAAAAAAAAAAAAAATTGAACATTTTTTTTATTTTAAACTTTAAAATTTTTTTTTATTATTTCATTTTTTCAAATTATATTGTGTAGATATTGTTTGCATTTTCTCAATCATGTTTTACTTTAAATATCAATGCACCAGCAAACAACCCATGGGTGATATTTGGCTTTAGCAAAATAAAACAGTTTTTTTTTTTTTGCCTCCCTCCTCACTTTTCCAGCCTAGATAGGGTGATAAATAATAATATTTTGTATGGGGCCTAATAATAATTCAACCTTAAGGCATTCTGCCAATGGATGAGCTTTCATAGGTATCTGTAGACACTAGCACGTCCTCTACTGGTCTACATTGAAGCATCATCCATTCAGGTGACACCTTTTATAAGTTGTATAAACTTACAGTTAAATAACTTCACTGAAACTGAAAGAGCAATTACTTCCTCTTTCAGCTAAAAAAAAAATAGATAAATAAAATCCTGCATATCACACTAGAAATTTGTTTTCCCTTTAAAACAAAGATATTAACATTTATTATATTGTAATTATCTACTAAATGTAGGACAAAAACCACCCTGGACAATACTGACCTGGTCAAAAACCACCACAGTGGATTATGTACCACTGTTAAAGGGGAGGGGGCAGTGGTGTGGACAATGTTTGGTGGCATGGTTTTTAGCTTGTGATTGCTGAAATCTACAATGCTTATTAACCTACACGCATGTTGTCAAAAGAATTAAATGAATTAAAGGCGCATAATAGAAAGTCACAATGTATTGTAGAACTAGATAAAAATAAGCCCACCCAACATTGTTCGCCCTACTGCCCCATCACTTAAACAATGGTATAGTCCATTGTGGGTGGTTTTTGTCTGATTTCTGATCTACTTACGACAAAGTTCGGCAGTTCTGAACGTTTCTAGGAACACACCCTCTTCGCGGCAGGCCTGGTAGTAGGCATCTAGGTTGTTACACAGTTGTTCATCATTGCCGATGTGGCATGTGTCAAAGACACAGTCATCAAAATAAATTTGGGGATCAATGGTATCATGGCAGGCAGCGAACGTGCTGTCAGGGCCAGTGTCAGTGATTTTACCACAGTATTCGTTGGATGAGTACACCGCACGGGCATCATTTGTACAGGAGCTGGTAACTTCTTCGCTTGGTTGACAACTAAATGGAAACATTGGATAAGTGAATTGTATCTTCTTAAACCCTGTTTGCATTGGAAAGGAAGGGACTCTACCATGGTATAATTTAAGTGCTGCTGTTCACACTTGGATTTTAATATGCCGCAGTAGGTTTAAGCAAAGAGTATAGAATTGTATGAGGTCCGACTGCTCTGATTTTGTATGCATGCAATGAAATGTTAAAAAAAGTACTAAGACAAGATAGGTGGCGCCCTATAAAAATTTGAATACAGTAGGTACATGCTTTTGAAGGATGCCCTCTAATTAGTGCTTAGTGGTAGTACTTTGCGAGATAGGATTGCGTTTCACCGAAAAGCCTGAAAGTCGGACCTCTTGCAGTCCTATACGCTTTGGTTTGAGATTTTGCGCATCGCCGCATACCTGATCATTATAATCCAATCATGGATAGATTGTAGAAAAAATTCAGCAATGCGCATGGTATTAGCAGATAACTAAGTTGTTTTGGTTAAATAAATGTACATTGAATTGAATTGCAGCTCACACTAAACGGTGAACAACGTATATATTCTTTCTGGGCAATGTTCCACACTGGATTATTTTTGTTCAAACTGACCAGGTATATGCTTGACCAAAAAAAGTACAATCTGTTTGTTTGTTTTTTCTGTTTTTGGGGGGGGGGGGGGGCATTGTGGGGGGGGGGGGGCAAGTGCTTGTATTCATGCACTGTGGAACATTGGGATGATTTTAATATTATTGTTATTATATGATTCATTGTGTGTTGGTACTTACACCGGATCAACATTCCAGCTCTCTCCCCATTCATGAACATTGTCTGTTAAGGATCCATCAGGTTTCACTAAATCATCACGTCGGTTGCTGTTACAGTTACCACACAGGCCTTCCAAGTGCTCACGGTACTGTTCACCAGTACCTGTTTCAACACGGTTTTTTCCATCCCATGTTAGCCAGAAATCATGGCCTGTATTAACAAGGATATCCCTACCACTCATCTCAACTGAAAGACTTTCAGATGGGGAGTATGGTAATACAATTTCTCTGCCATCGATCTGCAAGTAAAAATGATGTTTAGTTTACAAAAATTACTTATATAATTTAAACAAACCAGCAGTTTAAGAAACTATATATTACCTGGATGAACTGATGTATTTAACAGAACTTAGGCAAGACATTTTTTACTTCTTGTTTCACAAACTTATTTTTTTAAAGACCCTCAGAGGCGGGTGGAAAAAAAAATGAAAATAAAATTTTGTTTTCTTGTTTAGCAAATACGACAGAAGTAAAATTAATATAAAATTTCGTTGTTGAATGTAACCAGTGTAGTAATGGGATGGTTAAATGCTTTAAATTTATATAAATAGGAAGAAATATATATATATCTTATTTTTGGAGATTTCAAGGCAGTGGTGGGCGTAATAAAAATAAAGAAAAAATTTTATTTTTTTATTTTTTTATTTCCAGTTTTTCGTAGCGACGGGTGTGCTAAACGGCCAAAAATAAAATTTTATTTTATTCTAAATTATCAATATTGGAGGGCTGCGAGTTCGCGAAACAAAGTATAAAAAAGTCTTACCTTACTGCGAAAAAAATTAATGTAGGTCTATTTGTCTGTTTTAGTATGGCCTATTTGCTAATTGGCAAATTATATATACGTATTCACAAAATAGACCATAAATCATTGAATACTTAATTGTTATTCTGTGTCTCATTGGGAATTACTTTATTTGAATTAGCAACTCTGCCTACAAGTATGAGAAGAAGCAATAATCACTTTTAGTTCAGTAAGAATTTATAATAAATAAAAAATTCTATATGAAATTTAACAAAAATAAGGCAGAACACTTACAAAAGTTACATACTGCCGATTCAGACGTATCTCATGTCCGCTAACATTGACAACAACATATTCAGCCAATGCTACTCCTCCATATCCATTTTTAAACTGATTCTTCACAGTGACTGAGAAGAGAGGGGGATCGTTGAGTGTATCCCTGACAAAGGTATACGAACAGTTGCCCTGGAAATCAAACCGTTTTCCATCAAAGTTTACGTAATGTGGATCTCCCCATCCAGAGCACTTGCAACCTAAAACAAAAGCATCAAATACTTATGTTTATAATTTAAACTGATGAAAATACAAAGTTTAATTTATTGTCAAATACTAAGTAAATATTTCAATATTTAATTTACAGTATAATATTTAGATGAAAATGAAAAGAAATCAGAGAATACAAGTAAAGGCAGTTAAACCTACCTCGCCTCCCTTCAGAATTAGGAAAGAAAAGAAGATTGAAAGAGAAAAGAAGGTAACAATTATGTCAAATTCAAGAATTTTTATGACTTGATAATACCTCAATTAGTAGTTACCAAAACCCACTCTTCAGAGCAAATCAAAGTAACAACATTTTACAGAGGTCCCAAGTTTCCCACAACTCACAGGATTCTCCTGGAAATTGGGAATGACTCCCACACTTCCATGAGCAAGTAAGAATCTGCCGGAAAATAACCCATCTGCTGCAAATTCCCATTATTTGCATGCTTGTTTTTACAAGTACAGTATTTAATACCGTATTATCAACTATCTCCTTAAAGTCAGTGCCAATGGGTGTCACAATGCACAGCAAAATATAATCAGAATTATTAAGAAAGCTCATTTAAACAGACCTCCTGGATGTGGATTCTTTTAACTTAAGACCAATAATTTCAGATCTGGTAGTTGTCAATTACGTTACAGATCCAGATTAAGAAATCCCATCCAAATCTGCTCTTGCAAAAGCACATATCAATCATCAATGTTTGTATAAATCCCATATTTGACCCAACAAAATAACTTCTGAGTATGGACATACTAAGATATTTTTGATAAAATATTAGAGGAAAGCATATAAAATCATTTTAATTCAATCTACTAATTTACAGTTAGATGAAAACGAATAGAAATCAGAGGATACAATTAAAGAAAGTTAAACCTACCTCTCCTCCCTTCAGAATTAAGAAAGAGAAGAAGATTGAAAGAGAAAAGAAGGAAACAATATAATGAAGAAAGTATATAAAGATAAGTGTACAATGGATGTAATATGATTGAAAGATGACATTTTTTTAATAGACATTCTGGTTTCTATTTTCAAAGAATTACAATAGTACAAATAAAAAACTAAAAATGATAAATATCATGAATATCATAAGTATACAAATGCAGGCTATGTTACCATTGCATTAAATCAATGTCCATAACCTTATGTAATAATATGTATGCCTAAGGCCATATCCTGGATATATCCAACATTATTATTCATCTGTATTGCTAGCTGTCTAATACTGTTCTCAATTTTCCACCCTCTACTCTTTTTAAAATCATTTCAATATTTCAATCAGTTCTTTATCTTAGACCATGTTCTAAACAACATATTTTACTATTTAACCAATCAAATAATTTCTTGTTCACTTTTGGCCAATCAGAAGTCAGATTAGTAGCAGTAACCAAACAATACTACACTTAACCAATCAGCTAGTTCAATTTTGGGTATCTAAAATACCTGTACTCATAAGCAATTCCAAGTGGCTGAAGCAAATCAAGGAGCAATAGTTTATGTAAAATGTTTAATATATATTTATAAACAATGGCACTGTTGGTTGGTAAAAATATAAAATAAGGAATATTTTCATGAACTCAGGAGATAGGAAAGTAAAGAAAAAAAAACTTACTACTGGGTCGTTCAGGACGGTTTCTATTCCTTCTTTCTCCTAAAAATATAAACATTAAACAAGTTACAATAGCAAACAATAATAATAACCAATAATTCTTATCCACGGTGCTAAAATAAATATTTTATCTGCACACACTTTGCTAGTTTGTACAAGCTATACTATTATACAAGCTACCTTTGTTAGATGATTAATAAAAGCAAAGAGTATAGAACTGCAAGAGGTTGTCGACTGCTCTGATTTTGTATGCACACAATTAAACGTTTAAAAAAGAACTACCACAAGATAGGTGGCATCCTATTAGAATTTGAATAGAGTTTGAAACTCACTTTTGAAGGTAGCTTGTGTAAGGATTATTTAAAAAAGGATACGTTCCAACGAAAGCCAGGAGAGTCGGATCTCTTGCAGTTCTTCTCTTTGACAAAAGGCTTAATATTAAACTTGATAGCTACAGATTTACAACAGCAAATAATAATGTTTAATTATTTCATTAATTACTCTGATCACTTAAAACATTGATATACGCATACACAATGCCTGCCCCTTGAATACGGTTGCTGCAAGTCCCACTTAACTACAGTGTAAATGTATGATAACATTTGTATTTTTGGGACTACACTTGTGTTTGTGGGATGATACGCCATGCCCTGTTCTGATTGTTGAGCTGTTTAAGTTTGATTGTCTCTCCAGAAAGATCCATTTTCAAATTCCAATTCCTGAAGATCATTCCAAGACATATATGTCTATTCATCACAGACATTCTGCTTTCATGCAAACACTCACATTCTACCAGGCACCCATTTATTGCATATAAAACGCCTAACCCAAGAAAGCAAATGGGCAGCATTAGATTCAAACTTGCACTCTTTATAGGTAGTAAGTTAAAAAGCACAACCATTTTAGCTTCAACGTCAAATACACATACAGTACTGTAATATTATGATCAGCCTGAACAAGTAACAGAAAATTAAAAATCAACTTACTTATTGCTGTGGAGATGATAAGAGGAAGGAGATAAGAGAGAAAAAGTAAAGAGGAACAATTAGTAGAGAAATATATGTTTCAGGCCAAGTGTAATTGAATGTCCCCAATCAATTTTCAAAAAACTGTAGAGTTTGTTAATTGATTGTCCCCGTGGACCAGGAAATCCAAACAATTATCAACCTGCAGGACAAGCTGGGCTGTAGCCAAGGCCTCATCGAGAGTTGAGGCTAAGGTAATGGTAGAATATGCGCCTTCCACAAAAAAAATCACCTCAAGGTGCTGACAGTATTCAGACCACAATCATATTATATAGGCTAGGACAAAAGCCTCCCTCCCACAGTTGGCATAGGGAAGAATAGGTAGTCCCAGACTAGTTAAATTTCAATTAATTTTTCTCATACTTGATTCCAAACCTCTCAAGTTAGTGGTGGGCTTATATTCATGAAACATTTTTACTATCAATATTATGATTTAATTCTTTTTTCTTTGTTCAACTTTATATCACAAGGTTAGTCGTAGTGACTTAAAAATCACTTAAACTTGGGATCCTCAAAATAAAAATGACTAAATTTAACTTTATTATCATTATCATTCTATACTTTATTCAAATCAAGACTGGGACAGATTTTTCAAATATTGGGAATTTTATTATTTTTTAATGTAATATCACAAAGGAGAACTTTCCATATACCAGTATATTGGTTAATCTAAGTTTATTTCAATAAAACATTCTGTTTTCACCATCATTATAATTATCATTATCATTATTGTCATAATTAATATTATTATTTCATTTTCATCTCATAATTATTCTTATTATGGTAATGGTAATAATGAAACCCTTATAATGTACATACAGTCTTTAATATGAGGAAAGACCAGTCTTTAGTAGTTGCTTCCAAATCTTAAGAGCTTTCCTTTGTCTACTGTATTATTTATATATATTATTTTAATAATTTATTATTTGTTCTTTGTTCTTGTAATAAGTGAAAGGTAAACTTAGATAATTTTACTCACCTCTTCGTGCTATGGTTTTTGTGAGATTTAAAAAGATAGGAAGAAGAAATTGTCATTGTGAGAAAGGCCAAATACATTTTCTTTACTTTTAGTAATTAGGGATGACATGGAGATCAGTTGAAAATGGCAGTGGCTAGGACATGTACTGAAGGGGATTAAAAATTATATGAACTTGAAACTGGAATGGAATAAGAGAAAAAAAAAACACAGAAGTACACCAATGCCAATGGGCATTAATTACTGTGTTTGGTATAAAAGAATTAAAGGATAAATAAGGGTAAATGAAAATTTAGAAGAATAAGCGGAAAAAGAATAAGGAATAAGAATAATACAAAAAAAGCAGGAGCAGCAAGAGAAGAGGATGAACATAGAGATTGATTTTTAATAAACAACTCTCTTTGAAATGATACACTAATCCGTTTCCACATTACTAATTATCTTCATTTAAAAATAGGGCAAGTTTAAGTAATCAAATAAAGTTGAAATCAATAAAACTACAGCTATTAATAATGGGATTGTGCAATACAATTCAATGCATTCTATAATAAGCTTAACTAACATGTAAATCAATATTGAAAATAAACATGGAAAATATTGAAAATCAATAAGCAAAACACAGCAACCTGTACACTGCAAACAAACGAGAATTCCAGGACACCTGTTGTACATGTTGTTGTTTATTTTAAGTAAGCTCCCATGTAATTTAAACCCTCCTCTATAAATCACTGTTTTGATACAAGTCACAATCCAAATATGCTGTTCATGAGTGAATTTGAAGATCGAAACAAATTTAGTGTTTGCTGATTTTTTTGCAGATGTTTTACTAAGAAATCATTAATCTGATTGCTAGTCACTGTGCAAAGAACATACAGAAGCGGAAATTAGCAAGGTAAAAAAAATCATAATTCTAAATTTCAACAAAGAGGCACTACCTTAAATATACAGTAAGTAAAAAAACTCAAAGCTCAACTCAAAGACAATATATCTATTAGGGAGCATTAATCTGTAAGTCATATTTCTACAATCAATAAGAAAATCTAACAAGGTGGGAAATATAAAGCACTTCAATAATTACCCACCAGCAATATACAACATTTATGTATAAGTTTACGTAATAAATGCACTAATGCCATTTATATCTGCTTCTGAGGTATATGTACAATTATAATATCAAGGCTATATACTTAAGTGTTAATGAGACATTTTTATACGTTGTAAGCTAACTTTATTAATAGAAAAAAATAAAATGTAATCTTAATTTTCTTATTTTCTATTCTATCAAGAGCAACTAGGCAAAATGTCTTCAAATTTGTTATTAAAAATGAATGTAATTGGCAGGTGGGGTTCACGAAACAGGGTAGAAAAAGTCTTGACTTACTACACAAAACGCTAATAATGTAGTTGCACTATAATTGTATACCACTATTAGTATAGGAAACACTACTGCTAAAAAACACTTCATGCTACTAACACCTTAATTGTTATAAAGCACTGTACAATATTCTCAAATAAGAGACATTATCAGCCCTACATAATTGCGTACTATAGTTCGCCCTACAATTCTGAAAATGTGGCGTGGTCTTGGATTTGCATACTAATAAGTACTATGCCTTCAGAAGTAGCTGATCAGCAGAACATAAGTCCTACTGAATACAATTCACTTTATCACTGCTAGACAGTGTTGTGTCCTGAAAGACAAGCATTTTATGGGGAAAAGCGCAACATAGATTAAAACTTGTTCATACCCTGACGTTCTTCTCCTAGATAAGCATGATATTTTTATAAAAGAAAAATTCAAAAAAAAAAAATGTTTAAAGAGCTTTCCAGATTTCCAACAGTTAAATATTAACTGTCCACAAAAATTTTATTTCACAAAACAAATGTGACATGCCTAAATATGGTCATGATGACATCACATCATGACCATATATAGGCACATCATGACTATATATGGGCATACAGAAGTTTCTGTCACAGGAAATTTGAAAGTATGGATAGAACTTAAGCTTAAATTTCTAAAGTGATGGTAATATTAAATGAGATTTTGCAAACCCCAATACTTATATAAACCATGTATTTGTAGCATTAGAATAAATATAAACAACTGACATGCCCTGTATAACACATGCTTCCATTCAATTATAAGGACACCAGAATCAAATCAGAATAAACATTAATCATCAGTAATTTTGGGAAAAAAATGACTAGATGAATTTTTAAACTTGTAATGGATTAAAAGACATGAAAATTAACAATAATTTTTTTTTTTTTCAAACCAACTCAGAAATTTTTTATAAAATTTTCTCTTCAAAGTTGAGACATATTGAAATATCTTTTATGATGGATGTAACAATGTGATAGCTGAATGTAAATGTATATATGCAACAACTTACGGCTCCTTTGTATTCTAGGTGCAACAACCTCACCATCTGGAAAAAAATAAACATATATATTGTTATTATTTTATTATCTAAATTAAATTAGATTGCTATTAAAGCCTACACCTTAAGCCTCATTATGTGACTAGTTTATTCAGCACACCTTAGAGATGTAGGAAAATAGTTTCTCCATACTGAGCTTGTTCCTCAGAAAGCATAAATTCACAAGTGTAGAGACATTGTTTCTATGCAAGCAATGTTATATTTGTATAGTAATACAATACACTACAAAAAAAATACTTACTACTATCAATACATCGGAATGAAACTTCTAGGTACTTGTATGTCCCCACACAAGGATCAGTGAACTCTCTATTACGAGCCACAACGTTGCATGCTTTCCTACTGTTGCAAACTGACATTACATGTTCTAGGGCACCCTCTGCACTGCATTCAGTATCTTCTATCGGGCCTGTTGGACATATTTCTCGGTTTGCACGCCCATACATTGCGCTGACAACATCGATGCGATTTCCTCCACAATTCATCCGTAACCGATCATTCTCACAAGCATGTTGGGTATATGATTCTAGAGCTTCTCGAGCTAAAATATTAAAAAATATATTCCTTCTAGTTTCATGAAATAACAAATCCTATTTCACCTTGTTTTAACATCACTTTTAGTTTACATTGGAATTGTCCCCACACTTTTATGATTCAATAAACTGTTCCACTATAAAATCTCGCATCCCCTTTGATATTGCTGACAATGTCCCCAAAAACACAGGGTAAAAATAAATGTGAACTTGCGTGTTTTGTGGAACACGCACATACTCCTTGCCTTGTTCTGATTAGATAATTGCACTTTGTATGATGTTACAATTAATGAGACAAATCTCTAATGATGTTGGTAGTTTACAAGTGAAGTACTTAGCTTAATAAACCTACTACTGCCATTTCTATATCAAGTGGGAACACATCTCAAAAACAATCAAGACATAAGCGTATACATCACATTATATACAGAATTGGAAATGGTCTGTTCATCCAGGTAAGTATATACAAAATAAAATAATTGCACAGTATAACTTACCCCCGGCACAACAGTAGGTCACTCGAAGCATCTTGCGAACACCTGGACATGGATCACCAAAAACTCTGTTGTGTGCTCTTACCGAGCAACTGCTACGGATCTCGCATTTTTCATGAACTGTCTGAAAGGAGCTTTCAGCGGCGCAGTCTACCGGATGGTCAGGCCGGCCATCGCATGTCTCTACCTCATCCCGACCATACAGGGCAGAAATGATGCGGATTTCTCCACTTTCACACTCCAACCTGAGTTTGTCCCTTTCACATACCTGCACGGTTTGATGCACGCAATCTAAAAAGGTGACATCATGTTATAGAAATGATATTATGAGGTAATGTTTCTCATTTTTTATGTGCTATTTATCTATTTATCTATTTATATTTATATACAGTATATAGTAATAATTTTAAGGCACCCTAATTGGTATGTTGCTGGAGCTTTTAAAATAAATTATTTAGTTATGCCTCTGTTCATACATACCAGGGGCGGATCCCAGGGGCGGATCCAGAAATGTCCAAAAGGGGGGGCCGGAATGGGGGGCGAAAGTTGGGCTGATTGAGCCAACACTGTCGTAGGGGGTCCAGGGCATGCCCCCACAAAATTGTGTTCTAGACGCCCGAACATAACATTTTAGGCATTCTGGGCTATCATTTTTTTTCTTTTTCTCTCTTTTTTCCCCTTTTTTTTTCTTTTTTTTACCTCCCAAAAGGGGGGGCCGGGGCCGGGCCGGCCCCGCCCCCTAAATCCGCCCCTGACTTAGTTGTGGATCAGTAAGGCCCTGATAG